GGTCGAAACGAGATGTGTTCGATATTGTCCCTTATTTTGATTGATGAGGTGTGGAAATTGTAGACTTTGAATTTTCGTTCTTTTTTACACTTATATACTCGCTACACAGACAAATGCCAAAAAGACAATGTCAATGGTCTTGGCACAAAACTAAGTGCGTATTTACGGGCTTAGTTATAAGGAAAGGTTAGAGGCGCATACCGCGCACCGAGACCTCTCCTTAAATTTTTAGCATTTAGCCTATTTTTCGCAGTTGCGCGACGTCGATAATGCCTTCCATTAATAAAATTTAAAAATATTATCAAATCGTTTTCGTGTGTGATATTTGTTTAGATTTTTCTAGGTGAGGAAAATATAACGTATAATAGATCTACGATAGACTGTCAAATAGATTTGATTTGCCTGAGCCGCCTTTACTAACGACAGATGGTAATATGAAAAACGCCGGGAAAACTTCCCAGTGCGCAAACACCTAATCTAGAGACCGTTTACCGGTGGTGCCCGCGATTCTAGTTTGAGTGCTTAATTGGTGTGTCTCATTTGAAGATACCGCTGCGGATTTTGTCGATGAGTTAATTGCTGCCTATGCGGCGTGCGCTCTCTCCGCAAAAAACCGAATAAAGTTGCGTATTTCACGCCTTTGAACGTTTTGAATGCGCAGATCTAATCAGGTGTGCAATCAGAATTGCGGCATGAATTGATGGATTTGAACCGGAATGAGTCTCTATATAACGAAGTTTTCCATTAAAATTACCTGAATCAAATTTCCTTACGCATTTTTCGCAACATTCCCGCCTTCTGAAATTTTTTCTATTGAATTAATATTAATTATTGTTACAATAAATAAGTGGCATTGCAATAGAGAATAATAGAAGAAATAAATATCGCGTGTTAGAACATGAGTTTATGAAAATGCATATAATATCTCGGAAATTCATGTGGTAGAAACGGCGGATTTTTTTCTGCGGTAGTAGTGGAAAACCCTCGCTGTTTCTTCCAAAACGAAAAACTTCGTTGTTTCTTTGGCACATATTACCGAGATATTATTACATTCGCAAAAAAACGAGCACTCTGGGCCGATTTACGCTTCGCAGGTTATCCAGAGTACGGTATCCGAATTCCTACAGTTTAAATTAGAATTAGAATTACCGCCTCGAAAAAGTGCGAACAATTATGTAAGAGGCTCATTTTTTGCGATGGTAATATTTTTGGATTACGGTACTTTAAATTGTATTGCAGACAAAACATTAAACTTTACGAGCAATTCCAAAGTTCAGAATTTTAATCGCTCGGCTAACTCGTCGGGCGAAACATGTCGTGTTTTCTTTTTTGCTTTCTGTGAAACATTCGATCATAAAAATGAAACAAATTGGTTCGTTTCGTTAACATGTTAGAAAATTATGCCGTAGAAACGGTGAAAATACGATGAAAGGTAAAATGTCGGTGAAAAATGTGTTGTCTCACAATAAAATCACTCGCGATCTCAAGCATTCTTTTCAACAGCGTTTCACCGAAACACTATTCACCGTCATTTGTACAATTCAGTTTCTTCAACATTATAAAATTTGTATGTTAAAGTTTGGTAATTTTTTAGTCGAAAAAAGGTAAAATTTTTGTTATTGATTTTAACTTTTCTTAAAAGTTTATGCGATTCGTCCAACTCGTTTTTTAAATGCCACTGGTGTCAGATATACAAAAGAACAATAAAAAGTTCAACGAGTATCAAATTTCGGATTGACACTTTTATTGTATCGTATCCGACTCCATCGGTTCGATTTATCGGTATCGATGAGTTCCCTCGATTGTCAGTAATCCGCCGCCCATGTCTCTTGTCTTCGCGCGGTGTTTCGACCTTGTTTCAAACTTTTTGACAGTATCCATCACTATTAATCCGCCGCGCGAACTTCTTTCATCTCTAATTGCGGGACCATATATTGATTTCGACAAATTTGGCTCGTTACAGTATATAACCTTTCGAAATAGTACATTCGTATTGCAAAAAGGCTCCGCAATATTGCGCCACACGTGCGGAACACTCGCATTTGGGTCCAAATTAAAGGGATGGGCTCACATAAGATGATATGCTCTCAATTTACGCCAATCAGCCGCATCGAGTTGCGTCAGTAATACAAACATTACAGTATGTTGCTGGAATAAGTTGCGCGATTATTTCTTACGAGCCGCACATCCGCCAAATCGCAGGTGGTGCAAATAATAACAGATTTCGATTCGTCTTATAGCGCCAATACTATATTTGAAATGCACTGTGAGTTTGAGAAAAATCTTAGCAACAACAATAGAAATAGTATAACTTTATATAAAGACAAATTAACCCTATTTCTTTATTTTAATTCCAAATATTTTTCCATGTATGGCATTCGATCCGTCAAGGTTACGTTTCCGATATTTCGGAAGAATTTCTAAAACTGTCTCAAATAATTCAAATCGGCGTTCGACACATTGCATATTATTTCGAAACGGCCGCCAGTTGGCCACCTATATTACTAAAGAGTGCAGCAGCTCATTTTTCATAACAAGACGTCGGGCGGCGATGACTCCAAAACGCGGCGGCCGTTTCACCGCCATCTTGTCATCTTCTGTTTTATTTAATTTCGTTCGACGTTTCAATGAAAATATTGTCTTTTGCGATTACGGTCCGTTCGGTAGGTCTTCGCCACCGTTTCGAAATTGAGGTGAAATTTATGAGATCGACAAGTTCGAGATTTTATCTCCTTCTCGTACGGGGTAGAGACCGCTTCTCGGAAATGCCGTCAAGGTCTTTTCGACACATTTTGGTGGCCTTTTGTCTGTTTAGTCCCTTTTTGCTCTAAATTCATTTTTGCTCGTCCGCAATTTTTTGATTTTGATTTTTAATTCATCTTTACTTTTGCCTTCAACGTCAAAACACAAGAAACAGGAATATAAAAAATGCATGATCACAGATGATGATGATGTTTTATTGCAAAAAGTGCAACAACACGACGAAAATATCATAAAGAAACACAAAAAAAACATAGAATTTTTTGTTTTTTTTTTTTCAATTTAGAATAACTAGCGATTTCAATTATTTCGAAGAAAAATATTAATATTCATTGACTTGTTTTAATTCAAAAATTATTTTTGGCATTAACTTTCTAACAATCTTATTCTCTGTTCGTTTATTCTGACATTTTGTATCAGATTACTGTAATGATACTAGTACTTCTTGAAACATTCCCTATTGGTACTTCATATCTTTCTATGTTAGTATCATAGTGTATGTCATGGTACTGTAACCTCTGAGTAACCAATGCCATCATTGTTGAGTGGTTTCCAATTATCCCATTGAAAATTGTTTATAAACAAATCGCGTGCCATATGCCACAAGTTGTCATCTGATATTGCTTGATTCGATGCAAATCCGGGACGCATGGTACCTTACTTGATTTTTGACAAACATTCCATGGCTTATTATCGGCCAATTGTCGATAAACTCGTATAAACGCACATTGTCTCTTCGAAACACCTGGCACTGGAGCAGGTGCTCACAGGTTTCAAACTTTTCTGGTTGTCGGTCTTTGTGTACCGTAATTGCCGCGCAATTGATAAGTCGTGCACACAGATTGTTGGACGTGATTGTGGTTTCCGGTGGGGCTGTAAATCTACTTTTAGATTATTGGGTACTGTCTATTCTGTTCGTTTTCTTTCTAATCAAGTATTTTAAGATTTATTTTTATTTTAATCTTCTAGCGAATGTGCGCCATTTTGTTATAAAAAATCCGATTCTTAAAAATTGTTTTTCTTCAAAACGGAAAAGGTTTCAAACATGTTCTTAGCGCTCAATTATATTTGAATAGTAAAGTATTGCTTGTACGTTTTTTGACATTTAGCTGCTGCTTAAATAGTATGCTACGACATTAAAATGCCTCAAACTAGTGCTTGCTCATTCTTCTCTGTCTTCTTCATTCAACCATCCTTAAATGACTCTTTTAACAGTTTCGAAGGCATTCTTTTAGTTCAAAGACACCGCTGCCACCCGAGTTAACGATTTTTCTTTTATTTGTCGCCTCCGCCAATTTTCTTCGTCATACCTTCATAGGGGCACCTCGACTAACAAAGAACGGACTGGTGACAAAGTTCAGGTTGAAGACGCAACAGCTAAGTGCGAACAATCCATATGAAGAGTTCAATGGCACTGACATTGTTCGCACATTTCAGTCAATTGTCAATCATTTGTATTTTTTCGATGAATTTTCAATTCCGAAAGATCAAATGACTGTAATGTGAGAAATTCAATTCTAATTGCTCAACATGACAATTCAAGTAATTATTATTTCCCAAACTCTTTTTTCCGATAATAATAAAAAACAGTGAGTAATCCCATTTGATTTTCAAACCTAACAAAAAAAAAATCTATTCGATTCGAAATTTTGGTTGGGTGGTGCTTCTTTTTATTTGTTCTCATTTTCTTGCATTGTTGGTTTCAAATGATTTATCGCTGGCGAGAAATTCAATTTCACAAAATTAGTCTATCTACGAATTTGTAGATTTACGAGATTGTGAAATGTTAAATTAGCAATCGATAAAATGCAGGGCACGCAGACATTTTGATCAGTTGTTTGAAGCAGACAGTAATATTTCAATGAATTTTGGCATTTGCACCTAAAATTTCCTTCAAATGCAAATTTTGCCAATAAGCAACATTTTATTGCTCAATGATTTTTTATTGGTCTTATTCAACTCCATTTTCCGTTAATCTTCATTTTTTTTCCAGAATCGTTCATTTCTTGTACTCTTGGGGTTCTCCGTCTCGCGCACCCCGCCACCACCACCACCTTGCACCCTCCCCGTTCGCCCCGCCCACCAATTCTCTCCGCCCTCCGTGTTCGCCACCCTCGCCAGACGCAGACACATAACTCATCATCAAGTCGTTGACTACTCGAGCTAGTAGTAGTCATCCAGATTACCGTCTTCGGTCTTCGTAATTTCACTGCATCGAATACACATTACTTTGGATGAAAATGTCTTGTCTTGCCGTTGTTCTCGACGGTCCCAAGGCAAAAAACGGGCGACGCGTATTTGAAAGTTTCGTCGAAGAAAACAAAATGAGCTTCTGGAACAGGTAAATTTTTCGTTTTCTTATTTTCATTTCACTATTCAAATGTTTTAGAGATCTTGTTGCTGCCTCTGCTTCACTCATATATATGGGGTTCATGAGGCCAGGAACGCTGTTCATTTCTGGAGAAACGAAACATCTCACCGTACTCAAGGATGCTTGGGCTCGACGCTTACTGAAGCCAGCCGCTGGATACAAAATTGCTTCGTTAGGTAAGTGCCATTTGTTTCATCGTTGTTAACACATTACCGTGATCTGGCGCATCTTTGTCCGCCAGACACTTCACACCCTTTAAACAACATCGTAAAAGGTTTTGCCAAAGGCCACCAGGTGTATTGCTAATCTCTACCGCCCTTTTATACGTCTCTTGTACGTTTCTTTTGTGATTCATTATTCGAGAAACCACGTCTTTTGTTATGTTTTGAGTGTTGTTGTTGGTAGCAGTAACGAAAGAATGAGTAAGCGAAGCTTGTTGCGGGTTAACTATTCATATAGCAAGCGCGGCGTCATGCATTGCAAACAGGCTGCAGCGATATCTTTGCGCACATCTGAATAGAGCAGAAGGTGTGTGTGTATGTTCTCGCGCACTCTAATTAGCGACACCTGTCGGATCTTAAATTTGTCGGAATTGCAGGCGATCTCGGAGCGATTCAACAAGTTGAACAAATGCATTTTGTACCCCTTGGGGATGTGATTTGTGACGCTATTGCACAGTTAAATCGGGCAGGACAACCGGCGACAGAGACTTCGATCCGCCAACACGTTGCTAGACACTGTGCCCATGTGGCCCCGCCAGGAGTCGAAATGGTGTGCTTGATTATAATAACCACTAGTTTTATTATGTTAATTACTTTTTAGGTGCGCCAGACGCTCTCTTCCCTTCTCGCCACTGGATTCATATATAAAATGGGAGAACACTATTTTGTCGCTGTCCCAACCAACTCGCCACCTAAACAGAAGGTTGTTTCGTATTCGCGCATCCTTATATGACCAAGTGCACTTTTTAGAACACAGTGGAATGCCAGACGGGCACCTCAATCATAACTCAACCAAAAGACAAAGAATCGAAGTCGCAGAAGAAGGGGATCTTTGCTAGACTGTTCAGCCGCGGAATGCGCCCAACAACGATGATGCCACCAGTCAACCCGCAGCCAGTTGCTTTCAATCCAGCACAGTGCTTAGCTACTCTTGCTGCCCATCCCGTCCCATTGCCACCGAAAAATAAGTAAGTGAAATGAGGGAAAGTCATCCATCAATCAGAGTGAGATGTCAAAGCGAGCCAAAAAATTTCCGAAAGGCGCGACAGAGATGATTTTGTCTCTCCAACATATTGTCGAACGGATTCGCATTTCAATTGCGCAATTCCAAATTACACGTAGGCGAATCTGATGCCCGCGAAAAGTTGCGCCACTCAACGGTAGAGCGCGCGCGCGGTTTCTCCACTCTATAATTAGAGGCAATATGGTAAATAGCAATTATTGCAGATTCCCGACATATCATGAGGATCTCAAGAACGAATGCCGCGATGTGAAAGGACAGAAGCGCGCTCAGCGTCGGCGACGCCGTGAAGCGAGACTCCTGAGCTCCTCGTCCGAATGTCTCAATTACGGGCCAATCGACCCACCAGAGCTTCTCCCAGGATGTGTCGAAGTTGTTGATGATTTGACCGTTAAAAGACAACAGAAGAGGCGGCCAGTTCCGAAGACTCCAATGGCATATCCACCACGTAGAGAAGCCCCCACTGTTAGAACATCGACTCCAATTGAATCCGACTCGGCATATTCACCATCACCAGTCACCGACTCAAATGACGACGACGTTGGAAGTCATAGCGATCCAGAGGTAAATATTCAAATCAAATCTCCACATTCTCATTCAATTGTTTTACAGGTCAACCACACTTATATCAATCTCTGCAAACTTCAAAACAACGATTCGACTCAGTTCGAAGACCTCACCTGCACCACCGACGATCAACCTCAGATTTTGGCGTCTCAAATGCGCGGAGTTCTAATTTCCAATTTATAAGCTCAACCCCGTTATGTAAATTTTAAATCCGAGTCGTTCTTCCCATTGAGTCCAAAGTCGTGATATTGTCTTGTCTTTAGTTTTTTGTTCTTGTTTCTTGTTGTTTCGTTTCTGTTGTCATTATTTCTTTCTGCAATGCAGAAACACGCGAAGTTGCACACCCGTCTGCGCTTCTGCGTCTCTTGTTTTCTAAATCAACTGGTCGCTCTTTTCAGTTCAATACACTTTTTTTTTTCATTTCCATCTATAATCTGATTTTGGTCAATGGCGAACAACCGTCACAATTAGAAAGGTAGAATAAAATTTAAACGTTGCGACCTCGCCCAACGCGCCCATTCGAGCCTATATTGCGGATGCTGAATTTCCGGAGCAGGTGTCTCCATTCTATTCATTTTCGATTTCTTTTGTATTCCTCCCAGATTACATAACGATTTGATTTTAGTAGCATTGAAGGACCTATAGCTCATCGGCCTTGCGTAATTTTAATTGGCTTTATTGTCCTTGGGTTAATCAGGGTCGAGTTTAATCCGGCCCCTAATAAACCATTGATGATGTTGTGAGACGCTGAATTATTTATTAGGGTTCTGCGCCCATTTTTTGCAATCCCTAATTATGGGTGTTCGAAATTGATTAGATTTTTGAATTTCCTTGTAAATAATGACGAACAAAGCAAATACAGCAAAAATGTGAGAATGCAAAAATCACATGAGTACGTTATTACGAAATTTGAAACGTAGAACCGAAATGTATAAGTCTCGCTTCAAACAATTTCCGAATTTTGTCGTCAAATATGAGTTTTTAGTACGCTCCCAAAAAATTACCAATTCACGTCTAACATTTCAAAATTTATTGAAGCTTTTTTTTTTCAGAATTCCATCATTCATAAATTCCCACGAAATTCGGTAGTGTTGAATTTGTTATTTTATGCGTTATCTACATTTGTTTTTTCTCATCTTATCTACTTCTATTTTTTACATCTTTCCCAAGATATAATAGCGATTGGGACGAGTCACACCTCTGTGTAAAATTAGAGTATCATAGTTGGCGAATTCAAGGCTCACTCCATCTGCGCAATAATTAGGCCCTAATTATAGAGGTCCGCAATAGGAGCATGTGTGTATCTAAGCAAAAAATCGCACCCGAGTTTCGCCTTTTCACACGTGCTCATGTCATGCCTGCCAAATATGTATATACATGAGCTAGCTTCGATTTTGATGTATTATGTGGTACGCATTGTGTTTGGATCGATGACAACATGACAAATGACGAATCAGCGCAAACAATTGTGGCAGGAATGCTTCTGAAAAAGAAGACGAATTGATAAAACAATAATATGTTGATGTGCCAATGATTTTGTGGGGGAAATAAATGTAACGCTATTATCATCATTTATATTAATATATGTCAATATATATATTTCTATCGAAAGATTCATGACTCATATTAGTTTTTTTTTTTTTTTTCGAAAAACCATCCTCATTCGATGAATAATCGAATTGTATACCTATTGTCGAATAGAATTTCCTCTACAACAATTACTTTTCATTTTCAGAAATGCATGTTTCAAACGACGGGTTGCCAGCCAACTACCAATGGTTTTCGGATCAAATTGCGGGTCATCATCCTTCTGTGATCAAAAACGGAAAACGCGAAATCGGTTCGTTTTGTTTTCATGACAACCACCTGCTTCTTGAGCATGTATTTACTCGTCCGTGTTTTGTTTTATGCGTTAATTGTGGACCCACTGTGCAAATACATGTTCAGAAGAGCGTTATCCGGATTAAGCGAGCCCAATAGCTCGTATGAGCAGCTGCAATGATTTTGACTTTGAATACCTAGTTAATGAGCGATTTAGCCATTTCCTATTTAAATCACTCAATTTCAAAATGCTTTCTGAATTTGATGAAAGTCACATTCTTCTCTACATTATTTGCAATCCGTAGGCAAAAATTATCATAAATTCAAATCAGTTTGCAGATTAAAAATTCATTTTTTTTTTTCAAAAATACCACGTGATTTTTAATCAGATCAGACAATTCTTTGCAGTTAAAATTTGAATTGAAGGGAAACTTTTTAAAAAGTTGGGAGATGCGGTTCAGATTAGAACAAATGCCAATTTCAAGATATCACTTATTATTTTTCTTAAATCTATTTGCTTAGAATGGCTTAGTGTTGACGACGCTCTGAGGTGTAAGAGTCATTCAATTTGCATAATATAGGGACCTGTTGCTCGGCATTGTGTTCTCAGGCTTATTGATCAGCTCAATATTTGCTCAGCTGTGCCGTAAACGAGCGCGATTTGAAAAAAAAATCCGAAGAAGAAAATCCAATTTGAATATTCTTCAGGACTCCTAAAGTCGCCCGGATCGAAAGAGATCTTGAAGCCAAAACAGGACGCAGCACGAGGACTCAGAGAGGTACAGTAATAGGTTGAATGGAAAATGACGCAACGTCAGATGGCTGACAGAATTGCGACAAGTTATGCTCCCACCTGCGATAATTAATATCATATTGTAATCCGACGTCGAGAAACAACCGAAAAATCTAATTTGGTAATGCGAACTCTTCTTATTTCAAATTTCCCAACAATTTTCGAGGTGATGCAATACGGTTCACATCCTAATTAGGCTACATTAAATAATTAGTAAAGACATTTGAGACAACCTTTTGAGATTCCTTATTTCCATGTATATGAATTTTTGCTGTCATGGAAATACAAAAAATTGGTACCAAATTCACGTGAATCTAAAAATGACATAATCATTTTCCGGTAACAGGTTATTTGAGCGTCTACAGTATCCATATTCAAGATCTAAGATATCGCAATTTCACTGTTGAGTGCACACAAACACTTGTTGCGCAAACTGAGCGCCCTCGTCAATCTTATCAAAAGTTTACGATCTTCGCGCGAATTGGCAATAAGTAGCTCGACGCTCGTAAAATGCCTCACGAAACCACGTCGTGAATTATTGACGATTCTCGGCTCACGGGTGCGCTCGTAAAAAATACGTAATTTGTGAGAATAACACTTAAATGTCGTGTAGGTAGCCGCTGCAATAAACAAATGTTTCGTTGGTTAGACAAGACCTAAAAGAAAATTAGAACAAATTGAATTCATTTTCAAAAGTTCGAATTTAATCGAAAAGAAATGAGGGATCTGAATAGAATAAAGTTGTCTCAACTTGGCTTTTTTAAAGATTTAATTTGTTATGGTAAATCACCGTATATGTTTTTCAATTATTATGATCATCTTTAATTTATCGAAACTTGAGCCTCAATGAGCCTGACAAGTTCAAGGTTTTGGTTGTCGTTACGCAACTTGTATACATGTCTGAATTACAGGTAGCCATTTACCGTACGTTGTCGTCGGAAGTGACAACCACTCTTCCGGAGTTACGCAACGAGTATGTGCTCGTCCTTGAGATATCTCCAAATTTGGAAGTTGCAGGTTTTCCGGTGCTCGGAAGGAAGATGTCACATGGATGCGACGACTGACTCCAAAATACTTCGGTCTTACACAACTCCATGTTGACGACGAAGGTTTGAATTTGCATGGGTCCTTTTTGGTGTTGAATTGAGCGCGTCTCTAGCGACCACACGACTGACACCATAAATGGGCAGCCAGATGTTTTTTTTTCATCATAGAAGATGATTTCGATTTCAAAATTCTTGACGCGATCGGTCGTTTGCATGATGCGCTAGTCGTTAAAATGCAGATGAGGCGAATGCATGACTATTTTTCGACTTGTGAAATTACGGGGAAAAATGAAGTGCATTTCAAATTGAGAAGACGACTAATTATTGTTGAACGCAGCATAGTCGATGACGGACAAATTTAAGGTTAGAGGGGACGCCGCATATAAGCACATTTTTTTGCCATGGTCTTGTAATATCAATTTGATCAGTTATGTATTTGAAAACTACAGTAGGGATTAAAGGCGCATGCAAAAATGTGTTCAATTCGCGCTAAGATCAAAAATGAATAACGGATTTGACCATTTGAATTTCAAATTCGTCCGACTTTAACTATATTTGCGGGTTAAAAAAAAACTCCGAAAGACACCCGACATATTTTAAAAAGATATCTTCTTTGCAGATCATGAATTCTTGATTCTTGAAGACGTCACCGCTGAATATAAATTACCAGCAATACTTGATCTGAAAATGGGCCAGGTTACTTATGATCCATTGGCATCACCGGAAAAAATCGAAAAAGAATCTCGAAAATATCCTCCACAAGCCAATGTCGGATGCCGGATTCTTGGCTACCGCGTGAGTGCCTTTTCTTATTCATTTTCAAATCACGACGGCGCACCTTAATCGTCGACGAGAATCGATCACATTTGGCAACAGAGACCTTTTGAAGTGGTATCGTTTCCGATACGGCTGGTGTGTAATGTGTTGCAATTTGCGCGACGAATGCTCACAGATGGACGCGGGTCTTGAGACGGCCAATTAGGACGGTTTGAATATCTGACGACCTTTGTGATTGACAAGTTTATTACGGAAAAGGGACTATCGGACTATCGGACTAATTGAGAAAACAACAAATCGCCTACAAGTATGAATAGAAAAATTCAACCAAGATGGAATACAGAACACATTGAATACAGTGCGCGTCATAATGATACGCCACCCCCAAATTTCGCAGTTTTGAGAAAACCATATAAATTGGTGACAAGAAAATTTCATTTTCGAATTCAGGACCATTGAAAACCTATACACGCGTATTTTCATCAGGGTCCGTTGATCCGTATCCGCACAGCCCGAAAAAGTTGGATTTTCAAGCGCGTCATAATGATACGCCACCCCCTATTTTTTGTCTTTTCTTTCGGCATTTTTGCATGTTTCTCGCTGATTTTTCTGTATTTTGTATAATTTTTCAACATTATTGTCTTTATATCCATCGAGCGATCGTCCACTTTAGTTTTGGCTTGAAATCGGGCCGAATTCGGGCCTTTGAACGACTTCGTTTTGTTTAAGGATTAAAACGCAAGAAAAAGGTCTAAATAACCATACGACAACAAGTTTGAATGCGAGAACACAACAAATTCAATAATTAGTAGTCTCTCCATAATTTTTGATCACTTCACATGTTCGGTTTCGCATTCTGTCGGCGAGTTCCTTGAGGTATGCAAGTGATCGACTGTTCCATTCCAGTCAAATTGCGGCCTTCAGCTCATAAAAGGTTGGCATTCTGCTTGGTTTGTGAGCGTACGGAACGTTCAAGAAGCCTTCAGACGTTTTCGACGGGATTGAAGTTGGGGAGCTGGCTGATCCATCCAAACGTTTGATTTTCTTTCTTTGAAACCCAATTGAAGATGCGGTCGCTCTTGTGAAGGACTGGATTGTCTTAATGGAATTAGTGAAACAAATTTTAAAGAAATTTCGTAGTTACGTATACAGTTAGATTTTCGAAAACGTCCGATACCATCCTTAATCAGCTTGACTCTCTGATTGAGTTATACCATAATGTCAATTTGAGCTTTCTCCTGTGAGCTAATATAAGAGATTTTCCGCGGCCGATGATTATGAGAAGGATAAGTGAAAATAGTTTATAAGTGAAAAATTATCGGTCAGGCTGTCTGCACACAGAATGCCAACCTTTTATGAGCTGAAGGCCGCAATTTGAGTGGAATGGAACAGTCGATCACTTGCATACCTCAAGGAACTCGCCGGCAGAATGCGAAACCGAACATGTGAAGTGATCAAAAACTATGGAGAGACTACTCATTATTAAATTTGTTGTGTTCTCGCGTTCAAACTTGTTGTCGTATGGTTATTTAGACTTTTTTCTTGCGTTTTAGTCCTTAAACAAAACGAAGTCGTTCAAAGGACCGAATTCGGCCCGATTTCAAGCCAAAACTAAAGTGGACGATCGCTCTATGGATAAAATAATAAGATTGTTGAAAAACTGTACAAAATGCAGAAAAATCAGCCAGAAATATGCAAAAATGCCGAAAGAAAAGACAAAAAATAGGGGGTGGCGTATCATTATGACGCGCTTGAAAATCCAACTTTTTCGGGCTGTGCGGATATGGATCAACGGACCCTGATGAAAATACGCGTGTATAGGTTTTCAATGGCCCTGAATTCGAAAATGAAATTGCCTCGTCACCAATTTATATGGTTTTCTCAAAACTGCGAAATTTGGGGGGTGGCGTATCATTATGACGCGCACTGTATGAATTTTATTAAGAGATGGTTAAAACTATTGAAGACACGATTGTAGGAAATTGGCTTAAAAAAAAACTAGCCTTTACATTATTCCTAGCCCGAGAATCTATATTTTTACTTTTGTACCAAAACAATTGTTTTTTTTCTATCATTTAGCCAATGTTCCGCAGTCGCGCGACTTTGATTTTGGTCGGCCAAGCATTTTTTTCTTTTATTCGGCTAAGTCGACTTTCGTCAGTCTTCGAACAATATTTAGAAATAATTTAGAAAAATTGTATGAATTGTTTAGATCCTGTTTATTCTACATATACACTATGTATTAATTAACCGTTAATTAAATTTTTCAAAAAAAAAACTGGCAAAATGCGAGTTTAGTATATTAAAATTCTGGTTTTTTTTTTCAAAATTAGTAGAACAGTTTTCCCACGCAATTCGAAATGTTTACACTTATGGAGCGATTGTGTGGTGAAAAAAAATTGAAAAATCTTAAAGTAAAACTGAAAAAAGAAGCGAGTTAAAAATTAAAAAAGAAAAATCGCCTTCTGAATGTGGTAGCACCCAGGATTGTACGGAATTTCGTTGTTCTGCAGAAAATTAATATTATTTCCGTGCAATCCTGGTTGCACCCTTGAGTTGAACTCACCGGAAATTCCGGTCCGGAATAGAGCTTCTTCGTTATTGAACTCTCAATAAAGCGCGCTTGCATCGTTTTCGTGGTTTTTTTTAACGAAACACATGTGATATTCGACTTCTAAGATTTTCTGTCGGTCCGCGAAGCATATTTATCCAATATAACGCTAAAATAGACCTTACAGTTAATTGTTTCATCGAAAGAATAGGAATACTCAAACAGACTCTCTAAGAATTGAATAAAATAAAATGATGCAAATGCGCTCTATTGAGTGTTTTTTTTTATTTCCGCGAGTTCTGTTGCAGGCGAGTTCTATTCTGGATTCGATTCTATGTTCGTATTGTCAAAATCGCGCAATTGCGACAAATTGGCTAAATTTCAGAAATAATCTTGAGAAGACAAGATTGCGCGTTGTGTTTTCCACACGGACAATGCACAACTCAACTTATCAACGTGGTGTAAATATCCACCTGTAAATTGTGTAATTGTGTTGCAAGACCCAAATCTACAGTAGGCCACACTAATATAATGATAATATTGTCGGTGTCCAGCATCTGATGCATTTTGTAGATTTACGGGCACTTTCAATCGTGGCGAGACCATGACTAAAAGCGCACCCGTAAATCTACCCCCATACGTCAAACGTCAAAAGTCGCCAAACGTCTAGTATAGATATGTATTTATTATCATAGAAAAAGAAAAACTTTAATTACTGTGAACCGTTTTTTCGAGGCGGCAATTCAAATTTGAACTTAAAATGGTGAGAATTTGGGTATAGTACTACGGATAACTTATGAATCAAACTCACCGTAAATCAGCGAAATTGTTTTATTTTTGCTATATTATAACTTGTCTAAATTTTGTTTATTGCCATATGTTAGTATAATATCCAGAAAGGTCAACTGTCGAGGCCGGAAGATAGTTTATATTCGCGTAGTTTCGAGAAGTGGTCGACATTATATTATCGTTAGCTGTTCCGATCGGTGTCCTCGTTCGAATCGCGATCACCAGCGCGCTGTTGGTGCCGGTGGTTTACAAGCCGGCTTAACAGGCTTGCCGTCTCAGGTTACTCAATCAGCGGCCATGTGCGAAAAGGAGTATACGACCAGCACCTCGACGCGGTATCAAATGTCGTCGTCCTTCTAATATCGTTTTGTGGTTGCGAACACACCGCGGTTGTAATCCGCCATTAATGAGACATCGATTTGAATTTTGTTATTCTTTATGTAGACGAAAGGCGGGCACGGTGGATTAATGGGTAGCCATTAAATGTAATGAAGTCACAACGCATGCAGGTGACAAATGCCCCATAAAACGATGCGATTGTTACAGATCCATAATGAGGATGGCGATGTCGAAGTTCGCGACAAAGATTGGGGCAAATCCTTCAATGAGGATACTATCAAAGATGGTACGCGAGACCAGAAATTATTAAATTAATAGAAAAAAACTAGACTCTCATTATTCCAATGAATACAAAACTTATCGAGTAAACGATCAATCTATGCATTTAATTACTGATTTGAGATCTCATCAAAACATTTACCAATTTCAGGGCTAAAAGAATTCTTTAACGCTCGCCCGGAATGTGTTTCAAAAGTCGTTGAAGAAGCAAAACATGCCTTGAAAGATATCGAAGCGTTTTTCGAGTCTCAGAGGTCATTCATGGTTCGTACATAATCGAAACACGCTTTTAGATTTTATTTTTCAGTTCTTCGCTTCTTCTCTTTTGTTTGTCTACGAGACATCTCCAGATCTTCCAATAAATCTTCGAATTGTGATGATAGGTGAATTTTATCTACAAAAAAGAAAGAAATCGAATCCAAAATATTTAGATTTTTCGCATGCGTTTGCTTCAAATGGTAGTCGTGACGAAGGCTACTTGTTCGGAATCAAGAACCTATTCAGATTTCTCAATGAAATCCAAAAAAGCCCATAGGAGTCAAAGCTTTAATTTTATATAAATTAATATCATTGAATGTTTTAAGATGTGTACATTCCTATATCTGACCGGAACTCAAAATTTACCGAAAGTATTAATGGTACCCGGGTCTAGTATGTACCATAGAATGCGCAAATAAAGGATTGAATAAGGCTCGTCGCTTTTTTGTATGAGGTGACAACTTATTACACAACATGATAGTAGATGAATAGGGAGATCATCTGCCTATACGAAACAGGAAGCAAATAAACCTGGAAAAATATAATGTGGAGAAAGCGTAAAAATGCACTGATTTGCGTAATAATACGTAACCCTCTAATATTTCGGAAATTTCAAATATCTTCAATGCAATTTTTGTTTAAATTGGTCATTTTTCCAATTGGGTCTTCAAGATCGATGAAATAACGTAAATTCTGGAATCAATGAAAAAGGATCGCAAGTCAAGGTGGTTATGTTTAAAGAAAACTGAAAATGATATTGCAGACTGATGCATTTTATTTGACGTCTAATATTGTTTACCCCTATTTTGTTTTTCTTCAGAAATAACAACGAACTTTTTCGTAATTTCGTTTCGAGAATTTTCCTTGTTCTTGGTGGTTTCAATGTTTTTAAAGATTGCCCCACCACAACTGATCTTGGAGTAATACAAAAGCGGTAAGCCGGATCAATCAACACAAGGATCAATGAGTTTACTCTAATTTAGTCTAGTTATGTAACTTCAGTTCTTTTTTCACTTTTTTATGTTCATGATCCTCTTTGGGTACAAGATTTTCTATCTATATTTGCAGTTTCGATCATTGTCATCATTTGATTCTCATGATTATTTAGACTTTTATGTTAGTGTTCACACCATTTGTATAAACATTCAAAAAAGAACAGAATGTAACATTCGAAACCTTTCTCGGTAGTTGATAATTTTTGACGTTTACATTTTTGAACGGACCTAGATGTTTGCGTTTAGATATTGTATTCGCGAAGCAACATTAATTATTAATAATCTAAATACAAAATGACGACGATCCAGTTTACGAATATACTTAAAAAAAACTGAAACAATTTATAAATCAATGTTTAACCAGGCTCGCATTTATCAAACAACATTCTATTTTTTTGGTTTTAACTGCGAGACCGTAGCGATCATTTGTGTGGAGAACGTATAAATGATGTTCAAAGAATTAATAAATGTGATTCTCAAAAATATATAGTCGACGTCCGGCTACTACTGTAGCCCCCGGGTAGATTTGTGGATGCGTGAAAAGGGTTCACCACACGATAAATGCTTATTTTGTTTATGTCACGTTTTATTTTTTTGACATTTTTGTTGAATTTATAACGTCGTTGAAATTTAAATTATGAAATGAGCCATAAAGTGCAAATGTATCAGTTAGTCCGTTCGAGACCATAGCAGAAAGCTTTCAAGGATCGAAATTTTAAAAAATCTCCGTTATTGTCGTTTATCAGCTATTGCCGTTATTGTTGACACATTTGCTGAGATCTGCGTCTTATCTTTATATTTAGCCAGTAAATCTACACATTTATGGAACTGTTCAATAAAAATTAAAAAAAAAAACGGCTTGGCCTTGAGCCCTACAAAGGCGGGACCCGTTATCACGTGAGGTGCATTCTGAAAATGTCTGCAGAAGTTTCAAATAAATTTATCATGCTAAAATTGAAAAAGTAGTCCTCGGCTCATTCCTGAAGTGAGCCCAGCAATATACGGCTCATGGACGTGCCGGTCCTTTAGTTTGAAAGCTTTGCATACCATGTTTGAAAAAATAATTTAATTTTTCATTTGTTTTATTGTATGATATCGTTATTTCAGGTCCAATCAATTTTTGGCATTTGGCCAATTTTTCGAAGTTCCGACAATACATTATATTATCATACTTTATTGTATTTTTTTAAGCATAAGACATTTCTAAATTTGTTGCCATTCTGTTAGTTTTCCGCAGTTGCGCGACAATAGTCCGGCGTCAGTTCCATAGAACACTTTAAACAAGCAAAAAACATATTTTGATTGATTAGAAAAGTTTGCGACATTCCAGCGAAATCTTATTCATTATTTGAATCACTAAACGCTTTACTTATCGATTTTTGCTAAAGCTTAAACTCATATATTTAAAATGAATGTGACAAAATTTATTCGGAAGTGAATTCGTAATTCAAAAATCACTAGGATTTGTGGAGAAGTCATCGTTCAGGAACAAAGCTGATTCATTATCGTTGTTCAGCGAATTTCAAGTATATCTGAACGATTTAATTAAGCGTTGCTTGCAAAACTTAGGAAAACACTCTAGTTCTGTAAACATCGTTTCTTTCCTACCCTATTATTATTTGTATTATTATTTATACATGATTTCTTTTTGAGAGTTTCCCTTCCTGGTCAAGAATAGTTTTGACATTCATAAGGAACTAGATATGGTAGTTTCATCGTCACACACACACACACATAAACACCCTCTCTCTCTCCACCAATTGAACCAAATAAACCCCCGTTCGCTTGATCGGATCGTTTTTTTTTGTGCTTGGTCTACAGTTTATTTAAAGTTATCAAACGATTCGAACAAGATATGCTATCAAAGTGTTCTACGGTAATATATGGTAGACGCGTCCGCAGATTCTCAAACAATCATTTGGTCAAAAAGTGGTTTGGTCGTCTTGGTCGTCGGCGCCATCGTTCAATGATATCACTCCATTTTTTCTGTTCAATGTGTCCCGATTTTTACTCTCATTTCGTCAGGATTTCACACCAACATCTTCGAAATACGAACTAATCTGCCACCCACATCGTTAAGGGAAAAGTAGCATTGATTCACAATTTCGAGTGTAATCAATCATAAACTGTCGATCAATACAAATGAATGCTTCTATTACTGCCGTCAAAGTCTTTTTTTCTATTGAGCATCTCATAGCTTTCAGGTACAAAAATGATTGCAGTTAATCGGTACCCAGATTCAAAATTTGAGAAAAGTGGAATTGAGGTATGCTTGTCTTCTTTTTTTTTAAATATTGGTGAAGACGAGCAAAAGAGAAATTTACGTATTACAATCACAAAAAAAATCGCCAATTTACGGTGAGTTTGATTCGCAGATCACTTGTAGTACGGTACCTAAATTCCCACTGTTTCGAATGAAATTTTTGCATTCGCCTTTGATGTGTACTGCAATTTGAAAGCGTTAATACTGAGACATTCAAATTTGGCAGCGAGATTAAATTGCATAGTTGTTTAAATTTACGCGGAAGATTTACGGTCATGCACCTGTCGAAATGGCATTACGAGATATATCACTAGTTATTTCGCGTTCGACGTTTCATTTTATTGGTAGGTTGGGTACGGTAGCCACAAATTACGCAAACACAGATGATTTTTACACACAGTTATAATTTCCTTGGAAAACTCATCGAGCGTTATGGCGGTCTTTTGTGCTCGGTAAAAATGGCAACATATTGGTTGTTTTCTTCAAAGTTTTGACATTTGGTCCCTGTTTCGCCCGATGCGTTTTCCGAGTTATCTTCTATAGAAGATGAATTTTGAGAATTTTACTGATTTCTTTGCAATTTAAGAATTTTTAATAGTTTAATCCTGGCACAATTCATGAAGCATAATATTGTTAGCATAAAATAAATGATTTGAAGTTTTTGTGTTCGACTTTTAACCGGCTTTAACGTAGAGGAAGTTTCTGAACTTTTGAACATGTTATTTTTCAAAACCAGTTGTGTGATAATGATAAAGATTAAAAAGAACGAAAACCGTCGACGAACAAGAATGTGAGAAAATGAAATTGCTGGTGGATTTTATCTGAAACACGTGAATTACAGGATTCTGAGCCTGCTAATCATTCCTCGCACTTCAATGAACAGATCACGTCGCCCCGTTCGCCGACGCAACCTCTCAAGTCAACTTCTAATGCCTTTTCAAAACAAATGAGACTACTCAGACAGAAAGCCACGTTTGCAGGTTTCTAATGATATCATTTTTGCACCCAATCAGATACTAAAAATACATTTTGGACCCAGCAGTAAGATTGATTATATTCAGAGATAAACGAAGAAAATGAAGATAATTTGTCGTCGTCTTCGGCGTCGTCATCAGCGCCTTCCTTTCGATTAGGTGATACTACACAAGAAACGACCAAACACGGAAATCTCATTGAAAAGAAAGTAAAAGAGGAATCGAAAGTAATTCAGGTACTGCAATATGTCTACAAATTTTCATTAAAAATGAAGTCTAGACACCAGTAAAATCAAAAGAAGCTGAAGATATTTCGTCGAACGAGGAACCCACAATCACAAGGCAACTTTTTTTTAAATCGTAAATGATCACCTAAATTTTTTAAGAAGAAATCGATCAAATAGTATTGGTAACGGCGAAAAGAAAAGACGATTAAAAAGTATTCTTCGTCCTTCGCCATACATTTCGCGGGAAAATTTACAATCGTCGAAGGAGGTTAGATTTGTTCTCGTATTAGAAACGACTGTTTTGAAAATAAAAAAATACAACATAAATTTAATTAATACATATTGTTCAGAATATTTATGAGAACAAATCAAGAATCGGCTCAAAAAAGGTGAAAACGTTTCTCCAATCACGAGAGCACAACGTAAGAGCGTGTATGATGGCCGGACCTGATCCATAAATTGTTGGTTTTAGGACCATCGAGATCGAACTGAGCCCGGGAATCCGGATGTCATTGATCAGTATTACGCTAACAATCATTACACGGTAACCGGTAACTATTAATTTGTTTTCCGTAGAAACGACAAATAATATTTAAGGTGTATACGCGAAAAATCATCACTTAAATCGTTTAAAACCGTATGGAAATAATGACGACGAAGATGAAGAAGATGATGCGAAAAATAATGTTCAAAATCCGCGCAGATCTCTTTCAATGGTACAAAGCACACGGAGTATGCCAATTATTCCAATCAACAATCGTGAGAAATTTTCACACTTTTTGAGATTTGCATTATAAAAAATTTAAGGATTTCATCAATCGTTTTATTGGTTCGCTCATAATCACAAAAAAATGGGATTTCGCCATTTTTGTATGCTATTCCTTTTGCTTTGCTATACTCTTATGGGAGCTGCGTTGTTCTACAGTATTGAGTCTCGACACGAGATAAAAGTAAAACGCAAAAATAACTTCGAAATATTTGTTTTATTAGGTTATGGGATTTCATAAAGAAAACTTGGAAAAAGTGATTTTCGAAATTGCACAGCGCCTGGAGCTTGAAATTTTGGATCCGGAGAAGTTGACGACAATCGCACAAATGGAAAACTTTCTGAGAGTATATTTCAAAAATAATTTTAACTAAAAAAAATGATTTCCTTCAGAAAGCATACGTTAAATTGTTGAAAACCGAGGATTTATACAGTGGAAGTACATATTTCAAGCACGAAGATCCAGAAAATAATCTCAAATGGACATATGGAAGTGCATTTTTCTTCTCAATGAATGTATATACGACAACTGGTTACGGTAATTGTGAAATGTTTAGAATAAAAACGAACAAACCTTGTTCTCAGGATCGATTGCACCATCATCAACCTTAGGAAAAGCACTAGTGATAATTTATGGTCTTATTTTTGTACCATTAACTGCAGTGGTTATTCGTGATCTTGGTCAATGGGCTCTTTTATATTTAACAAAAATGTACACAATCATTAGTGACAGTTTCAGGTAGACATTTCATTTGTTTTTTTAAGCACGGTTCTAAATCTGTTAAATTTTTAGACGAGTGAGAGGATTCGTCGATATGTTCGATGAAGATGAGATAATCAGTCTTCCTATAAAATTTAGTGTATCAATAATGGCCTGTAAGTGATTTTATTTAATAAACATTAATTTATTAATTCAGCGTATCTATCGTTGGCAACAATTTTTATATATGAATATGATGCTCTTTCGGGACCTCCTGACTCTGGAATTAGCCTATTTCATTCGTTTTATTTTTCGTTTGTCTCAATGTCCACTATCGGTCTTGGAGATATAATGCCGAATAATGTTACCGTAAGTTTGCTGTAGTTATATGTATTTAAGAGACACGGAAGTTGATTGATTTTTCAGTTCTCGCCGCTTATCACAATCGTGTTCTTTTTCGGAATGCCCATTCTAAAGGTTGTCAATAGAGTCACCTACATTTGCTTAGAAAATGGGGTGTTCGGTACACAGAAGTTGCGATCTCATTTAATTTTTGAATGTTTTGAAGGTACCATGACAGTTCTCGAAAATCGGCTTGATCAAGCATGGAAAACTGCGACCGTGTTACCGACTGGAGAGCCGATTGATACAGAAGTACCTCAGAAGAAATCGATTGCTAGCGAAGGATTGCTACCTGATGAGGTTGGATTTGAAGAATTTTTGCTGAGAATTTATTAATGCTTTCAGAACGAGGGAACTGTTCCAAATGAATATTTGAACAACTTCACAATTCGTTCAATCGCTACTTTCATGCGAGCGAACGGCGACGTCTACGGAGGAGGATTCGGACGGGTCAATATGCGTCGTGGAGATCTTCGTCATCTGACAAGTGCTGATAATCAAGGAACAATTCAATCAAGAAATTTAAGCAACAATCCGCCGGCTTAATTAATTTTTAATTATGTTTAAAGATTGTAATATTGTCATAATTATTGACCCGATGCCCCATTCTATTTTCCCAACGGGTGATTGATATTATAATGCATTCAACTTTTAAATTATACATCCTTGTTCTTTTCCGTGATAACAACATCATTATTTATTGTAGAAGTTAGGGAGATGACTAATATGCTACGAAGTTGGCGCGCTTTCCCTTTCGCGTCACGACAATTGGCATCCGATCGTCATTGTAGGCGAGCATGCATTGCACCGGAGAAAAAAAACAGTTTCGATCGTAGCGTATGGCTTCTTTGAGTCTAGGCGATTCTTCGTAGTCTCTGAAAGTTGGAATATGTTTCAAACAGGTGACAAAGTTATCTCAAAATGCTTCTGACTTTGGCACCTTTTTCTAACAAAACTACCAAGGTAAATTGTTCAGAAATGATGCAACGTTTAAGAAATAGACGATTAAATTGAAAATCGATCGTTCGAAAAATCATACTAATTCATAAGATTAATTAAAGACACTGACCCGACGAGTCCGTATCGACTTGACCTTGGCATCGCAATGAGAGAAGAGACGATGACTGGAAAGAGCGCAACAAGAAGCATCCACATGTTCATATTTTACCTGAAAGCAGCATTTTCGTGGCCAATAATAGGATAAATGGGGCGATATTGAAAAGAAAACGAAACGAATATGCGTGTTATAACCATTCTGATTCGATTACTGAGCCCCCAAATCTGGTAATATGCGTATTCGACGAAATTGGAATTGGTCACGAAATATAAACGAGCCTATTTTACTCGAAAATTTCGACTATGGGCAATTACACTGATTAAGCGCGACGCAAGCATAATGGAAGCATTGTGGGAAATCTGTGGAACGGAAGCATAATGCTTCCATATAGGAAGCATAATGTAATTCTTAGTGGCTGTGGAAGAATTATGGGACGAATATGGATGGAATGAAAACGGGATGAATATGCTTCCGGTGTTTGCGAGCCGTGGAACAAATATGGATGGAATATGGATAAAATAATCATATGTCAATAAACATTATACAATTGGCGTCTGGACGGCAGACCAAGACAATTTCTAGAAAAATCAATACAAAAAACTTATGCTATCATATAAACAATGAAAATTTGAAAATTACATGATACACAACGGACGAAATTTAGCTTCTACCATTTAATGACTTATGTTACTCAGATTTATGTTAATTCAGTCAACTGTTCCTCACTTTGTTTAAAGATTGCCAACTACAATTTAGTCGTATTAATATATTTTTGCCGGTTTTTCCGAAATTGGCATCGCAAACTACTCACAATTTGCTCCAAACTGGTAGCAGACGCGCGTAGAAGAGGCGTGCCGCAGCATTGCAAAACCGTGCGCCGCATTGCACAATGCGGCCACGCCTCACATTTTCGAAATTCGTTTTCAAAATTTTTGTCCTTTTGCTTTTTCTCAATGAATTTTCAAGATTTTTTGTGTTTTTTTTTTGTCAAAAATTAAAAATTTTTTTTCAAAATTAAAGGAAAAATGTTTTTAAAAAATAAAGGAAAAATTTTCATATTTATCATCAAAATCGAAACCAAAAATAAATTGATAGCTTTCGAATATTTTAAAATCGATACGATGTTTTCAAATCGTTTCCGACACTTTTAAAATCGAATTTAAATATTTTCTCAATCGAATTGTGTTTAATTTCTCATCGAATCCGTTTTATTTTTATTTACTTTAACATATTTTTTATTATCGCTCGCTTTTTTCTTTTAATAAAACATAATGTTTTGAAATTTTTTACAGATGAAGACAAGATCGAGAGTGTTGTCAGATATAACTGAAACTGCTCTAGAAGTCAATAACAAAGAACCAGAAGTCCCTAACATGGAACCAAATTCGCTCGACACTTCAGATCCAGATAGTCCAATTTACTCGCCAACTCAGCAAAAAAAATTTTTCTCCACAGTCCTCACAAACAACAAAATCAACGCCAATTCCTAAACCTTCGTACGCCCAATTTGTAAGTTGTTATCATCAAAAATTGGCCTGTTCGACTCCAGAAATGGTTTCAATTAGAAAAATATGCGCAATGAAGTCTTTATAAAGTACTTCCTAAGTTTAAAGCTTGTTGATTATTTGGTTCCAATCAGGGCTGTGCGGCAATGGAATTGCCGATTGCCGAAATTGCCGGTTTTTCAAATTGCCGAAGAAAATTTCGATCGGTAATTTGCCATTAGCCGAATCGCCGAAATTTCCGATTGCCGTACAGCCTTCGTACCAATATCATTCAGTGGCATTTATCTTTTTAAGTGGGGCTCTAGTACAGAAGTCGCCAGACGCCGACTATATAAAGATCCTATACTTTATTGCAAATATCTATATTACAGATGTTCTTATCCATGGCTTTGGGCAACAACCGACAAATGACTTCAAAGCGAAAGCATTACGTATGGTTCGAGAAGTCATGGATAATCTTCTGTAAGATTTTGAACTATGACTATTAATTTATTTATTTGATTAAGCGATAGAATGCGCCAACGACTTCAAAGGAAATTTGGTGTAGCGCCGGAAGCGCTCGCGGCGCAATTAAGGAAGCTGCTTGATTCTACCAGCAACCCTCAGATGTGAGTATTCATATGTCTTTGAAATTTTAACCAAAATGCCTTTTTGCTTCAAATTTTGGAGTTGTTCTTTCTTCCGCCAATTCACTTTTTATTTTGTGCACTAAAGGGTTTCCAAAAATGCAATAAAAATAAATTATTTTTATTTTTAAGAAAATTATTGATGTAAAAAAACTGATTGTATTTTCTCGAAAAATTTAGTTTACGTAACAATGGTTTACAAGTTTTTCAAATTAATAGGCCCATTATAATCTACTTATTACAGCGTCCCGCTCGATGTCAGTACTGACAATGATTCGAATAGTTCGGCAGTTGCCAGTAACTAATGGTTTGATTATATCTTAATTGAAATTCATTTCATTGTTGTTTTTTTTTATTTTAAATTAAATAAATGTGTTAATATGAAATAAATTTTGAATACAGCAATCAAATTGTTTTCTTATTTGCCCATATGGAAGGCATACGGCTCATTCCATATACGAAACACGCGGTTCCGCAAAAAAATGCTTCCATTATGCTTCCATATAACTTGCATATAAGATTCCTATGATATCCACAGCCGTTCCACTATGCTTCCATTGTGCCTATGCCGCCGTTTATCTGTGTATAATAAGAGTCGCACACGCACTAATATGGCTCGATTATGAATAATTACAATTTTTGCTCTTTCCAATACGAAACACGAACATCAATTGTTCAATCTGAATTTCAGAATGATGGTGGTGGTGGTAAATAATATACAGATTAGTTGAAATTATATATATATATATATATATATATATATGTATATATATATATATACATATATACATATATAATGTAAAATATTATTTTTAAAAAGACACAAAATTTTATATATGTATATATAATTAGGCAGATATTATTTTGTCCGCAGTCCATCCTCACTCGATGGACCGCTTCTTCGCCACAAGTCCTCATAAAAGGGGGGAAGTTTGGGGAAACACACTAAAATCGGCAATTTGTCTTCGATCCCAAGGCTACCCCTTCTCAGAAAATCGGCGATTAGTATATTATGAAAATTGAAATTGTATTGCGACGAAAATCAATGACAAGAATCCATTTATTTTGCATTCTAGGGCTCATTAATAAGCATTTATATGTGGCCAGGCCTAATCTGTAGATCTACTTGAGTACTGCTACCACCGGACACATAATAATTGAATTGAAGGTTCAAAATTCGGCAAAGTAAAAAAAACGTCATCGGAAGTACTTCCGAGATTTTCTACGCAATATGAGCATAATTTAATTCATCTTTGACACAATTTTCGTAGAAAAAAACAAGATACCTGATATTAAAAATACTTGTTATGAATCAAGGAAAAATAAAAACACAAAAATAAAGTTAAATGCTCGTGTTTTCACAAAAATGTATCCACGGATGGATGGGCTTTTGTGAATTCTTAATAACATTATATTCCCACAACTTCATCAGAATAATCATAATATTTCAAAAATCGTAAGAATATTGCTCAACACACTACAATTATTAGAGGATTGAATTTAACTCAAACGCATCCCGTTGAAAAAATTAAAATTATTTTCATAATTAGACAATACCAAATACATACAGGGTGTCATTTAAGTTCCCGCACGGCAAACGATTCCTCACTACCAGTGTGCGCACTCGATCTCAAAATCGTTAAAAGATCGATCTTGCTCGAAAATTTAAAGATCGATCGAACCCGAGATCGATCGAGCATTTCGAGCGCTCGAGATCGATCGAGCGCTCGATCGAGATCGAGCGCGATCGATCGAGCGCTCGATCGAGATCGAACGCGCTCGATCTCGATCGATCCCGGGATCGATCGAGCACAGGTAAGTTCGATCTCGGGATCGATCGATCTCGAGCGCTCGATCGATTTTTAGAAAGATCGATCGATCCCGATCGATTTTCGCTACCAAGATCGATCATACTCGATCGAGCGCTCACACTGCTCACTACCGATTTCTCACTCCACTACCGATTTTTCACTGCCAAATTTTCACTACCCAAATTATAGTTTTTTCACTACCGATTTTGCACTACCGTTTTTTCACTTTCGATTTTTCGCTACCGTTTTTTCACTACGAAATTTTCTTATAGTCATTCTTCTTGACTTTATCAATAATCCACTTCATTTCGAAAAAAACGAGTTTAAAGAAAATCTTTTTTTTTTATTAAATATTAAGAAAATAGCTAATAATGTGAACAATATCTATAAAATATTGTTACAGAAGATAACCTTGTTAATCACACGAATAGAAAAAAATTAAAAACAATGCAGTTAGGTTGATATTCATGGCTGCGGACGAACGAAAATTTTGAAATATTTTTTGTACTTTGTAAAGTGTTTTTTTAAATTAATTTTCACTCGTTTAAAGATAAAATTTAGCTATTTTCTTAATATTTAATTAAAAAAGATTTTCTTTAAACTCGTTATTTCTGAAATGAAGTGGATTATTGATGAAATCAAGAAGAATGAGTATAAGAATATTGGCAATGAAAAAACAGTAGCGAAAAATCGAATGTGAAAAAACGGTAGTGCAAAATCGGTAGTGAAAAAACTATAATTTCGGTAGTGAAAATTTGGCAGTGAAAAATCGGTAGTGGAGTGAGAAATCGGTAGTGAGGAATCATTGGCCTTCCCGCACAAATGTTTGACGCCATGAAGAGCTTGGCTGTTGCACTTTTCGTGCACCAATACAATTTATTTTTGTTAAATAAGGTGTATTTTACATACTTTCCAAGTTTCACCTCATTCGGATGTGTTTCCGAGAAATGGCGAAGGCTAACATCCATTGCGCTTCCATTATCGAACTTCATAAGCAAAATGTGAGCCCGAGATACATCATTCAACGCCTCGGTGTGCCTCGTAGAACGGTTTGCGACACCATCAAACGATTCAAGTAGCTAAATACGACCAGTGTCCGTCCCAGACAAGGAAGACTCGTCTCAGTAACCACTCCTCAGAAGATCAACGCCGTCAAATCGAGGATCAGCCGAAACCCCCACAGGAGCATGAGAAAGATAGCGTCAGACATGGGAATGAGCATCTTCGCTTTGGAACAAATCGTCAAAACGAAGCTTGTACTGACCCCATATCGTGTCCAAAAAGCGGCAATTCTATCGGCCGTCAACAAGCAGAGACGCTTCGAAAAAGCAAAACGACTTCTTGCTCGCACGCGGTCTGGACAAGATCTCGTCACTGTCTTCTCCGACGAGAAGCTATTCACTGTGGAGACGGCATTCTACTCACAAAACCATTGAGTACTTGCCCAGACATCCCAGCAAGCTTCTGAGAAAGGAAGAACATATCATCCAGCCTCACATCCTGCCAGTGTGATGGCTTTTGGTGCCATCTGCTCAACCGGGAAGTGCTACCTGGTTTTCGTGGATCAGATGGTGAAAATGAACAAAGAAGTCTACGTTCGGGACATTTTGGAGAAGCATGTGATGCCCTGGACCCAAACGCATTTCGGTGGGCAGAAATGGGTCTTTCAACAGGACGGAGCAGCCGCCCACACTGCCAAAACTACTCAGGAGTGGTGCCAGACCCATTTTTCCGACTTCATCAAGTCATCCGAATGGCCTGCTTGCTCCTCAGACCTGAACCCGCTTGACTTTTCCGTGATAGGGTCTTGCAGGGGAAGGTCAACGCAAAACCCCACTAAAGTGTAGAGGCTCTGAAGAAGACATTACTGGCGGAATGGGACAATCTTTCCATCGAATACCTGCGTACCACAGTCGAATTCTACCCGAAGCGTCTCCGTGAAGTCATAGCTGCGAAAGGAGGCCGAATCAAAAAGAGTTTATAGATAAATATTTGTTATACTATAGATAAAAAATACTTCGAGTCTCGTTTGATTTGGACTTTTTGTTTCAGAAATATACGTCTTCAAAGTTGTGCGGGAACTTAAATGACACCCTGTAGATAATACGAGTTAACTGTTCGAGAGCAGAAATTTCGGGCAATTTTTAAAAGTTGAATCTTATTACGAAAAGAAACCATATTTCGATATTTTGTTTTTCGATTTTCTTTAAATTTTTAGTATGATTTATTGCAACTAACTAATCGCTAAAACCCGTAAGCAAAAAAAAACAAAAACAAAAAACAAGCTATTCGATTTCACAATAAAAATGATTCTTTAAACTTGGCAATGTTCCTTGATCGGATCCATTTTTACAATTCTTCGCATATCGAATTTTCTCAGATTTACGTTGATATAAGCTCCGTCAAAAATTCGCTCAGCATACGCTCGACCGGCAGCAAGAGAATGCATTACACCTCTGCAATTATACTTTGAAAATGTTGACACGTTTAGAAGATAAAATCGATTTTTTATTTTTTTTTTTACAAAAGCATGATGATGATGATGCATTTTTATATGGAAAACATATTTTCGAAAGTCACAAACCTTCCTCCAAATCCACACATCATATGCAAATTTGAATATAAAGGATGTTCACCAATAACAGGTGCATCATCGAACGTATTCACATCTTGATATCCACTCCAAGCTGATTTTACCTGGAGAAACTCTATATATAGCAGAATCAAAAATTTATTAAAAATACTTTTGCTGTTTCAAATCCTGGCACTCGATCCACTAGAACTGGCCAAATCTTTTTATAAAAATCATCATAATCTACTTCTAATTTACTGTGGTCAATTTTTTCATCTTCTTCCTAGAATTCAGACAATAAGTATATTAGGGGGAAGCATTCACAACCTTTGTAGGATTTCGGCCAACCAAAAATGTATGACCACAATCCGACTGCCTACAGTACACTCCACTTGGATCCACTAAAAATGGTAGATCCGCGGGAACATCAGGAGCGAAAACGACGAAAACATCGCGTTTTCTCGGTTTTACTGGAACAGGAACGGCGAGAATTCCTGTTCCTTTTCCGATTCCCGCCATTCGTGCAATTTCTCCTGCCCAAGGGCCTGCTGCATTCACTATCAAGTGTGCTAAGATTGGACGCGCCGATGCATCATTCATTTGTGGTCTCACAATTACACCCGATATTCTTTGATTTCGCAGTTTGTTCTCATCGGCAGTCTCGTCATCTCCCATTGCATGTACCTTTAAATGAACGTTTCGGATACGTTATACAATTTTCCAAACAAAAACCTCCGGAGTTCCGCGATTTCTTTCAAATTTGAAACCTTCTACCTCTCCTTTAACGTACTGAACACCTAATGTAATGTTCTTTTCACGAATAGCTGACAATAATTGCCACGTATCAATGGTTCCTTCATTTTCGATTCCTAAAAATTTCAAATTATCTAAATACAATTTCACATTATTCAAATACCTAAACTAGCCAATTTTACATCTTCAACGTGCATGTAAGGAAACCTCTGTTGAAGCTCTTCTTTAGATAGAAGTTCGACTTTTGCTCCATGCTCACTGAAAAATCAATTTCTTTCAATTTTTGCTCTAATTTCAAGAGCGTACATTTGAATTTTCCAAGCATCTCGCATCTGCGTTACTTCTTCGTCAGTTGTTGCAAATCTTAGGAATCCGGTAGGGAAGAAATTAATATCGGGTTGCTCACTGTCTGAATAAAAATATATAAGATTTATATAGAATAATAATAAAAACAGAAACCAAGAATTCTTAAATGTTCGCCAGCATGTCTTAAAAATTCTGTTGTGAACAAGCTCATATCGACAAACTCTGGAATTGAAAACTGTTGAGTTATTCCGCCTGTGGAGAGCATTGTGCTGCTTTTTGTGAAGACATCATTGTTTTCAACAACTACAACTTTGAAATCTTCATCGCGAAAACGTTCTTTTAACCAGTAGGCTGTCGACGATCCAGTCAATCCACCTCCAATAACGACAATTTCAGCACGAAACGGAAACACTTCGTTATCCAATACAGAATGTTTCATGTGAGCAATTGGATGTCTTCGTTGAAACGCATCTCTTCTTGCCTAATGAATCGAATTTTAAGGTTTTCTTTTAATTAATATATTTACTTCTTGATATCTTCTTTTCCATCTTCGAAAATCGTAAGTCAGCCCGTGCCAAACGCGTTTCATTACGTCTTCTCCTGGCTCGTAATGTCTTTCGTTTTCAAAATTTTGCCAACAATCAACTCTTGTTGTTTGAAGACATCTTGAATTAATCAACCAAGGCCTGATAATTTTTATGGGTAGCATTATCCTTCGCATTCTGAAATTAGCTGATTCTATAATTGAGTAAAAATATTTATTTCACGAATAAAGAAAATATATATATATATATACTAATTGGCCTATTTCATATGAAATGTTTAATTTTTTATAATACGAGAATTCGAATAATCTGCGGTTTAGCGTAAACCTACACCTTTTTGTCTGCAGCAAATGCGACGGTGTTTGCACAGCCCCGCTATTTTGAATTTTCTTTTTCTGCGTTTTTTTATTTTCGGAAAAAGTCCATTTTGGAATGATTTTTAACAAATTGTTATGTATTTTAAAAAAAGTAGAAAATTTTGTAATTTATTTCTTGTTTTTTTTTTCAGAATGGCTGAGATTGTTGAGCGTATGAAAAAGAAAACCGTGGTGAAACCAATTGTTTATGGAAATACTGCTTCTCCTTTTGGCTATAAAAGAGAATCTGATAACCACACGCATCAGTGGACTGTATTTTTAAGGTAAAATATTTTTGTCAAATTTAAAGTGCTAAAATGTTTAATTTAGGCCTTATTTAGCGGAAGATCCCACAAAATGGATCCGAAAAGTGCAGTTTAAACTTCATGAAAGTTATGCAAATCCATATCGAAGTAAATTTTTGTTTTTGAATGATTTGACAAATATCTATCTTCAGTTATTGAAAAGCCGCCTTACGAAGTTACAGAAACCGGATGGGGAGAATTCGAAGTTCAAATTCGGATATATTTCATTGATCCTAATGAAAAGCCGGTAAAGAATGTGTTCGCAGTAGTTGTTTACAAATTTTCTTACAGATCACAGCATTTCATTATCTCCGACTGTTTCAGCCATTGATTAAACTTCCTTCTGGAAATGAAATCGTAAGCCTCGAATTTTACGACGAAATTGTTAGTAATTCTCGGCAATGTTTAAATATCAACTTGTAAAATTTCAGATCTTCCAAGAGCCTACAGTCCAAATTTATAAAGGATTGCAGTGTGGCGAAGGGAAACGACCAGACAAGCAAAATTTTCTCACAGACAGTTATTTGAGTTTATCTATTAATCGGTTATTAACGATTTTCAGTAGAGCAAATTAAAAAGCGAACAATTGATTTGGGAATGGTTGCTAAGAATGAAATCACTGCGGAAATTGAAGATCTTCGTGAAGCTTTAAAATCTGCGCATAAACTTATTGTAAAATATTCAACGGAATTGAATGAGGTAAATGAAATTAAGAACAGCATTTATAAAAAATTGTTTATGGTACTAATAAGGTTTTCAATGAAAACTACTCAAAATTGGTTAAATCACGTTTTTTTTTGCGCAACCCGCAAAAGGGTTTTTGGAGATTTCTGAAAATGCTTTATTTTGAGTTTCTCCAAAATCTGCATAGTACCATTATGGTTACTCAGGCAAATCAAATAAAATATTTTGAGAATCAAATATTCAATGATAAACTCTAAAATATTTTGAGAAAATCTAAAGTCTATTGATACTTTCTAAAACTTATTGAGAATCGATAAATTTAAAAATAGTTTTTAAAATCTTATATAGTCGGCGTCCGGCGACTGCTATACGCCGGTAGATTTACGCGCATGCGCCTTGAAAAGGTCTCGCCACGCATGAATGCTTATTTTGCTGTTTTTACGTGAACTGCTTAATTTTTCTTGATTAGTTTCGCATTTTCTTGAATTTCCAACGTCATTCGATTAAAAAATTATCGAATCGGTCCATAAAATTTGAAATAACCTGTTAGTCCGTGTAAGACCATTTGCAAAGACGCATTCCCGTAAATCTACCCGCGTACAGCAGTCGGCGTCCAGATTTTCTAAAATTTATTGAGCAAATTCTAAATTATCCGAATAAATTCTAAAATCTTATAATAAGTTCGAAAGTTGATTGAGAAAAATCTAAAATATTATAGAGACACGTTAGTTTCTCAATGAATCTCAAAATATTTTATTCGATTTACCTGAGTAATACAAAATAATATTTTTTTTTTGAAGATGGAACAAAACGAGCAACAAGAATCTGGTCAGCAGACGCCATGTTGATTTTCGACTTGTTTGTTGTATAATGTTTTTAATTAACAATAATAAAATTATTAATTTTTTTCGTATGAATTTAATAATCTGATATTCTGAAAAAACGGCTATGGAAGTAAAGTTTCTTTCGTGATAAAATTTTGTTTTCTTCATAATTTTTGAATTAACAAAAAAAATATTATCAAAAAAAAAAACGAACACCTTAATTGACCATTGCATTTTTTTTGAGGTAATTCAAATTTGAATTCAAGCAGTAGAAATTCGAATACTACGGAAAACCTGCGAATCAAACTCGTAAATCGGCGCTTGATTTATTCGTGAATGTAATAAAATAGGTGAACTTCCCAAAACAGAATCGGTCGTTTTTGTTTATCTTTTATTCGAAAATATTCCAAGATACGGTAATTGAAGGCGCACACAATTGGTGGGTTTGCGTCTCGCAGCGACTGTCGACTGTTCTCTCGGTAGTCACTTACAAAAACAGACTGTAGTAATACTTTTTTCTTTTTGTTTTTTTTTCATATTTTTTTATTCCGATTTTACTATTAAAAATTTATAAAAAACCATTTTTGGTAATTTTGAAATGTCAAATAACATGTTTTCAGTGCTTTAGGAATTATAGCACTTGCAATGAATAAAAACCGGTAGAATTATTTCGAAAATAATTTTTATAAGATTTCTAGAAACCCTAGTACGGTATTCGATGGATATTTCAAAATACTATGTTCAGCTGTTTTTTCTATTTTTTTAACGCATTCCACCAACTTATTCGATTATTTTCAACATTGTCGGAAAAACATCTACAGTTTATCCACAGTGACAAAGCACACCTCACTATCGCGAAACTGAGGACGCAAAAAATTGGGGCTGTTTCACCCAGCCAAGCACCGCCTCCTGTTGGTTCTCGTTTCTCTCGACCCTCGTCATTATCGATTGATATTCTTGGGGTGGCGGTTTTTATTTAGGATAGATAAATATATGTATGTATTTTTCTTTTTTCCTCTGCGTCACTTATTTCTGAAACCGGCGGTCGCTTGAATCGGGTGTTGGTCAGAGAATGAACGCTAGATAGTGTACGGAGCGGAGAGGGCGACGCGACGACAGACAGTCGAGGTTTTCATTGGGCAGATTAGACGTGTGGCGAAACGTGGAGCGCGCGGGACAGTGAAATAAACGCGAGTTTTTCGCGCGTTTTCGAATGTTTTTTCTTGCGACGCGAATTCATGTCGCGAAAGTCGCCGATGATGATTTCCCAGGTTCATCATCGAAACTGCTCCGTAACGGGTGTAACTCGTTACGGTTTAACAAGACTATCAACATGTCCTACTCCTGGACTAGAGGGTTTTTATCAATTTTCAATTTGAACGTTTTCGAAGAGGTAATATTTTTTGGGATTGTCTACGTGTTACTCAATTTATTGATGTCATTTTTTCTTTAATTATTTTGAGACCCTGCTCTGCAAATTTTTCTAAACCTACAGTAAGATTCACAAACACTTCAAGCGCAAGCAGAGAACGTTTTATAATAGCGTTTATAAATTAAATAATGAGTTTGGTAAAGGTATTCGGATGGGTTTGCACACATATGCCTTTCGCTTAAAACAAATCGAAATGGACTTAAAATGCAATAGAAACAGTTAGTCTGTGCAAGACCATAGCGAAATTTGTATACTCGTAAATCTACCCGCCTGTAGAAGTCACCTACTGCCGCCTATAAAAAGGAAAAACATACTTTCTAATTGGTATGTACAAGTTTTCGGCTTAAATTACAGTATTACAAATATTTCCTCTGTTATGACACAAATCGAAAACTCGTCAGCGCAGTGTGAAGTTAAAATAGAGTGTCCTTTAAATAATTTTTTCTGTTTATGCGTGGCCTCAACACATTTCAGAGAGTTATTTAGTTTATTCCTCGTTTCGATTTGGTTACCAGCTCAAAATAGAAATTGTTTTAAATTTCATCGCGATTAGCTTAAAAAAATGAAATCTTTAAGGTCTTGGTTTTTAAACTTATATGATATTTATTTTAACGTTATCAATCGATGATCCTCTTTAAAATGAGTCTGTGGCTTTCGCCTGGAAATTCAGCTTAGCAATTGTCGTATTTTATTTGCACGCTGAAAACAAAACATTTATTTATAATTATTAAAAAACATTTTAAAAATAATATTGTCGAAGTCGTGTGACCGCGGAAAATTGGCTAAATGCCAAAAAAAAAACAAGTGCAATGGTCTTGGCGCAAAACAAAAAATGTAGATTTACAGGCATGACGATAGGTTAAAGGCGCACTTCGCGCACTAAGACCTCTCCTAATATTTTTTTGCCAATTTTCCTCAATTGAGCGAATTTGACAATCTGAAATCTCTTATTTTTCGGTCCCTCTAATAAACGTTTTTGCGGGCATAAAAATCTTGGACATCACCGTTACATGTTCTTTCATAATTTTCAGGTTTTTTCCAACAAGGTAAAAATCATGGACGATTCAATCTCAAAACGTTTTATAAAGTTATTATATGCCAACGATTTAGGTAACCCGGAATTTCAGACTTTAAATCTTTCCATATTAGGTCTTGAGTTTGAGTATCTGGTTTATCGACACGGTGGTTTACGATAATTGGGCAATTTAAATTTGTGCGTTCGGCGAGTAAAGACGCGAGTTTCGCGAATCACCGGCAAGTCGTCGCGGTGTCGCCGCGACACCGCGACGACTCGCAACGCGACGCTTCAACTGAGTAGCATATGCTGTGCGGCGTCTGTTTATGCGTGCGCGCGTGTAGGCAGGATTGTGTGCGTATGCGCGGAAATGGTCCTTCACCATTTTGACTGCGTACCATCAATGCGACGCTTTCGATCATATTTTGCACATTTATTGATTGATGTCGTTTTTCGTTTATTCTCGCTATATCCACCTCTCAGTCATCTTCCATCGCAGCATTTCAAAATCAAGCCAAATGTTTTGCAGATATTAAAATCTCGAACTGAATGATGGTCTCGTCAGGAGATTCAGTAGAAATTGAGCAAATTCGGGCCGATGTGCCTGATCATGAGAACACCTCCGACTCTGAGGATATTCAAAAAATCGAGGTATGTACGAAGGTTTCTGACTTCTCGAAAATTGCATTTTTATCACTTGCTATCAGTTTATCAAATAATCTGTTGATAAGCATTTTTTAAGTGCCAATTTGAATTTCGTGCCATTAGCTTTCGTTTTCGATATTTTGAAAACATAATTTCAGAAGCTTAAAGCTGAAAATAGATTAATGAACGATGAGAATGTCGAAATCAAAGAAGATTCGAATGAATCGAACGGCGGGATGCAAGAAGAAAGTCCAAAATCGGAAGGCCCTGAAAAGAATGGTGTGACGAATGGTTGCACCAATGGTGCATCACACATTAATAATAACGAACAAACCAATGATGGAGTATGTGATGAAAAACCTAAAAATGGAAGTACGAATTCTAATGATGTTGACAACGATATAGAAGAGATTGTTATCGATGAGGATGTGAAAAAACCTGAGGAAAATGTTGTGAATAAACCATCGACATCTAAAGAAAATGGTGAGTTCTTTGTTTTTTTAACTAGAAATTCGGATATTGAGCATAATTGGTAAAATAGTTTAATATTAACTAATACTTTTATGGCTCATCTAAAATATCTCCTTAAGAATTGCATATTTTATCCGAAACGACAATCGTTGACCTTTTTTACAAATACTTGCCAATTAACTTTAATAGTACACTATGTTTTTTTTTCAGAACTAAATAATAGTGAAAATAAAAGAAAAGCTGTTGAAGTTGAATGTATAGAACTCGATGATGACGACGATGATGTTTCTGCAAAGTCTTCAGCACCTCCTCCATTCAAAAAGTGAGTTTATTAGATTAAAACTTAAAAAATTGTTTTGTGCAGAATAAAGCCTAGTGAGAGTACAGACGACGATGAAGATATCAAAGTAATTCCAAAGCATACTGAGGAAAAGAAGAAAGAACCGGAATTGACCTCCCCAGAGGCACTTTTAAATAAATTAGAGGAATATGTAACGAAGGTGGGATTACTCCATTAATAATTTCAAAAATGTAACATTTGTTCTATATTAGGCTATCGATGGAAATGTTCAAACTGGTCGAAAGCTTCTAGATGCTCTACTCAATGCTATTAATGTCCAAGTTCAGCGCGAACCATTCAGTGTTCGAAAATTGATTCTTGAAAAGAAGCTCGTGCTACCAAACACAATATCTTTCCCACCGAGTCAAGTTGTCGACTTGCTCATTGAGCATGATCCAGACAATCCCCTCAATAAGGTGATTAACAAAATGTTTGGCGAAGAGCGTCCGAAATTGAGCGAAGCCGAACGAAAAGAGAGACAAGCGATCAAGGTACGTATTGTCAATTGAAGTACTCAAACTGAGTAAGCAGTTCAGGCGAATAATCCGGTTCCGGGATTCACCAAGCTTCTTATGGATATCGGACAGGATTTAGTGCAAGAGTCGACCTATTGCGATATTGTGCACGCTAAAAACTTGCCAGAGACTCCAAAGAATGTCGAGACTTATAAGCAAGTGGCACAACAGTTGAAGCCAGTCTGGGAGACACTCAAACGAAAAAATGAACCCTACAAATTGAAAACAGCAAGATGCCATGTAAGTTTTTTCATTATTTTTATTGGAATAACTCCAAATTAATCAAGCGACTTAAAATTTGAGTATCACAGACTGATTATTTTTGCAAATAACTTTTATTGTCTGTGCCAAATGACTCAAGTGTGGCAATGTCTTCTAGTTCGCAAAATAAGTGTAGAATTATCGTTTGATTTCAAATTTATCCGTAGTAAGCTAATTCACAATGTTAAAAAATTAGGAATTTGAATTACCGGGTCGAAATAATAGGTTGGTCCGAAAACACCCAGAGTGCTCGTTTTTTGTAGTGATATTACGTTCGATCAATTTTCTTCTAAAAATATTGAAACCTAGCATTAGCGTGCCAATCTCTGTACTATAGTCATGCGCACACAATAAAATTGTTTCATTCGTGAAAACAAAACTGTTCTCATTTATTTTCATAAAATTTCAGCTATGCGGATTCCAATCAGAATCAAGGCTTGTTATGTCGCGACATAAATCAACATTGCATCATATTGGTTCGAAGTTCCAATGCACATTCTGCAAAGAGATTGACACGAATGAGCAAAGAATGCTCGATCATTACCTCGATGCTCATCTCATTGTGGCCATCAAAGAAGAAAAGGAGGCGAAGTTTCCATGCCCGATATGTGAGGAAGATTTCAACTTCAAGGGTGTTCGCGAGCAGCATTACAAGCAATGCAAAAAAGATTACATTCGTGTGCGAAATATCATGGCACCTAAAGCGGATGACATATTACATATTAATCGATGGCTTTGGGAGAAACCACCCGTTGATCCAACAATTCTGCAGCAGCAACAAGCACAACAGGCAAAGAAGCACTCGCAAGCTGCTCAACAAATGCAGGCGATTCGAGCAAAACAGTTGCAAGCACAACAGATGTTGCAGCAGAAACAATTGGCATTATTGAAGCAGCAGCAGCAGCAACAACAACAGCGACAGGTATTTTGAAAAAAAAAATCTTTTCTATTTCTTATTTAATTTTTTTAGTTCCAACAATTGCTCCAGCGGGGACTAAATTTGAGCAATTTGAGCAACAAGAGCTTTTTATCTGTTATTCAAAAATTAAGTTCATCTGGAAATGTGGCGCAACAAGCACATATGGCTGCTCTCATTCAAAAACAAATTGCCGAAGTTGCGAAACAAACTCCAAACTTGCAAGCATCGTTGGCTGCAGCTGCTGCTGCCCAGCAAAGGGCTCCTAAAACACCAGTTGCACCAACGAAGAAACCAACTCCAATAACTCCAGCAAATTCGGTTGCTTGTGAGATTTGCGACCAATCAATAATTGACAAAGACCGCTATTTGGCACATTTGCAGGTTAGGTTGAGCATTTGAATTTTGTTTATTATATTTAAATATTACAGTGCATGCACAAACAAATGATTGGAAAGAATGTGTCAGACATGTCGCAAGGAGCCCCACTTGCATGCAGTCGGTGTCGGTTTAGATTCTGGACATATGAGGGACTCGAAAGACATTTGGTTATGTCACATGGCTTAGTTACTGCTGATTTGTTGCAGAAAGCCCAGAAGAAAGAAGATGGAGGAAGATGCAAACTGTGCGGGAAGGTAATTACGCGAATGTTGCTGAATGTGACGTAAAACTGTATTTGTAGCAATACGCTTTCAACATGTTGCAACATTTGGTTGCTGATCATCAGGTCAAATTGTGTTCTGCCGAAATCATGTAATTCTCACATAATTTCTTTTTTAATTTTGTAATTTTATTCCTTGTGTTTTAGGTACTCATGCGATGTTTGTTCATTCAAGTGTACAAGTTATCAGACGCTTGAAGCGCATTTGACATCAAATCACCCAAAGGGCGCCGCAACGGATAAGGTAGTTTCGGGATATGAAAATAGTTAGAATTGAAATTGTTAATGAGTGCTGCTAATAACACGTTTCATATGTTTAACTAAAAATTTGTAAATTTTCTTCCAACTAAGCCATGGGATTTCAGAGTTCCAATTCGAAAAAAGACGACTGCATTGTATTGGACGAGTAAGCAGAATGCGTTCTGCCATCATATTTAATCATATCAAAAATCTCTGCAAGACCCAAACACACAATCAACCGGCTCTTTTCGAATTGTGTGTCCGATCTCGAAAGCCTCGGTCATTCTTGTATTTTTTTCTCGTTTTTACGGTCGCCTTTATAATTTTCCCTTTGCCCTTTTTTTGCATTAGAAACATTTTTGGTTGCTGTAAATTCAAAAGCGAAGTACCGGTTTTTAAAAACTGATTTGGTTTGAGTGCGCGAGTTCGCCCAAAAATTTCCAATATTCCTTAGTCTATATTTTTAAAACATATGTATTGCTTTTTGGCTTTTTTTAAATCGATTTTTTAATTTAATTAATATATTTCATTTCCGCCTCCAATTTTTCTTTCTATTTATTCATATTTATATATTTATGATTAAGTATACATATTTTATTACGATATAAATAAGAGTATTTGATGGATGTGTTTATCATAAATTTTACAAATAACTGACTTATTTTGATTGTCAGAAAGGAAAAATACTAATTGGTTTAAAGCCGTTTCACATTCCGCTAAATTTAAGCATGATTTAAGAAAAAGGGTATTTAGAATTCGGAATGACAGACATTGAAGTTTATTCCACAATTGTGACTGGATTTGAAGGAATCGGAGCTTCTGAGGTTTTGAATATAATATTTTTTTTTGAACACACGCTTGTCCAATTTTGGTTGTCAGGTTTCTCGAAAAATTCCGAATGCTAAAAATGTTGCTGCTGGACGAGGATTCGTTCGGTTCGCGGTAGAGCCGGAAAATCTGTCAAAAATTGAAGATTTACGATCGGTTGATAACTTGTTCGTTGTTATCTACGAAAATACGATTATCGGACTTCGCGAAATGCAAAAAGAAGTACTTAGAATTATTCTACTATTTTCGAACTATATAAGAATTTAAGGAAGCTATTGCTACTATAAAAGATCAAATTTCGTTTATGAACTGGAAAAACGCAATTGAGGCGTGGCAAATTGCTCATAAACGACCAATTTACGGTGGTAGTCAGAAGATTGTTGTAAGGAATTAAGAGCGGTCTGTGTTCTTTGACTTCTACTTTTTGCCTAACCAGATTTTGACTATCGATTTTTGAATGAACCAATAGTAAGCGTCCTGCCACTGATGTATGCGGGTAGATTTACGGATTCTGTGGTCTCGCGCGGACTAACTGGTTATTTCGTACCTCTTCGATAATTTTTAACCTTTTATAATCTTAAAATAGAAAAGAATTTAAAAATTGAACAAGAAATATTAAGAGATCATGTAGAAATCATGAAATAAGCATTCAAACGTGGCCAGAATATGTTTAGTCGCCGGATTCCGATTATTTTCATGCATTCATAGAAAGGCATTATTTTGACACTGAAGACATTCGGAATCAACTTATTGTTGAAGTCGCGCGACAGCCAAACTTTGCTAAATGCCAAAAATTAGAAAAGAGGTCTCAGTGCGTGGTGTCTCAAGACCACTGAATTTTTTTTGGCGTTTTGTCAGTTTTGCGCAGTCGACTTCGATAATACCAACAATAACATTTTGTTCAAAATTGCAAAAAAAATTTCCAAGGAAGAGTTGTAAATAATTAACATTTAATGACAATTCTTACATTTTTTTGCAGATAGCCTCCTTAGTCAAATTTTAGATATCCTTACGACTTCAACAATTCCAAACTGTTAGAAATTACTATTTATTTCATATTTTGAAAGGGAGGGGGGGGGGGGTATTTATCGTATTCCAATTTAATTACCAGTTTGTAAAAAAATCAGGCTTAGGCTAAAATCAAGATTGATGGAAAAAATTTCGCATTAAAATAAAAATGTGGGGTAAATTTCTAGAAGCGAAATCAAAAATAGGAGCCAAATAACATGGACGAACAAAGATATTTTTATTATAAATTACAATCAATTAGGAGCAAATGCGCAAGTTCATGAAAGATGGAACGCCATCTGAAGTTTCGGAGACATCTCCTTCATTCCGGTAATAATGTTAACCTATTGATTTTTCTGATATCAATAAGTGATTAAGAGTAACATGTAAACGAGCTGGAGATAAAAGTGTTCATCAATTCAGTTCAATGGATGCTGCGTGGCATTTTGGTACTTTTCAATTACACTTTTATATTATATTACCAATGATTACTGTTTGAATACCTAAGGTGCGCACATCAATAATGTTTTCGGATGGAAAGTTGATATGAAAAAGTTTGATATTGAAGTTTATTTGAGGATTGAAAAGGATTCGGTAGGACTTTTCGATTGATCAATCGTAATAGCAATTCAGGTTTCTGTGATGATGGCTCTAAATGGAGAATCAATGTTTAAGCGCAATATTGTTGCGTATGGTCCTACAACGATGAGATCAACTGTGTGTTACTGTATGACAGCATTAGCAGATCCGAAGCCCGGTGAAATCGTGGTTGACACAATGTGCGGCGGTGGATCGATTCCGATCGAAGGAGCCCATGCGTTTAGAGGAGTCGCATTTTTTGGTGGGGATAATCATCCATTAGCGTTACAGAGATGCCATTCAAATTGGGTTAGCTCATTCGTGATTTCTTAATTACACTAGAAATGATTACAGAAAGAAAATGAATTGAATGGAGCATTTTGTGATTTTTTCCTATGGTCCGCAGTGTGTCTTCCATTAAAATCAAATAGTATTGATGCAATAATCACGGATATGCCTTTTGGAAAAAAATTAGGATCAGTGATGGACAATCGAATATTATATCCGAAATTATTAGAGGAATGGAAAAGAGTTCTCAGGATTGGAGGACGTTTGGTACTTCTTACGCATGATCGAAGAAGTATTGGTATGTTATCACAAAGAAAACTTGAGCTGGTGAATTTGGAAATCGTTTAGCCCCTAAAATTTGAAGCATTTCCATGTTGAGGGCAGGAAAATTTGAAAATTTGGGGGAACTTAGGAGACGCATCTTTCAGATAACCCTCATAATCAAATTTTAGACGTTTTTGTAGATAATTCTTGATAATTATTTAATATCATATTCGAAAGTATTATCATATTCTGAATAATTTGTGCATTTCAAAAATCGGGATTCTGTTATAAACGTGTTTTAAAATTGATAGTATTTGGTAGTTTTTCCTCGGCGCAACAACTCGTTTGTTCTATTCGAAACTCACAAATTTCCCATCCTTTAACATTATATTATTTCGGCAAAAATGCCTTATTTTACTCCAAGAATGAAACTGCGATTTGACTGAAATTTGTGTGTCCCCGACCATAAGCCAGGTCGATTGCTTCTTTTATTCTGACAGTTCACATGTAATTCTTATCCAAGAACAGTTTGTTCAAGCAAAACCTTAAACGATAAAACAGTAATCCATGTACACTCTTTCTAATTCGTTGTATATTGTTTAATTTTTAATTTCAAGATTCTCTGTATTTTAGATGCAGCGATCCTCAAAGACCGAGAAAATTGGCGGACCGACTCGACACACATGGTTAATATGGGTGGTCTTACATGCTTATGCATTCGTCTCACAAACATAAAATGTGAATAAATTTATGATGAAAATAAGCTAATTTATAAAAGGCACAACTGGGATATGAAAACCGCAGATAGTTTAGACCCGATGTATTAGTGAATTCTTTTTTCTTGGCTTTTCATTTTCAGGTAATTGTGAAAAATGAAATATCACCTAAAATTGACAAATATATTGGAATCGCCGAGATATTTTTCGCTTACGTCATTTGCGTTGAGCGCTTTGAGCACATTTGAGCATGGCTTTGTTGGTTTGCATTTGGGAGGGACGGGTTGAAAAAATAAAGAATTTGTAGTAGGCACACAAACTGCTCGGGAGACGCGATCACAGTCATGGGTCTGAAAGTTGTTCAATATTGTGCCAGACTCTAAATATTAAGAAGTAACCTCAGCATGCTTTAAATGTTGAATCAAGAAGGATTTGTTCGAGATGCATGGTGAAGACTCGACTATTTCGTAGAATGCACTAAGCTCGGCGAGCTGAAACCTTTGCGATTTATACGAAGAATAAATTTGGAAATTTTCTTGAACTGATGTTATAAGGGTAATGCTGATTTTTCTCAAATTTCTCAGTTTGTCTTTTTCCTTAAAGACAACGAAATTAATTCTAATAGCCCGGTGGATAAAAAATTTAAAAAAAAGTAAAAGCCTAATTTACCTGTTTCCGGTTGCTCTTCCACCTACGAAATCGATAAACACAAAAGATGCCGACGATTAGTATTGCGACAAGAATGACAGGAAGTAAAGCGATTAATGAATAGTCTGCAAAATCGTCACTATTCAATTTCAGGCTCGCATATTTCGTAGTAAGACATCTTGGGAGTTTGCTTTTTTTTTAAATGATTTTAGGTAAACCTGAAACGGCGTGTAATCGGCCGTCAGCAAAGACGAAATCCCGATGGGACTGGAATTTGCGCACGTCGAAAATGTCCATTAGTGTGATTTTGCGGAGCGACTTTGCCGTTGAACTCGTGCCGGTTCGATTCGACGCATTCTCGTCGGACCTTGCGACTTTCTACAGAAAATTTTCCATTTTTTTGGGTGTTGAATTGATGAAATTTTAAGAAAAATATGCATTTATTAGATACCAATGGTGGACGCTTTAAATCCTGTCGGAAAAGTTCTAAAGGATATAAATTTGGGTCTAATAGATCAAAAAAAAAAGACGCGGATAAGAATAGGTTGATGGCCAAGAATTATACGCAATTCCCAAAAGACGAGAAATCAATTCGAATTTGGATTTTTTTTTGGCGAGATTCGTCTTGCCAAATTTTCGAAATTCCGACAATTTATAGAAATAAAAGAACGCCTAGAACTTGTCAAAAAACTAAAAGCTTCATATATTATTTGATTTTTACACTTTGCTCAACCTACAATTTCAATAACTTACTTCGAAGTCATCGGCTGGAAACGATAGAATAATGTTCATTTTCGTTTGTCTTGGAAATAATAATGAGCACCAAAATTGGCTTATTTGGTGGGGCTTATGGTAATGAGTGCATAGGCGTGCGAACGAAATGGAATTAAATGCAAAAAAGGAACTGATGTTTGGAGCCAAGAAGAGCGAGAAAAAAGTAGAAGCAAAAACGAACAACACAAGAAGAATGGAACGCGTAATTTGGAGAAAAGCTATTGTGATGAAAACAATGTTACTTGCCGACGCAGCCAATATTTTCTAGTTTTTCTGAATATACCTCACTCACATTTCTAAATATGAAATATATTTTTTATTTCTAGCTGAATGATTTGAATTTATAGTTTGAAATGTTCGACAGAAAACACACAAAAAATGCCGCAGATGATTAATCTGACGAGTCTGGTTCGACTCCAGCCCGGAGAAATACGAATTTCGCGATTCTTCTACTTTTCGTACCATAAATACTTCACATTGTCACACTACTAATTCACTTTATTCTTCCTTTTCCCCCTTTGTTCTTGGAATCTGAGTGGTGATGCGCAAGTGTTTCAGACACCCGATGATTTCGATGATTTCGGAATTTTGAAGCATTGGTTGGGAATAAATTAAAACGAAAGGCACTGAAAAAAGGTCGATTTCAAAAAAAAAGATATCTGATATTACATCATCAGCACACAATAATGAAATTTCGGAAATTTCTTCAAAAAATACTTCGATCTCTTATGTCTTTCTGGAGGTTTCTTGAATGGAATACTACATCTAGTAATTCTTGTTTAAAACCTTAATTTAAGAAATTTTGTTTGGTTTCAAGAAATTGTAATTGAGCATAATACTGGAAAGAAAAGATTTTCGAATGGCCGAACGAATAAGAATAATGTCGATTAATCCTCAGAAGGGCATTCATCTGACAAGGAACAACAGAATCAATAGCAATTTCCGGTGCATCCGCTCAAAATAGTCAAAAAAAATATGTATATGGGGGGTTTCGGATATCAAATGAAACAAGCGAACAATTATAGAAATTCTGCGCAATTTTATTTGGCGGAGTGTGGGAAACTTAATTGGAAGGTGTGTGAAAAAAAGGAGAAATGGAAAAAAAACTTACGATAACTTTGTGGATAACCATTTGTTAAGAATATTTAGCAGCGAATATATAGATATCTATACATATATAGGGCGTTTGTCAGTGTGAATTGCTTTTCCGAGTTTTCGTGCTCGCTTCATTAAGCGCGTATAAAGTTGGGGCTGGTCGTTTGAATGACAGGTTCAATGATGTCAAAGTGTTCCGCACTTCATAATGCGGCGCGAATTTTTTTGGCGCCGCAATATTATTGCGAAAAAGGCGAGTTACAGACGACAAGAATGCAGTCAAAAGAAAAGAAGAAAATAAAAAAAATTGAAGAAATTTAATTATAAAAATAACTCTTTGTACGGGGAAAATAGAACACTTCGAAGGATAAACGAAGTTAACCATTTTTCTCGTTGATTTTGCGCCAAATAATTGAGAAATTCAAAGAAAAATAATTTGAATTATTCTATTGGATAAATGGAACTGAAATTTGACTGAATACATAGAGTTTTGACCAAATTTACAGAAAGTTGGTTTCAAATTTCGGAAACTATCGCACATTTTGCGGAATGCAAGATCGCGTGTTTAAATTACCTTGGTAACGAATTTTCACCTGGTTCGTCAATTTTTGAAAACATAAAAGTTTTACAGAAACATGAGGATTTGTTTAGAAATACTTCGAAAAAAGAAAGAAAAATTTGTCATAATAATTGATTTCGATTCGTCAATTTCCCGTTTTCGGCATTAATCTTGACGACTTTATCAATGAGTTTAAAAAATCAAAATTTTATTTTTAAAATTCTAGAAAACACCGAGTTATTTAATGTGTAATATGGATGGATTTGTACAATGAGATTTTTGATAAACCGCCCATCATTAAAAAAATGAATAACGTCTATCAGCCAAGATTTCCGTTTTCAAATATACTTCAAATGAGGATATCCGGAAAAGTTTGTTTTCTGATAGAAAACTGAGTAAGTGGCGAACAATTCCTATTTGATCTCAGAGCATTCTTACACAAATATTTTATTAAAAGTATTTCACGATCCAATGGGCCGAGTATTAAACATCTTTTGTGAACAAAATGTTAATTATAGCTAAATAAATGTTCAAAATTTCACCTGTGACCGAAAATCGACGCAAATAAGCGGAGGAAATGTGTGATTTATTCATCGCAGTTCGTGATATTCAGGATATTTTTTTTCGAGTTTTTACATCTCGATATATTTAATTGAAATTCCCTGGAGTTTATTTAAACGAAAATAAAATATAATCTTTTAAGATTCTAATGAGCCGCATTGGGATGTTTTTGCTGATCCGTAGTTCTCCAAAAACAGATAAACTTACGGAAGCGAGTTGAAGTGCTAATTGATTTCATCTGCTGACATTTCGCAGGTGAAATATTGCTTGAAAATTATTGAGAAAATGTTTCATTTATTGTCTGGTTTTCGAGAAATTTTTTGGCCTTTTTATTTATTTTTCATACTGTTTTTTTTTCGAAATTTTGAAGAATGTAATCCTTTTTGCATGCATTATTTAAAATTTTGTGACAAAATGAGGAAATTTGCATGTGATTTTAAAAATTAAAATAGTCGCTGATAGAAGGAGTTGATTGAAAAACGTAAAGCAACGATTTTAGGTCACTTCGAATTTACATCAAAATTCTGAGGCACCGTATTTGGGGAAACAAAACAATTTTAAAGCTTTTGTTGAAGAATGAATGGCCAACTAAAAAGTGTCATTCATCAATGGTTTAAATGGTTTTCGTCTTGACGAGCTTCTTTTTCTTCTTCTGCTTCTTCTCTTCCATCGGCTTCTTCGTTTTCGATTTCGACAAAACATTTCGGAATGTAAGAAAAATATTTTATACACATATGCAGAATGAAATAAGAGTGGGAGAAGAGAGGACAACGATGATGAATAATAAAGTCAGAACGTTCGGAGGAGCACAAAAAACGTGCGGCTCAAGATGAGAAAATCGTCATAACCAAGACCAATTTTCGGGCGACTCCGCACGAAAATGGCATTGTTTTGACACTGAAAACGTTTCGAATCACAACTCAGAAACTTTAACATTATTTTCAAACGAAAATTTTTGTTAAAATTTATTTTTTTTCGCGTTTTTCTAATTGAACTTGTTCTTGCAATAAAAAAATGTAAAAAAATACTAATTTTCCAATACAGATATATAAAAAATTCAGGTTAATTGTAAAATCTTTACATTTTTTTATTGAAAAAAAGATATGAGTTGGGAAATATTATTTTTGATGAGAACATTCTACTTACATTTTCGATAACAGGTAACCTTTAAATTTTGGTTGAATAGAAATAAATAATGTGCGCAGAAATATTTGTAGAGAAAGTCGCATTCGAATATTAAACTTATTATGGAATTGAGTATTGAAACTTCTACTTGAATTGGCTACATAAGTTTTTGCACACGCTTAATTGTTTGCTCGCCTCATATATGTCAAACTCTTCGAAGTCGAAGAATTGGTATATATGAAAACCAAAAGCTTGTATATGGAATTGAAATCTCAATTCTTTTCGATAGTTCCGCGAACGATAATAAATTGAACGCACGTGAATTTCCCTGATTGGATCTTTTTAAAAAGTGAGAGAATTTCTCTATTTTTTTGTGAATAGCGACTAAATGTGGAATGAAGAAAACAAACCGGATTTTCGAAAAATGTGGGATCGACAAATCATTGGATATTCATCTTTCGATTCTAAAAAGTTCAATTATTGGTAACGAGCAATTAAAAAATTGTTTTGAGCATTTTCTATATGAATTTTGGAATAATAATAATTTCTGACTTGAGAAATAAATATGCCAAACGGCTGGGCTTAAGCTGACGATGATGGCTCGACTCCAGCCCAGAGAAATCCGACTCTCGTCATACTCATATCTTTCAAAGTATAAATACAAATTACTGTGCTAGAAAGAGAAAATTTCGAATTCACAAATTATACATATTTAAAATTGAAATACTGAAGAAGCCGAATTTGTGAAAAAAAAAGCAACAATCTTGAATGATTGAATAAAAAAGAAAACGGTTTAACGATAATTGGAAAGTATCGAGAATTCTTAAAACAAAGAACACTTTTTGAAATCGACTTTTTGAAAAATGCACTTATGAATAACAATTTACTTGGTAGCCTTTTTCGATTACTTTTTCCGCTTTGGAGAGTCTAATTAAGAGTTATTCGAACTTGTTGTTTTTAAATTTTAAAATGCATCAAATAAAAAAAGAGCAAACTCCCATAGAAGATTTTTATTAAAAAAAAAAGAAACTAACCATAAATGGGTATCGGATGAGTGTGGGTGACCTCACGAAATGTTGTCGATGCCTGTCGAATCGGAAGCTGTGATATGAGCGAATTCTGGTAAGTGAACGCCATCCATATCTAAAATTTATAGGTTTTTCTTGCCATTTATGAAACATGAACCGCTGCTCCAGAAATCTGATACCACCACATCAAAAACACGTACACCAATTCTATTACACACCAAGACTCAATATTGAGGCTTGAGAAAAATAGCAAGAATAACGAGAAACTCGTTTAACTTGGTTGAGTGAACTCCATTCGATTATGCAAAGTTCCTTTTTTTCGTGTTTTTTTCTCCATTTAATACAATGACCGATTTCGGGAAGAAAAGTGCTTAAAAATAGGGTTTTATAGTAGTTTGCATTTTTTTCTTTGAGATTTATAACTTTTGAGTTTTTTCTTTTTCAATATCAAAGTAAATTTTAAAAAACGAGAACAAAAAAACTTTCAAGTTGGCCGAAGGAAATTGGGCGAAGAAAGGCGCTCATCGAAAATGGAATGCAACATGAGTCGGTATACTCAATTAAGTAAAGCTATCGGTCAACACGAATGGTTTTATGGCTGAGAAAAAAAAAGAAAAACCAATTTTAAAAGAAGTCAGTGTTTTTCGTGGGAAGACTCCAGAAATTATTAAGTGTATGACCAGAAAGCCGTCAAAAAAATATGGTCGCTTAATTGAATAATTGAATTTCTATAGAGAAGTGTAGAAGAAACAGAAATTGGAGAAAGGTTTTTTTGAGTTGGAATTCAATTAGTAGAACAAAATACATAATAAGAGAAAAGAAAAGACATTTCATTAAAAAACAAGAACTCTTGGTTTTTTTAAGCTTTATGAATAATTAAACAAGTGGCTTCCAATCCTTTTTGAATTTTAAAACATTTTGCAATATGGAAATGCGAATATATGTATATTAAATTTGAGTAATATCAACCCACGCATAATTAGTTTCGAGTCACACCTAATATAAAAAAAGAAGTTTGTTTTTTGAATGACCAAAGTCGAAAAATTATCAGAAATCACACTGTGATTAAGAAATTCGCGAATTGCTCACATATTCAAATATGGAATTGCAAGTCGCCTACGTTTTTCGTAGTTATTCATATAAGTATTTTGACGGACACTAAATCAGCTTCATTATTTAAAAAGAAAAACACGAGTTTGTGAGTGAACTTTTCGATATAAAAGACGCTCGGACGTACTTCATCAGAAAGAATTTTGAATTCGCGCCATTTTCCTTTCATATAAATTTTATGAAAGATTTTGTTTTTTTTTCAGGAAACGGTTACGTCTGTATAATTACGACAAAAATCGAATCAATTGAAGAATCACATTTGGTTTTCGTGAATAGAAAAAAATCTAGAAACGATGCTAATCGAATTCTACCAGTCATGTCCAAACACGCATTATTATTTGTTGTTGGAGCTAGATAGAACTATGTTGCTGATTATTAACCAGGCCAGAATAGGAATAACAATAAGAAGGAAAGGAAGACGAATGAAAACAGAGGAGGGATGGCAAAAAAAAGGGAAGGGAAAGTGCAACAAAAATTGGGAAAACGGGCGGAAATAGACAGCAATTATGCATCATTTTTGAGTTGTTTTGCGTTTTGTCGAGCATTTGGTGGACGTCGTTGAAAGGGCGTCTCGCACTTCCTGCCATTCTGTTGTTTCTCATTGAAAGTTTACACGATGAACAGGTGAAAACGAATACACAAAACTTCCATATTTAAACCACAACCATGGCTTGATAATACGTATCTTATATCATATCGAGAATAAATATGAAGGAAGCACGCCGAGTGAAAAGCTTTCACACAATTGAATTGTGGGTTCATCTCTTAAGCAGTTTCTAAACCAAAAAACTTTTGATTATTTTTCTGTTGATGATTGGCCACTTACCAAAACAAACATTCGAAAAAAAAACGGAAAGAGGAACATGTTTCCAGCTATCCCAGTAAAATGAAAATATTATAGCATCTCGCCAAGTGACGTATCTCTACAAAATATTGTCGACGTCGTGTGTCTAAATGCCAAAAATTAGAAGAGAGGTATCGGGCCGCTGAATGCGTCTTTAACCTACATATCCTAACAAATATCAGAATACGGTCAAATATGTCACCCAGAAAATAAGATTCAAGTATGATTCATTCGATTGGAAATTTTCTAAAGAATTTTCTGTAAGCAAAAAAATAAAAAATTTTAAGACGGACAGCAAAAAGACCTCTTGTAAGGATCGTAAATCTTTTAGTTATGCGCCAAAATCACTGTAATTGTTGTTTTTTTTGGTTCTTTTTCATAGTCGCGCGACGCCGAAAATACAATTGCATTGCTGCAGTCGAAACAAGTAACTTCTCGACACGAAAAAGATTAAGATAACATGACGGAATTTCAAATCGAGAGCTGAAATTGTGCGTTGTGTAACTATTGATTATGGATGCGTCTTCACTCGATAATTTATTTAGTTATTTAGTCGAGGTATAACTTTCATCCTAAATTTTACTGGAGCAAAAAGGCGGTCTGGACTTCTTAGAGGTAAAGAAGCATCACAAAGGTGATCAGCAAGTGACAAGGATCTTCATACCGCGGCCGGACTCGAACTCGCGACCAATACACAACAAATCAAAGCGCAACGGGCCGCGCCATGCGCGTCCTCCCATTTTATCGCTTGCGATTGCATATACGTGCGACATCTGCGGTAGAGAATGGGAAGGAGGTGCTACACAAAAAACCAAAGAAAAATGAGGTCATGCTATCTCCGAAAGGGAAATTTAGAGAATTGGGGCACATTGTTTTCAACAGTTCTCACTCATTCTTCTCGTTTTTCATTTAAATGTGACCCACAATTATTTGTTTTATCACTTTTTTCTTATGCAAAAAGTTTACGCTGTGGCGAAGAAGAAATTTCAAATCATTCGGTGTTTTCAGCAATGTGGCTTCGTGTTGCAGCCTTGGCAACAGGCATTATTTCGTGTTCCGTTCTTCTCGGACAACTCATCTACCTTCCTTACATCATTTCACAAACCGAAACTGCTCATGTTCTCGTCATGCAAAGAGTTGAAAGTTTCAAGTTGTTGGAAAAAGAACTCGCCGAGAGCATGTCCGACCTTTCATTTATGACAATCTCTAAACGTTCCATTGTTCACTGCGAACCCGGTTATCCAGGACCTCCAGGCCGCGACGGAAATGACGGAGCACCGGGTAAAGATGGGCCGAAAGGAATCCGAGGATTAGATGCCAGGGACATTATGGAGGAGCTGCAGAACAAGCAAGAGTGCATTGTCTGTCCGCAAGGCGAAGTCGGACCCACCGGGGCTCCTGGAGATCGAGGAGAACCAGGAGACAAAGGGGAGAAAGGAACCCCAGGAATACCCGGAGAAGATGGAATCGATGGTGATCAAGGAGAGGAAGGACCGGTTGGACCCCCAGGACCGCCCGGAAATCGCGGAAGGAAGGGACCAGACGGCAAATCGGCAATGGGTGGAGTCGGAGAACCAGGACCGAAAGGAGTCAAAGGGGCACCTGGAGGTCCGGGATTGCAGGGCCCGCGAGGAAAACGCAATTATATTTATGGACCTCCTGGTCCCATGGGCCAGCCCGGACCATCAGGATTAGATGGAATACCAGGAAATCAAGGAGAACGTGGTCCGAAAGGTCCGCCTGGAGAACGAGGAGCCGATATCAAGTTCTGTGCATGCCCGTTGGAGTTGGAACTATTGAAGCATCCGAAAAAGAAATACATGGGAGACGCAAAACCGCCTGGAGCAAAGACAACGACTACAGAGTCAACAGTAGAAGCTGAAACAGCCGCTGCAATGGATACGACGACTACAACCACGACGACACAACCGCCAGAATCTACAACAACGCGGGCAACTACGACGTCTACATCATATCAATTGAGCCCTGAGTCATCGGAACAATTTATGTCTGCAGTTCAGCAAACCGTGAGCAGTGAGTCAGAGGCTGAACAGCAACCAGAGAACACCGACGCTGGAAATGAGCAGCATGGAGAAACTTCGCACGAATCACTATCACCGGGCTTGTTTGGAAATGCTCCTGGAACGAACTCCGGCCCAAATCCTCTTCAAAATCATCAACAACCATTACAAGTTGGAGATGAATCTGAGCAACTCGTAATTAAATAATTAGCAATAATTGTGTAGCTAAAATTGTTCAGATCGATGTCCCAACCGAATTTGGTGCCGAAGCACCGTCCAGTCAATTACCGCTAGAAGTTCTGAATCAAGAAGATGAATACGAGGATCTTTATACAACAACAACGTTTGTGTTTTCCTAAATTTGATTTTTATTTGTGGTTTTAATTTCAGGCGGCGATTCCGATATGTCACAAAGAAGCCACTTCGTTATGATTAATTATATCGTAAAATTTCTGTTTTTTTTCAATAAACATTCTTTTGTTTATATGTACATTTCGCATGATGATTCCTTTCATTTAAAGACAAACGTTGCTAGAGCCAGGTTGTCTAAATATTTATACGTTTCGCGCAATCTAATCCGAATACAAAAAACAATTATGAGAAGACACTAATCCATCCATCACGAGTTGCGTGTTGCTGCAGCTCCAAAAATGAGCACACTCGTGTGTTGTCAAGGCAACCCACTTGTGCCGAACTTTCATCGCTTTCTCATTCTCGTCGTCCTCTCGAAATTCACCCCCCCCCCCGCCCAAACATAGCCACCTGAACACCTCAATTAGAATATTACGCCGCTATTCAATGCTTTTGGCAGCCGATCGTCATGCTTCAATAGATATTGATAAATTAGTGGGTTTAACCATATAATACACATGATTATACATCCGTATTTCTAAAGGTTGGATGGCTTTTGGCTCAAACAGAACAAATTGGAAATTCCCCTGAAAGTTTCTTTATCATTGATGTAAATGATCATGACGAATATCAACGATCGCATATTACCAATGGTGCGTTTTTTTTCTACTTTTCTTCATTTAACAAACATTCAAATATAATCTCTTATAATACTACTTTCGAAGTACTTTAGATCATTTCACAATTCTATAATTTTCGCATTTTTCATAGTATTTAGATGCATCAAAGATTTCTTGACCTCTCATTCACTCTGTTAGAATCTCGCATAGACAGAGACTATAGATGAAGCTATTAAGAATTTTCGAGAAAACTAAGAGAGGCTTATTAGCGGATCGTTTCAAAGTTTAGATTTTTGACATTTTTAGCATACCACTATGATCGAATAATGTTGGCTCGTTTAATCTACGAAACTCCTGTGTTAGCAGAAGCTCGAAGCGAAGGCCATCTATTGGTTATATATGGTCGAGAGAGTGAACGCGTCGCCAATGTTCTTTTTCAGCGAGGATTCAAAACCGTTCATCTTCGTGGATGTAAGTTAAATTAAAAAAAAAAAAACTGATAATAGTGAACACATTGCAGCCAATGCTTCTTTCAAAGAGCAATATCCATGTCTTTTTGAGCCTACTATCGACATTGTAAAGTTAAAGGAAATCTACGAAGCAAAAAAGTAAAAATAATCATAATTATAACCTCTCTACGTTGGCATTTTTCAGAAATCGAGTTTATGGAGGTCGTCTTTGGCGAAGCACTTCGGCGAGCCGCCTGAAATCAGTTGGGCATTCCGAACGAGCCGAAAAATCCAAACGATTATCAAATTCTAACGTTCAATCACAACGAAAACCGTGGCATTAATTACATATCTTTTTTCTAAATTAGGAAATCAGGTTTTCAGTATTCGGTGGCCAATCTCGTTTCACTATCTTTCATACAACTCTCACATAAAGAAATTCCGATAATTAAAGAAACATCAAACAAAAAAACGGAAACGGTGACGACTATTCTACTACAAATTACACATAAGTTTGATGGAGCAGACTGTTTAGATAAGAATGTCAAAGTCACGAAGCTCTTCGTCTGCGGGAAGGACGGCGAGAACACGGTCTCTGAAACAAAAAGTTTAATAAATTATTTAAAAACTAAAAAAAACATATTTAAAAATATTGTAATCGTTTTCTAAAATTGTGAAAATTTTCAGTTTAAAAAATACAAATGGGATCTATTTTGTCAAGATAGTTTGAATTTCTTTTATAGATATTTCAACTTCGCGTTATTCAATGCTTAGACCATTTTTTGCCGCAAAATTTCAATGAATTTATAATGCTCACCTGGCGATCAAATCAGGACTGATCAATGGAAGTCCGGCTTTTTCCCTTCTCGCAATTTCCAGATGGGCTTCACGAAGAGCCCATTCGCGACCCATTGGCCTGAATAATCGGTTTTCAAAAATGATACATAGAAATCGAATTACCAGTCTGGTTTCGCAAACATAATCCAGCATGTAAACCAGGTAGTGAGAACTGTAAAAAGGACAAATGCAACCTGGTGGAATCGCACCCAATCCTTGTGTTCATCATGAGCTACTTGAGAAAACCAAATCCATTCTCTCCTCTAAATTATTTGAAAATTTAAAACATTGTTTCGATTCAATATTTACCATTTTGGCTCCTTGTTCCTTAGCCAACGGCCGTCTCCATCCATCTCCAAACAACCAATCCAAGCGTCCACCATTCAATTTTGGCCAAGGATTTTCATAAGCATATGAGTCTGATCCAGGCCTAAATTATTATTTGCTTATTGCTTTAAAATTACAAATTTTTACCTGTAGTTATCTGGTTTTCTTTCAACATTGGCGTCTGAACCATGATGAGATGAGGCTAAACGTCGGAAACCGAGCGAGCGGTAGGTGACCGATGTTTGGAGACGGCTCAATTGAAGCATCATCTGTAATAATGTCAATTAAAAAAACAATAGAAAACTATTTCTCAGAATAGTATTTAAAAATATCAACTTTTAAGGGAAATCAATATGGAGGACATTCAAAAAATTCAAGTATATATAATACTATAAAACAAATTTTTTCGTCTTTTTTAAAATTAAATTAAGATAAAATAACATAACACAACTCCATTTTATACTCGAATTAATGAAAATATTAAATTCGGGAATAGTTATAAAATGAAACGACATTAATTTGAAGAACACACAATTATTAGAAAACATCATTGACTTGTTCTGAATTTCATAATTTTGATATTATATTTAAGACTTTATAAGTTTATTAAAAGAAAAGAGAGAAATACTCTGAAAAAAAAACGCGAAAATTAAGGGAAAATTGGAAAAATAAAAGAAATATCGGACAGGCGAGATTATGTTCCGTGGAGCGCAGTTGCTCACTATGTATGATAAGTTTATTTACGAAATTAAAAAAAAAAACTCTCTCGTTAAAATTTTGCACTGCAAAATTTGCAGGATGAATGATAACGACTGGGAAGCTGGATTAACAAAGGCGGAAGCTGGAAGGTACAGTCGCCAAATTTTGGTTAATGATTTCGGTGTTTCCGGTTAGTTCCTTTTGTAAAGTATGATTTTCTCATAAAAAATGATATATTATGTTAGGTCAAAAAAAAGTATTGGGTGGTAAAGTGTTAATCGTCGGCGCTGGTGGATTAGGATGTCCCGTGGGAATATATCTTGCCGGTGCTGGAATTGGAACTATTGGTATTGTGGACTACGATACCGTATCCTTGGACAACTTACACCGACAAATTGCTCACGGGGAAAATCGAGTAGGAGAACTAAAAGTTGAATCGTTGAAAACAACTATTCTAAAGTAAGAATTTCAATTTCTTTTACTCATTGCTTTTGGTTTAGCCTCAATAGCTCTATAAACGTCAACGCCCACAATACTACTCTAGATAGTAAAACAGCAATGGATATTATTCGAGAATACGATGTAATTTGTGATTGTTCAGATAATGCAGCAACAAGGTTAGAAAAAGTTGACTTGACGTAATATATTCCTTATTTAGGTACCTCGTAAACGATGTGTGTGTAATTTTAAACAAACCGCTTGTAAGCGGAAGTGCTCTTCGCTGGGACGGCCAGCTGTCTGTCTATCATTATGGAGAAGACTGCCCATGTTACCGTTGTCTATATCCTTCACCTCCCGATCCAAAAATGGTCACAAACTGCAACGAAGGAGGAGTTCTTGGGCCTATCGTCGGAGTTATTGGAAGCATGCAAGCTCTGGAAGTTCTTAAAATTCTTTCAAATTCGTCAAGTTCGTTTGTTCGCTTTTATCAAGTGTTACATTCCTTGCTTAGGCTCATTCTCTGGTAAACTGCTTCTTTTTAATGGACGAACTGGTCAATCAAGGATAATTGCGCTTAGAAAACGAGACAGGAACTGCGCAGTTTGTGGAGATTCTCCTACTATTTCCAATCCCATTGATTATGTCCTGTTTTGTGGAGCTGGAGCACATGATAAAACGGAAAGCATAAGGCTACTCGATGATTCCGAACGAGTTTCAGTAGAAGACTACAAAATTCAAAGACGAAAAGAGAAGCCGTATCTTTTAGACACGAGACCTCCTGTAGAATTTGAAATTGCTCATTTACCAGAAGCTAAAAGTAATCTTTTTCAAAGAAAAAACAGTATTCTATAAATTTATGTTTTTTTAGATATTACTCTCAACGATGTGAAGAAACTCAATCCAGAAGAAATTGTGAAAAAATTGAATTTGCCAGATTCGCAAGATTTATTTGTGATTTGTCACCGCGGAAACGATTCTCAAAGGGCCGTTGAGATTTTGCGCGACAAACTTAAAACACATAAGGTGCGAGATATAATCGGCGGATATGAAGAATGGGCCCAAAAAGTGAATCCCGACTTTCCAGTTTATTAAGGATTGGTATTTAATTCAATTGTTATTTTTGATTTGTTGGTTTATATAAACAGAAAAAAATGGCACAGCCTCGTCTCTAATCAACAAATATTTAGACATGTTCAAAAATGGCTATGCGATATCGGTAGGATGAGATGAGTCTCTTGGAACGACTTCTTTCCAGATGATCCAGCAATTGAAAGCAAAACAGAAAACACACACCCAATCAGCTAGCTGAAATTTAAACAGATTTTAGATTATTAATTGAAATGATACCACAGAAATTGCAAGTTTTCCATTATTCACATCACGATTCGAATATGTTGCATTTTGATTAGCCCATTCGTTTTGGGAAAATAACTGTTTAAGGTGGTCATCTCTGAAATTTATCTTTTTAGGGAAATATGTTTCACCACAAAACAGATGAAGCCAATTTAGTTTACTTACATGTATTGTTGATGGGGTGTCTTTTAAAAAATAACCTTAACTATAAAATAACAAATCACGCAAGAGGATAAGATTCGCATGTTAATTCTTCAGAAAACTTACGAGGTTGCATTTCCAATGGTATTAGCTCCTGCCCACCAAATTGAAGAACAGAAAATGAAAAGAACGAAGAACAATGCGGTTAATCCGAGATCCTGAATATTTTCTATTTATATTATATTACCATCTCAAGAATATGCGGCTTACAGCAAGTGGAAGTCGTTTATCAGATTGATACAAATTCCATAAAATAACATATCCAAATGTGATAATGAGAACATAAATGAGAGCCGAAACATTTACGAAATAGAAAAATCCGGCGCTTCTGTAATAATATTGAATAATTATTCTGTAATTAACATGATTCGATTACAAAATTGTTTTAATTAAATTTGAAATCATCAGCTCGATTCGAAAATCATTGAAACCGATTGATTTTTTCGGTTTCTCTTTGAAGAGGAAATTGAACTCACCCGGATGCCGAATCATCATTTTCCCAAATTGGCCGAGTTCCGTTCTGACAATCGTGAATTTTGAGACCAGTTAGTCTTAAAAAGAACAAATAAAAACCCAAAACCCTATTTTTAAATACATACGAAAATGTGCTGACTTTTTGTGACAAATAGTTCGTCAAATTACCGACTTTGCACGAATAATGCATCTCAATACCCCAACTGTTGACGGCTGCTATAGCGATCACAATAAAAACCTGAAAATCGATAATTCAACTTCAATTTTAAGTAATTTCAGACTATAAATTCCTGCTTTTAGATTGTCTTTCAACAAAGAAATCAATTTTTTAAACATTATGTTTCTAAATATTACATCTTCTTATTTCTAAATTAGTCAAATGTTCAATAATTCAAAGAAAAACAAAATAAGCAACTGTTGAAAGAGAAACCTACAAATTGTACAATTCTGATGAATCCGATGGGATATTTGAAGATCGAAATTCGTAAATCTCCGGGTATCGGCATCGTTCTAAATGTTCAACGAATCAATAAATAAAAACGGCACCGATAACGACAAAAAGGGCAATTGAAAATCGAAAACAGAATTAGTCATTCGGTTGACAGCAAACAGATCAATTAAATATATAGGCACGTTCTGCACACGGAGCCGTTTTGAATAAATGCCCAATTCGAAAAGTAATAATCAAGCAGCGTTTGATCAATAGATAAAAATGGCAAGGTGACTGATGTTCGGCTGTTGTCGTGCGTGCGGAGAGACGTGCACCTCGTTGAGAGTGCCAGGCAGACAAATACAAAAGTTTGGTTGGTTGGTGACTTGTTTCGCTCGTCAATCCTCGAACATTTTTCATGCACCATCAACATTTAGTAAATAAAATGTGAGAGCAGCGTCGTGGTTTGTGCTCCGTTTGAATAGATTTGTTAAAAACTGCTGCTGGATCAATAAACGCCGCATACAATTTCATTAAATAAATAGGTCAAAAATTCTAATAAAAACTTGATTGATATTTTATATCCGCTTAATGGTTTATCATAGTACCGTCCTGTGGTGAGCCAATTTTTTTTAACCATTGTGAAATCGCATTCCCTGATCACGTAAAAGACAAATCCAAAACTAAATTTCCCATTTATTTCCAATGTTGCAATGTCTATTTTGACCATGAAGCCTCTTCTAAAAATGATAATCAACAATCGGGAGACATCTATAAATTTATCTGCATAAAATACGATGTTAAAAAACGGGGAAACGCCTACGTAGACGGAAAAATGTGAAAACGAGCATTTCGAAATTTAAGAGAGAAAGTCGACCGATTTAATTTAACTTATCATTTAGCTTGAACCAATGACGATAGTTGAATCCTTGAACGAATAAGCTGGAACGTGCATGTTAAGAGGAGCTGGGCCCTTTCTGATGCGACCAGAAGCGTCATAATGGGAACCGTGGCATGGGCAATAATATCCTCCGAAATCTCCAGCGTTAGCTGAAATCGTCAAATTTAGTTACAAATCTTAGTTTTGATCTATGTACCAATTGGCACGCATCCAAGATGAGTGCAGACGCCAATAACTACGGACCACTCGTCCTTTTGGACACGTTCATCATCGTGTTGTGGATGACGCAGGTCAGCGACTGGAACAGCCTTTTCTCTAGCAATTTCAGCCTTGGTACGATGCTTAACGAAGACCGGCTTTCCACGCCATTCGAAAGTCTTGGTTTGTCCTTCTGGAATGTCCTTCATGTTGATTTCAATAGAAGCCAGCGCACGTTGATCAGCGGCCATAGCCTAAAAAATGGTATAGTTTAAGTTTATTTTATTTAATTATTACCTTGTAAGCAACAAGAGTTTGAACAACTTCTTTTCCAGCCCAGAGAGACAGAACTCCTCCAGCTCCATAGTAGAGAGCTGTTGGAAGAGCACGCCTCTGATCTTCGGTGTCACGAGCTGGGACTTGTGGGTTTTTAGCAGAATCACGGCGATAGGACTCAAAGTTTGGGAAAGTCACATCAGTGTGAGCAAAACGACGAGATGTAACTGAAAAAATTGTTTGTTAGGAAAAATAAATTAGTTTTACCGTTAATTCCTTTAACAGCAAGTCCGCTGGAGAAGACGCCCGAAGTGCTCTTGCTCACGACAGCTTGGCGAGCATCGGCAGTGGCAAACTCAGCTGGAACTTCTCGAAAGGCTGACACCTGAAATTCTGATGTTTAAAAAGAAACGTTCGATTTTTAAGCTGTTATTTACATTCTCCCGAAGATATTGATATTGTCAAAGTCGCGCGAATACGGATAGTGCATTCTTCTTTAAAAAATTATTGAGTCACGCACCGTTAGTGCCGATTTATGGACAACGTGATCATTCCTGGAGCTTCGTGTACAACGCAAACGCATAGGGCGTAACATAAGTTTTCTTCGGCTTTGGAGAAACACACAGGTTACATTTTTTTGCGGCTTTGAGGAGGGGGAAAAACAAATTGTTCTATTTTTTAACACAGTTTCTCCCAAAATTTGTCACTGTTTCGCCCGATAAATTGACCAAGTATCCCTGGCTTTCTCCCAATGTTTTGTAGTCGTTTGGCTTCGACAATATCACAGTTCAAAAACTCATGCCAAAATTTTCATTTTTAATTTTGTTCCTTTATAAACGTATAATATTTATGGTAAATGTATTAAGAGCTTACATTTCCGGCAGCCGGAGAAACCGCAACAAAGTTCGAGTGCGGCTGAGCCCCACTAATCTGAAAACGAATATTTAGGATGCATTCGGGAAAAATAAGAATTAAACTCTGCTTTTAAATAGCTATCTATAACTAAATAGGCACATTACATTTCTTTAAGAAATTGTCGTGCAACTGCGGAAAATAGTTTTAATAAATCTAGGTTTTTAGCGCAAAATTAAAAGCCTGGATTTACGGACAAATATAGCGATTGTTAAAAAAAACCAAGACCTCTCCCTAAATTTTTAACATCCATCAAATTTTCGCTATCAAATCGCGCTAAGCCGAAAATATTTTTGTAATGCTTCAAAATATAATTTTCTAAAACATTTTAGGAAAATAATTTGGCATTTCAAAAAGAAAAACTTACCACTTTAACCGCAAGTCCTCCTGATCTCGCAAGAGTAGCCATGACCCTGGAATTAATTTTTAAAATATAAATTCAAATAATTCAGCAAGCCAAAATAATAGCCAAAATTTTGTTGATATTATATTTAATAACATTCAAATTTACGCGTTTTTATTTAAAAAAAGGAATAAAAATGAGCCAAAATTAGGAGATTTTGGTAAAAAATGGGTAAAATTGGTGAACAAAATTCGACGGGCGGAATCTCTCGCTAAAGAGAGTTTTGAAGAACAGAGAAGATACGCGACGCAGAATTCATCACAATAGAGCGCACATGCTTCACTCGTCTATCCGTTTTTATGACTCATTTTTTGTGTTGATCGGCCTCCGAAAAATCACTATCAAGACAATGTTTCGACGTCTTACACGTTTTGTGCTCTCGATGTCGCGTTCAGCACAGCGTCGTGTGCTCTCTCGGTTGTGTCCGCCAGCTGTGAAACGGGTACAACGAGAAACACTCAAAATCCACCGTCGGCTCGAATATCTGCTGCTGCTCATTGCTATTGTTGTTCAAAGCGTTGGAGCAGCTTCTTGATTGATCGCTTCAACGTTTTTACGGCCTCAAAATGGTGAGTATTTTCATTTTGTCAACAAAGCAAGTGTTTCTTTTATTTTCGCGAAGAAACGCATGCTGTCACCTTACAATTAATTGGTTTGAGTGACTTGACGGCAAACAAACGAGTCATCGAGTTTGACTAGTTGATCTTGATTGGTTTCAGATGGGCAGCAAGCGAGGCCGCGGAGCTTCGTCGTCGAATCAAGAGCGAACCCGTACGCATTTATTCTTTGCTTCACAGCCAGAACGACACCAGCAAAAGCGGAAGAGACGAGCTCAAAGTCAGTGTTGCAATTCCTCCTCCTCACATTAGTACTCAATATTTTAGACAAGCTCCATTCAACTGTGAAAGACAAAAAAGACGAGATGGTTCAAGCTGGTGCGAGTGAAATTGATCCATTACAATGGACTGGTATATTTTTCGAGCCGTACTTATGTACATATAATACAAATAAGAATTTATAGGCAACCAACGTGTTTTACATTTTGGACCGATGGCTCAACGTGATCCCTACTTTTATTATTACCCAAAAGGATGGGACATCCTTTATCCTGCTCAATTTGGGTTTTTTCCTTACAGGACCACGTTTGTTTTTTTTCAGAAACTCCGAAATTTATGAACAGATTTGTAGAAAATTTCGTGGTTCGTCTTCACTAGTCTGCTGTTGCGCATTTGGTTTCTTTTTGTTAATTGGTGGTATTTTAATGACGATACTTGGATATAAAATGCTTTATGATTCCCCATTTTGGACATGGCCATATGAGCAGAAAATTCGTCCTCCTCCTATTCAGGTTGTTAAATATCTGGAACATACTTAAACGCTGTTTTTTTTTAGATCGCTGGCCCAATTTTATGCGTTCTTGGAGTCATTTTTCTCCTAATTTCTCTAGTTTATTTCCTTTTCACAACAAAATTATGCGATATTTCTTTGCATCATACAAAAAAGCATGAAGAACCATCTCGAGTAACGACAATTACAACTCACTACATGGTAAGTTTCTGTTATAACATTTCTTTTCAGCTAAATATTTCAGCCATTGCCCCCAATTTTTGAGAAAGACCCTTATCAGCCACTTCCACCACCGGCATATCCCGTCCTTGAAAATCGACACGCGTCTACAAATATTGTGAAGCCACACGATGAGAAAAAATTATATCCACCAGTGTAAGTTTACAATTGTCTAATTAAATAATAGGTAAATTACTAGACGTTTCGCTTGAATAATTAAACGGTGCTGTGAAAATCACCATTTTAAAACTAGTATTTTAAAACTAGTATTAAAAAATTAGTATTTTTCTCTTTATAAGAGATAATTTCTTGGAATGTCACATAATAATTAATTATATGTATTGTCGACGTCGTGCGACTAAATATCGAAAAATACCCAACAATTGGGTATAGTCTGTATTTTCTTAAATTTCCAAGGTCAAAAAAGTTAAAATTATTGAACCCGTCCATAAAATGCGAAATAACTTGTTATTTCGTGTGAGATCAAGAGAAAGACGCATCCCCGTAAATCTACCCGCGTACAGCAGTCTCTGAACGCGGACTGTAAATGTCTTTTTAACCTCTTTATGCTTTCGTCGACTATATAGTGTATAATGTTTTCAAAAACACATTTTTGAATAAAATCATATGTCTCTCGTTATACGAATTGGTTCAGAATACCCGGATGCTCGACACTTTCGCTGCATCGACGATCACCGAATAATATATTTGTGGCGAGCCCGTACAACACATTGCGAGCTACTAGTGTCGCCAGGTGAATTTTTCGATTTTTTTTATAATTTTTATTCGCTAACAATGTTTTCAACTCACTAGGTTTACAGATACCAACACGCTTTCTCCGATTCGAATTCGATTCTCGAAAATAAATACGGATCACGAACGGCTTCAGTTGCTAGTAGACGACAGTCTTCAGAAGCTTCAAGCCAAAAAAGGTCGAAAAGTATGGGGCCACTTCATCGAACGGGTTCAAATCGTAGCCGGAACTCAAAACGAAGGGAGAATAGTCAATTATAATACAAGTTTTGATGTAGTTTTAAAATAAATATTCAAAGTTAAAAATTGTTAATACTAACTCAGTATTATGCGTTGTAGTTCGCAACAAATTATTTTTGACGACCAGTATTTCATAAGGTTTTCCATTTTTGTGTGATTATTGCGAAATTTTAAAAACAAAATTTGGGTTCTATGTTATTTGCTATTATTTATCGAATTAAACTCTTATTTTCTTACCTATAAAATGAATAAATATAATAATAAAGTATAAACCAACGATGCAAGTGGGTTGCCACACTAATTTCTAATGCTTGGATTCCTTTTAACATTCAATACAATTTAATTTGTCAAACAAAAGTTGAATATAGGATAGAAAACATTCAAAAGTGCTTGTGCCGCTATCCCGTGTTAGTCCGTCTACACTCTAACGCCATTTTACACATTTCATCTCACCGATTATATGATCTCTTTTAAGTATGATTTCAAAAAACACATGGAGCTGTTTTAGAATGAAATGCAATTAAATGGAGATTTTATACAATCCGAGACACTGAAAGAATAGTAAAATTTGTAAAAATCAGTTTTTTTAAAAATAATAAAAAATATACTGGAAATAGAATTCAAGAATTTCTAAACATAAATTTCACATTTGTCGATTTTACTATTTTGTTTTTAATGCGTGTGTATACTTTGATTTATGAGATCTGAATGCCAGATGTTATCTGGCGTACTTTTTATTCTTTCCGTTAATTTTTATTTGTGTGTGTAAATTCATTTTAACACGCGAAACACCTCTTTTTTTTCTAAATTATTTGAGATTAGTGAAATGAATAGAAATATGATTTTGATGTTTGTTTTTTGAAGATGAGCTCGCACCTGCGTCGGCATAGCAACGATGCCGGCGAAGTTCAATCACCGACCTCGGCTCCGCCGCCGACAAAAAGGTGTCATACTAACGAAGAGGAGAAACAGACAGCGGAGGTGAGCAGCCGGAAACCGGTTTTTCTCCTTTCGATTAAATTTCGCAACCAGCGGGCGGAAATAAATGCTGAAGTGTTATCAGTAGATTGTTGTAGGCTCATCCGATGACCGACGGCCGACAATACAAATTTGTGGCGGTACACGGCATCCAATACGCAATTCCGGAAGCGTATGATGTTGACGAGACGATGGTTTCAGATCTTGGAGGTGGAACGTACGGAAATGTCATGTAAGCGTTTTTCCATGTTTTATTTAGAAAACGTCTTCACATTAACTAGTTTCCTTATTTTTTCACAAATCTCAATAATTATCGTGTAACTGAATATTTTCTTTTGCTTCCTATTTCAATTAATCTTAGTGACTCATATTTCTCATTTTGTATCCAAAACATGAGCAGTATAATTTTTCTTCATTTTCGTCTCCCTTTTCAATCTAGTAGTAAACAAGCTCATTTTTCAGTTAATTCCATTTTTCCATCTTAGAAAAAGATTGAAAATCTATTAGAAAACACATATTTTTCGATTGAAGAATCTTATTATTCCTATTATTTGCAGAAAAGTGCACGCAATGTGCCAAGATGGAAAGCGCCGTTACATGGCTATTAAAAAACTGCGCGACCCTTTTTATGCTCCTTCGCAAGCTCGTCGATATTTTCGAGAAATTCGACTCCTACAGCTCATTCAGCACGACAGTATTATTCGGGCTGTCGATTTATACACACCAGATGATGAACATGATTTCAAGGATATGTAAGAAGCCAGAAACCACAAAAATTCGAATTTGGCTGTAATTTCAGATATGTTGTCACCGAATATGCTGGAAACAGCCTTTATCGACTATTGCAACAACAAAGAGAACATAATAAAACGGTTTGATTCGCTCAATTTTAAAGATCGTGTTAAAAATCAATGAAAAATTCAGATTTTAACGCCTGCTCATGTCAAATTTATTATTTATCAGTTGTTAAGAGCTTTGAAGTATATTCATTCCGCAAATGTGGGTAATTTTTTTTAATTGAAACATTTTTTTCAATTTACAGGTGATTCATAGAGACTTAAAACCGGGAAATCTTGCACTCACGGTAGACTGTGATCTCACAGTGTTAGATTTCGGACTGGCGAGATCCTTGGAGAAAAAGGATGCGACATTAACGCAGTATGTACAGACTAGATGGTATAGAAGTCCAGAAGTGATTTATTGGAATATTGACAGCTACACCACATTAGGTATGCAAATCGAATAGCATTGATATCATATGAAACGAAAGAACAATTTATAGCGGATATGTGGTCAGTTGGATGCATTGCTGCCGAATTACTCACCGGAATACCACTTTTTCCAGGAGAAGATGGTAGGATTTCTGCGATTTCTCCACCCTTAGTAATAATCTTTCATTTGTTTAGTAAACATGCAATATGAAATGATCACACAGTTATGTGGAAGTCCTGATGCTGAACTTCTTGATAAGGTAGTATTATTTTTTTTTAATTGTCCAGTTTTAAATTTTCTATTGACAGATTGAAAGAGGAAACTCGATTAATATGCGAATGGTTGTCGAATCATATCCACATTTTACACGAAAGAATTTTGCTCGTCATTTTCAATACGCTGATCCACCACCAGAGTTTATCGATTTTCTGGAGAAAATTTTGGTTTTGGATCCGGAGAAAAGGTGAGAAAATAATTAAAATCGTAAATGAACGAGAACACCGATTTGCGGCGAGTTTTATTCGCTGGATATCTGTAACAAGGTACCCGAAATTCCAAATAGTAATTTGAATGCCCCCAAAATTATGATGGTTCTTAAATTATGATGATTCGTTCAAAGAGCTCGTTTTTTGGTTATAAAAAGGCACATTTAATGTAATTTATTTTACATTTTTTGTAAAAAAAAAATTAATTTCATGAATTGGTCCGTAATATAGTCGAAGACAGGCAACTGTCGAAAATTCAAATATCGACCTATTCATAAAAAATTGTAAGAAAAACTACTCATTTTTCCTATGACTGTCGCAAAAAATGCTATGGCAACTGTAATTAAATGACGAAGTAATCTACGAGACCCACGAGCCACTTTGTTGCCGCAATCTTGAAGAATACGATGCCCTGCAAAAATTAAAATAAGATTAAAAAAATAATACTGTAAAAAAGTAAGACGCACGGCATCAAATTATCTCTTTGTTCTCGTAGATTTCTTCATTATTCAATCGACACTCATATTCCCAGACTCAACTTTGCAATACAGAGTGGCTGAAAAATATCCGGACTATATAAAATTCAAAGTAATTTCATAGATGTTGGTCTTTGTGTAACCGCACTTCTGTCTTAGGTTTCCTATCCCAATAGGAATTCATGGTGCATTTACTGATTTCCTTATTTGTTTTCATTTTTGGTAGTCTACGAACATTCCGCTTGTTATTTCGCTAAAACCAAACCGATTTACGTGAAACTTTAAACGTTGGTTATAAATATGTCAATAATGATAGTTTAAAACGGAATTGTTTCAATACGGTTTTAATTCCAAACAAGTTGAAATTTTGGTCCGGGTAATTTTCGGACACCTTGCGCCAACGCACTCGCGCGACAGGAGGATGATAGTTGGAAATTACTAATTTTACAATAATTGCCTACAGAATTATGATGTTTTTTAAATTCAGAATGACTGTTGAGGAAGCCATTAAACATCCTTATATGAAAGAATATTATGAGCCAGATGATGAGCCACGTGCGCCGTATATTTTTCATCTTGATGATGGCGTTGAAAAGACCAGCGATGAATGGAGAAGTGAGAACATTCGTTCGTTTTACTAATTTGTTTATTTTTGAGTTTTCAGAGGCGATTTGGAACGAAATTACAAATTTCAAACGTTCAAAGATCTCACCACGATTCAACTAAAAATCTCAACTCAGTTGGTTTTGAGTAATAATTATTTATATCTGTATTTGCTCCTTTGCCAGTTTGCATTTTTTACTCTTGTAAATATAATAACAATGCAAAAAATGTATTTAGCCGTTTTTGTTGTGATGTGCAATGAATTTTTTTTTGTAAATTTGACTTAATGTGCGTGATCGATTGGTCATTCAAGGCCATTCATTTACAAGTACTTGATGATTTCGCGTTTTGGTTTTTATTGATAATCATTGGTTGCAGTGATCTCAACAAGACATAATGCTGTTAGGAATCTGCTATTCGCGCGAGGTAATGTTTCTAAAATTTTAATTTTAATTTTGACTACATATTCAAGAAATATGATTTTTAAAAGAACTTGTGAATCCATAGAGTAAATCTCAATTCTCTAATGGAACCACTCATGCAATAAAAAGTAAATGCAATAAAAATGTATATTTTGTATTTCAGAATAGATCCATAATATTTCTATTTTTCTCGATGAAATAACTTACTTCTTTCAGCTAAACATTTTTGTGTGCAATTGTTGTTTCCTCATTAGGATGGAAACACTTTTTATGAAATGCTTAATTAAAGTTCCCAAGAGAGTTTACTCATCATTTAATTAGAAATCAATGTTTGTTATTTTAGAATTTTTGCACTAACACATCCATGTTTTCTACTTTATATTATACATGTTATGGTTTCCTTACCAGCTAATGAATCCATATAAAAAAGGCAAAGTAGATTAGATTATGAATCTCGTTAAATAATTAAATACATGCATGATAGTGGGTATTCCTTCTCTCAGCACTATTTTTTCTTTTTTGGTTTCCGTTTTTTGTAATTTAAAATTTCGAAAGTGCGTCTATAGTTTTCCAGCACTGCATTGAAAGATGGATGAAAAAAAGATCTGTGACAGATCAGTTTTTATCCACTTTCGATCCATGTCTCATCAATTTTTCATCTGTTTTTTTTCTCAACAGTGGACGAAATTGTTCAAATTTGGACGAAAAAACAGATGCAAAATTGATGAAACATGGATCAAGTGTGGATAAAAACGGATCTGCCACAGATCCCTTTTCATTCATTTTCCAACGTGCAGTGAGATTTCGTTGGCAAACTTAACAATATTTCTACAATTTCTGCAACATTAAGCTGCGGTAAAAATGTTGAATTGTTCAGAAATGACTCCGACAACGACGACAGCGAAGCGTCAACCGGATTCCGACTCGAATTCTGGAGTTTTTTTTGCCGATTTTGGACCACCACCGCCTGAGCCAACTCCAGCTGGATTTCACGAGAAGGAACTCAATAAAACGAAATGGGTTATCCCAAAATGGTATAATAAACTGCGCCCACTTGGTGAAGGTGCATATGGTGTAGTATGGTTGGTAAACAGTGTGAATCGGATCATATAATGACTAATCTTTAGTACTGCGGAATATGAACCGACTGGAGATAGAGTCGCTATTAAAAAATTCTTTCGGCCATTTCAAAGCACAATTCATGCTAAGAGGACCTACAGGCTTCGTTTTTAATTTTTGGCACGTGAAAATGATATTTTTTCAGAGAATTAAAGTTACTACGAACTCTTCAACATGAAAATGTTCTTGAAATGATCGATGTTTTCACCCCAGATACGGAAGTAGGAAAACTGAATAATGTGTATGTTTAAAGAAAAAAATAAATAAATACATTCACTTTATAAATACTTATTTTAATTTATTCGCAAGTATTTTTTTTAACTGAAATGATATATTTCAGATATTTTGTATCTGTCCTTATGGGATCGGACCTTCAGAATATTCTCAAAATTCAAAGACTCACTGATGAGCAAATCCAGTTGCTCATTTACCAAGTATTGCGTGGTTTGAAGGTAAACGACGTTTCTTTTTCTTCATATCTCGTCCCCGTTTTTTATTCATCGTTTCTCCATTTTGGGTCCACTCTCGTATTTCAATGCCTCTGCATGCGTCTTTTTCTTCTTCGAGAATTGAGAGACGTGTTGCGTGCCTTCTTTTTGAATGCTATTGAGTATGTGTGTGTATGTGTGTGTATGTGTGTGTTGTTTCTAATTCATTTTCATTTTCTCTTCTTTTTTCACTGTCGTTCGAAAGGTTCTTCGATACTCTATGACATCACTTCGTTCGATATCGTGGTTTCTGATTAAAGTCGATTTCGGCAATAGCGTTCTTCAAATTACTGGATTAGCCCTCGTTTTCTAAAGAAGTTGTGGTATGGCTATAGCAATAAACTTTTCTCAACATTTTCATATTTCAATTCATATTCTTGGTGAAAAAATGAAACATTTAGAATGTGACACTTTTTTGTTTTCCATACATAGCGTTGAAAGAAAGACCATCGATTCATTTTATATTGATAATTTCCACTTGATAAGGCGTTGACTGTCAGTTTGTGACAAATATTAATTCAATATAAAAATTGCAGTATATTCATTCGGCGGGGATTATCCATCGTGATCTCAAACCGTCGAACATTGCGGTCAACGAAAGATGTGAAGTTAAAGTAAGAATTTTTCGATGAAACCAGATTTTCGCTTTGCAATAAAATATTTTTTTCAGATCCTCGACTTTGGATTGGCACGAGCTGCAGATGCCGAAATGACGGGATATGTAGCGACTCGATGGTACAGAGCTCCTGAGATTATGCTCAATTGGATGCATTACACACAAACTGGTAATTTATATAATATAGTAAAAAATAATAATATAATAATTAAATCATTAGTTGATGTTTGGTCGGTCGGTTGCATTTTGGCAGAATTAGTCTCGGGACGACCGCTATTTCCTGGAGATGATCGTGAGTTTCACTTTTTTTCATTAAAATATCTATGTATGAAAATGCGGGGGCTAAATTCCACCTGCTATTTATGTAATACATTATGCGACGCATAATAAGAAATCAGCTGAATATTATCCAATGTAGTCAAATTTAAGGCTGCTTCTTTTTTGTCCGTTTAGAAACGCTGTTGTCTCCATGAAAAATCTATTTTCCAATTTTCTGTTTCCTGCGCTTCAATGAGTTTGTTTGTGCAGCGCGTTTTGTTCGTGTCTATTTTCGGCAAACAATTTAAACAATTCCCAAGATAAAGCATTTAAAATTTTGTTCTCTCAAAAATGAATGCACAAAAATTTGAAAATATTAGTCATTTTTTTATGGATTAGTGTTTTTTAAACTTGCGGTACCAGATATCGAATTTCAAGCTTAGTTGAGCTCGTTCTTTTTTCTTTTATTTTTTGTTAGAATTTTTCTCGCCAAAATGCGGAAATTGCAGACATCGACCAACTGACACGCATTATGAACCTTGTCGGCACACCTAGCGAAGATTTCTGGTCAAAAATTCAATCGGAAGAGGCGCGGAATTACATCAAGTTGGTTTTTCGATCGCCGATTTCGATAATTAATGCTCGTCCTTATTTTCCTACAGAAACCGTCCACCGCTACCGCGACAAGATTTGTCGATAATCTTTCCGTTTTCATCTCCTGACGCCATTGATCTACTCGAGCGAATGTTGGTGTTGGATCCAGATAAAAGGTTTTCGCGTTTTCGAACTCAACTTCTGAAACTATTCGATTTTCTCAGAATTTCTGTCGATGATGCATTGAGACATGATTATCTTTTGGAGTATTATGCACCACATGATGAACCTGTGGCCGAACAACAAGTAAATTACTATGAAACATTTTCCTATTCTATGAATAATTATAATTTGAGGTGACCATAGATCCTGAGGAGGAGGCGGCAACTACGTTGAATGATTGGAGAGGTAATTTAATAGATTTATTTTGATCTAATTTTGCCGCATTATATGTATTAAAATATCAAATACGTATGACTCAATTTCTGTTAGTTTGTACACATATATTTAAAATAGATTTATTTGTGCTCAAAACGTATTAAATATCGATGCGAATTGACAAATAAATCGCGTATGAACTCGTTTCAAACAATAACATTTTTCAGAACTTATTTGGAAGGAAATTCAATTGTTTCAAAATTCGTCTCGTCGCTTAAGTTTCGCGACTGGTGCGGATGCTGAAGAGCATCGAAATTGAATTAAAATATTGAAATTGTCGCATTGTAAATTATAATTCCTAATGATTCTCGTTTTCTACGTGATAGCTTTCCGAAACTTTTCTTGTCGTCAAAATGATCTCTCGATTATTGAATTAGATTCCCAAAATAAATACATTTTCATGCTTTTCTATTATTCTTCGTACTTTTTTTTTTTCAATATATTGCCGTATCATACGGATTTTATTATCTCAAATTAACGATTAGTTCGTTTCAATTCGAATCGTATTTAGGATGGAGAATCCATTGCACTCCACTCCGCGTCCCGGATATTATGTAGTAGAACTGAATCGAAGTGTTTGGATGGTTCCGGAATATTATCAGAATTTAACACCTATCGGAACTGGTGCTTATGGAACAGTTTGGTAGGAACTGTGATTTTGTATTATTTTATAATATATTACTTATTATATTTTTTAGCGCTGCCGAATGTACAAGAACCGGAACTCGAGTGGCCATCAAGAAATTCAACAGGCCATTTCAATCAGTTATTCACGCTCGAAGAACATTCAGGTTTTTAAAATTAACCGACCTTACTATGAGCCCCTTACATAATTGTGGACCATCGCACTTTTTCGAGGCGGTATTTCAAATTCCGATTTAAACTGTGGGAATTTCGGGTACCGTACTCTGGATAACCTGCTTTTTCTGGGTGGGGGAGAGCTCCGAATGTAATATTTCAAAATATCTATGAATTATTATTATAGGGAACTCCGTCTATTGAGATGTATGCAACATGAAAATATAATAGGACTTCTCGATGTATTTACCCCAAACGCCTCTGTTGAAGAGATTGACGATGTGTGAGTGTTCGGTTTGAAATTTTTTCCTATTTCACTAATTTAGATATTTTGTTTCGATGTTAATGGGCGCCGATCTCTCAAACATTCTTAAAATTCAACGCCTTAATGATGATCACATTCAGTTTCTGGTTTATCAAATTCTTCGCGGCCTCAAATATATTCATTCCGCGGATATTATTCATAGGGATCTCAAACCATCTAATATTGCAGTTAACGAAGATTGTGAGCTTAAGGCATTTGGAATATCTTAACTAACCACAGTTAATTGCGATATATTTAGATTCTTGATTTTGGTTTGGCTCGACAGACAGATGCGGAAATGACGGGATATGTAGCGACTCGATGGTACAGAGCTCCTGAGATTATGCTCAATTGGATGCATTACACACAAACTGGTAATTAGGGATTCATTTTCAGTCGAAAACATGATTTTAGTGGATATCTGGTCGGTCGGTTGTATTCTCGCTGAGCTTATCACCGGAAAAACGCTATTCCCTGGATCAGATCGTAAGTTGTTTGATGACATGGATAAACTTATTCGCAAATATCCCAGATATTGATCAATTAACCCGAATAATGTCAGTTGTTGGTACACCCGATGAGGAGTTCTTGAGCAAAATATCTTCGGAGGAAGCAAGGAATTACATAAGAAATCTTCCGAAGATGCCAAGACGCGATTTCAAGAAATTATTCGCACAAGCATCACCAGCGGCAATTGACCTATTGGAGAAAATGTTGAATTTGGATCCTGATAAGAGGTGAAAATTTGCTTGGTTTTGTATAAATATTTAGGTTTGTTTCCTTTCAGACCCTCTGCTCAAGAAGCAATGGAACATGAATATTTAGCCACTTATCACGATGAAACCGACGAGCCGATTGCTGGAGAAATGCAGTTGAATGATGATGTTCAGGCGAATACGATAGAGGAATGGAAGAAAATTATTTGGGATGAAATTGTTGATTTCGAGGTATTTATATGCAGTGTGATCATCCGCAAAATGCCCATTTATTCAGAAAAATGTTTCATTCCTTCCTGTTGAAGAAGATGACGACGATGAAATGGAATCGTAGATGCTATTTATTTTAATTATTTCGCAATATTTTGAATTACTTTTTCATGTTTTTTCGCCAATCTTGTATTCTACTTCAGTTTCTCTGGAAGAAACAATTGCTGACCTTAGGTGCTTTTTAATCCAATTCAAACTCGTGTATATTCTCAAATGCTGCTAACAAAAAGAAATAAATGAATTCGAGTAGAAATAGTAATATCAACATTAAATTTTTTTTGCAAATAGAATAAGTGGTTTTCATTCACAAAAAATAAAGGTCATCTGCTTAGAAGGGTAAATTTCTCTTTGGGTTCACCGCAGGTACATATGTCTCAAAGGGGGCACTCTAATTTATTTTTAGTAATTTCGTGCTATGATCACAAATGGAAGAGTAACATTAACTCCGCAAAATGACAGGTCAAAAAGAATACAATAAGTAGAAGCCACTTTTCACGAATCTTCCAGTCGAACCAACAATTCATCTAAAGCATTTCTGTTGGAACCCATGAGAATAAATATGTTGATCCCTGAGCTACTTTGTCGAATGCCCCTTTTGAAACATATTTCGGTTGACCCCGAAGAGACATTGACCTCAATGAGCACATGACTCCCAAGACTCCCACGTTTCCCGCTACTTCGTTGACCCCCGGCAGTAATAAATTTAAAAAAACATTATTGAAATAATTTAATTAAATTAAGGAATGCTTCAATTTTCTTAAAAATTAGGCTTGGGTAGAAGTGGTCTAAAATTTTGTCAAATTTTAAAATTGTCATTTTGCTCTTTAAAACTTGTCATTACAATTCGTTTCATAAACTTACTCTCTGTTAGAACGATCTAATTTGATTCTTCTAATCATTAATCTTGGAAAATTAAACAAATGAAATTAGCATATTACCGTACATTTTTATTCGACTTTATCCTAAGCCTAGTTTTATTTGAAAACAGGAATGGAAATTAGAACCTCTCAATTAAAAAAAAATATTGTTCGAAAAATTCATTAAACGAATCTACTAAACGAAGAATCACAAAACGATTCTACTGTATGGCGTTAGACCTATCAATCATGTGGCATTTTCTGGCGCTTTGAAATTTTATTTCTTTGAAGTTTTCCTTTTTTTTCATTTGTCTACATTGCACTTTTCAAAAGGAAACTCTGGATCTCCGCATGAAATACTGTATTTCTTTCCAAATATTCGTTCAACATTCCATATAAAAGGGCAACAAATGTTCTTTATCGGAACAACACAATATTTAGTTTTCTTTTTTTAACCAATTTTCTTCTTTTTCGAAAAATTTCGGAGCGAACACGCCCAGGGTGTGGGGCGCATTCGATGCGGGCTTGCACCCAACGGGGCGACACAGTGGGCGTATTTGGTGCCAGGGCGAGTTATGACAAAATAAAACTCTCTGAGTTTTTTCTTTTATTTTTTTTTCATTGCCCCTTAAAATGAACAGATTATAACAGTAATGTGACGAAAGTTGGATTTTCATGCAGTGTGAAGTGATTTTGTTAGCACTATCGGCGTGATATGCTTTGAAAGAAAATTGCTGGTCCCAAAATCCAATAATATTTTTATTTTATGAGGTTTCGCATTCAATCATAGAAAAAAGCCCCACATTTTCAGCAACAGACATTCGATTTTCTCATTCCGGAATTCGGTTTTGCCTCGTCTAATTCGGATAATTAAATCAGTATTAGAATCTTATTTTCATTACGTGACTTTTATTTCCAAATTTTTTCAAACTTGTATTTTGCCCATTTTGGTTGCATTTTTCCCTTTTGTAAGTTTTTTCAACCTCTTAAATTGCTAGATCCTTAAACCACAAAGTCTCTGTTGAGACACGACAAAGTCCTCACAAATCTTCAGCGGACTGTGCAGTTTCTTTAAAGAGTCTGCTGAAACTCTGCGCGACTTCCCAGATAAATTTTTGAGACAAAGCAAAATGTGAGTTTCGGCAAAATTTGTATTCAAGAATCCTTAGTCGATATGCATACTTATGCAGAATTTTCATAAATTCTACACTAATTTTGTAAAAAGAAGGTCCCTTCTGCTGTATGTGGGTAGATTTACGCGTGCGTCTTTCGAAATGGTCTCGTCACGTATGAACCCTTATTTTGCTGTTTTCACGTGAACTGCTTCATTTTTCTTGACGAGTTTGGAATTTTCTTGAATTTCCAACGTGATCCGATTTAGAAAATGTCGAACCAACCCATAAAATTCAAAATGGCAAGTTTGGCCGCGCGAGATGAAGATAAAGACGTATCCCCGTTAATATACCCACGTACTACTGTCAAGGCGCATGCAAAAATGAGTTATATTCGCTCCAAAACATTCAAACCGAATTCGCTACCTATGAGTGTAGATTCATGACAAACGGAATCTGCGAATGAAACGCGATTCAGATCGATAGAATCAATCTGCAGATAAACTTGTGAACCAATACTTTTGAATTTCAAGCCCTTGAAAAACTACAAATTGGCCACAAGTTGTCTGTTTCACACTTCATTCTCAGGTCTCACTTACCAAATCGGGGGTCACATGTGTTTCAGAAGTTAACCCTATTTAACATTTTGGACCGTATTGTCATTTGATCCCCTCTTCGCTTCATTCGGTTGGTTCCGACTGCAGTAAAGTTGAAATGATTAAGACCAAATTTCTTAATTCAAAATTTTCCGTTTTCCTTGTTTCCTCCTCGCGATTGTGTTCCCAAATTCTTACTTTAGTCCATGTTAATCGCGCTTCTTCTACTTGTTGCACTCTATTATTCTTCACGATTGTTTATTTGGTATCAGAATTGGAAACAGGTAATGCAACAATTTTAATTTAGAAGATTCCATTAAAATTTAGAGACAAATTCAATTAAAAGAAATTATCAGAAAAAAGAGAGAAGCTCGAAAGGAAAGTATTGAATTTGCACGAAAATCCGCAGCAAAAATTGATGAACAAAAACGGGAATTTATTGGCGGACTTGATTTTATACAGCTCAGGGGTTTGATAGTCATCAAGACCATTTTTTGATCAGCTTATCTTCCAGCTGGACTTCAAAACGGATCGATTTCTTGTATCGAAGCTCTCCGAACCTATTATTATAAGGCAATAAAGGCACATGAGAAAACGAATGCATTATGCATGTTCGTCACGGTTCGAAATTCTATTGGGTGTCCACAAAAAATCGGATTCAGGATGCTGAAAAATGGGCGATCGAATGGGATGAGAAAGCAAAAAATCCGGCTTTTGTAAAACCGCCATTTTTTGGAATTCCGTTCTCATTAAAAGAGAATTGCCCGGTTTTTGATAGTATCATTAATTCCTGTAAACGTTTTGAATTAAGCTGAAAGGATACGACCAAACTCGGGGATTTGTTCAAGATTGTTTTCATCCAACGAAAAAAGACGGCGTTATGGTGAACATTATCAAAATGAATGGCGGCGTACCATTTTGTCAGACCAATATTCCACAATCACTGCTTTCTTTCAATTGTTGTAATCCGGTGTATGGAACAACCAATTTCGTGATGGACAAAGAACGGACTTGTGGAGGATCATCGGGAGGAGAAGCCGCGTTGATTAGTGCTGATGGATCACTCATCGGAATTGGCGGAGACGTCGGAGGCTCGATTCGAATTCCGTGCGCGTTTTGTGGAATCGTAGGATTCAAACCATCGCACTTGCGATATTCTCACAGAGGAGTTTGTGGATCAGTTCCAGGGAGACCTTTGATCAATTCAAATGAGGGTCCGATGTGTAAAGACGTAACAACTGTCGTCGAATATCATAAAACTGTAATCGATAGGAATGTTTTTATTGAGTTGGATTCATTTTTTCAGATTTGGGGAACCACTACAATATCAAAAATTGATCCGTATGTGCCGCCCGTTTTATGGAATGAGCAAGAGTTCACAAGCACAAGACCGCTCAGAATCGGCTATTATATTGACGATGGCTGGTTTACGCCGACTCCGGCCTGTCAGAGAGCGGTTCTCGAAGCGAAACAAATTCTCGAAAGGAATGGGCATAAGTTGGTCCCATTCACACCGCCTGATGTGGCCAATGTGATTTGTCACCTTCTACGAGCAATCTGTGTGGATTCGGGACGATATTTGCGTAACAAACTTTTGAATGTTCGGATCAATTCAAATTGCGTTTTTCATCAACAATTTTCTAGGATGTTGCGGATCCTCACTGTTATTTCTCAATGGCTTTGTGGTTTATTCCGGTTTGGGTTCAGCGAAGTGTCGCATTCGTCATTCAATGGTTTTATCCAAGAATTTCCCAAGTTCTCACATCAATGACTTTGAGCACACCAGGTTGAATAATTTTAGAAAAAAAAAAGAATGAAGCAATTTAGTTTTTAGAGCTCCGAGAATCGTATGCTTTCATTGAGCAGTACAGAGAGGATTTCACAGAAACATTTGTCGAGCAAAATCTAGATGTAATTTTGTGTCCAGCTACGGTAACTCCCGCAATGACACACAATGCTCCTGGAAAACTGGCAGTCGCTGCTCTTTATACAGCGATTTTTAATCTTCTCGATTACGGGGCAGGAGTTGTTCCAGTGACAAAAGTAACAGAGGAAGATGACAAGAATCTGGATAACTATCCAGCCACTGATCCATGGTATCGAGAGGCTAAACGGGATTCGAAGGTTTCTTTTTTTAGTGCATTATCACGGGGAAAATATGCATTTGTTCAGGGATTAATTGGCTACCCAATTGCTGTTCAAGTCGCTGCACCACCCTATAGCGAAGAGGCATGCTTCCGTGTTCTCAGCGAAATCGAGATCGGAGTCAAATCCAATCAATAATCATCATCGTATCTACAATTATTTGATGGTTTCAATCATATACAACGCACAATTTTACGCGTTTTTTTTTATTGAGAATATAAAATTTCGCAATTCTGAATGAATCACCAACAATGAAACACACAAACGCAATTTGAACCCCAAACTGAAAGATTATTGATTTGTCATATTTTTTAATTGAATTTAGCGCGGCCACATTTAAGAAATGAAAGTGTAGACTCCACACAAACCCCCAAATAACTTGCCAATTTATGATTTTTGCGATAAAAACTATTCCTCGTTGATTTCTGCATTATTTCGATATTTTCTCACAAATTACGTCGGTAGATCAAAAAAATAAATCAAAAGTTCGCGGCGCGTATTGCACAAAAATCGTATAAAATGGTTTGATAAAGTGCAACAAACCAGTTGAATGCCCATTAGTATAGTTTTATTTTTTGTTTTAATCCGTCGAAAGTTGTCCATCTCTTATCATATGTTACTTTTTTCCTATATAAAATGGGCTGATTTGATAAGAATTCATTGACATGATGAATTTAGAAATGATTATTTCGATATTGGTGATTTCTGTCTCGTTATTAGGAGTTTACTGGTACAGTTTGTGGACGAAACGACAAAAGGTTAGCAGTTTGAGCATCTCCCTTATATTAATGTATATTCGATATGATTTTCAGAGACAAGCTGAACTGCTCAAAATCGTTGACAAAAAACGGGCAGAACGAGAGGAAAGTATCAAATTTGCCAAGAAATCTTCCTCCGCACTTGATATCGATCGAAGGAATTATATTGCGAAATTGAGCTATCATGAGTTGAAAGGTATTATTAACAAGTAATTGCTGCGATCGACGCGAATATTTCAGCCGAACTACAAATCGGAACTGTGACTTGTGTGGAAGCTGTCCGAACCTATTATCATAAGGCACTCATTGCAACTGAGAAGACGAATGCTGTTTGCATGTTCATTGAAGAAGCTGAACACTGGGCGAAGAATCTTGACGAGAAGGCTAAAGATCCCAACTACAAGAAGCCTGCGCTGTTTGGAATTCCGATATCGTTGAAAGAATGTGTCCCGATCAAAGACTATGATCAGACGCGCGGATTTGTGCAGGACACGTTCCGTCCGACACTTGAGGATTCGGTGATGGTTGCTCAGATCAAATCACTTGGTGCCATTCCATTCTGCCAGACAAATGTCCCGCAATCGTTGCTCTCCTATAATTGCTCGAATCCTGTGTATGGAACGACGAATCATCCAATGGACAAGAATCGCACAAGTGGAGGATCGTCAGGCGGAGAATCCGCATTGATCAGCGCCGATGGATCGCTTATCGGAATTGGCGGAGATGTCGGAGGGTCGATTCGAATTCCGTGCGCCTTCACTGGAACAGCTGGAATCAAACCTTCCCATTTGCGATTCTCACACAGAGGAGTTTGTGGATCAGTTCCAGGAAGACCTTTGATCAATTCAAATGATGGGCCAATGGGAAAAGATATTGCGACTAGCGTAGATTTTTTGAGAAGTGTAAGTCGCATTAGCCAAACAAACCACATGCTTATCTATTCAACAGGTCTGGTCTGACAACTACATTTCTGAACAGGATCCGTATGTGCCGCCCGTTTTATGGAATGAGCAAGAGTTCACAAGCACAAGACCGCTCAGAATCGGCTATTATATTGACGACGGCTGGTTTACGCCGACTCCGGCCTGTCAGAGAGCGGTTCTCGAAGCGAAAGCTCTTCTCGAGGAAAAAGGACACACTCTTGTACCATTCAGACCACCAAGAGTCCCAGAAGTCATGATTATGTTCATTCGTGCAGTTTGTGTGGATGCTGGAAAGTTTTTGTCGAGAAAACTGATGAATGTATGAGATTGATGTGACAATAATCATTGAATATTCATCGAATTTCAGGATGTGATCGATCCTCTTCTCTACACCCAAGTCATTCTTTGGATGATTCCAGTGTCAGTTCAGCGAATTCTCAGCTACGCCGGCAAAGTGTTGTTCCCTCGCCTCGGCCAAATGATGAACGCTCTTACACTGAGCACTGTGGAGCTCAGAGAGACTTACGCCGATATCGAATCCTACCGAAATGAATTCGCAAAACTTATGATGGAAAAGAAGCTTGATGCTCTTCTTTGCCCAACTACCGTAACCCCGGCTCCACCTCATGTGGTACCTTCAAAGTTGTTCGCTGCGACGAGTTACACTGGAATCTTCAATCTTTTGGATTATGCTGCAGGCTCGGTTCCAGTCACGAGAGTAACAAAGGAAGACGACACGAAGCTTGAAGAAGAATATGAAGCTTCTGACCCATGGTACAAGATTGCAAAGAACGCATCGAAGGGGACTGTCGGATTCCCGATCGGAGTGCAAGTGGCGACTCCGCCGTATAAAGAAGAAATGTGCCTGAGAATTTTGTACGAAATTGAGCAGAAGGTCGTTGAGCTGTCAAAATAATCTAAAAATTGTTGAATAATGCACGGGTTCTATACATTTTTTTAATTATTTCCATATTTAAGAAAGATGTTTTCTGACAATAAAATCCATTTTGCTTCCTTTATGTGAATTTAAATTTTCATTGCGCTTTTTTGCTTTTAATGGCATTATTTCGAAATTTTATGCTAATTTTTATGCTACCATAAGCGAATCGAACTGATTGTTTTAAGAATCGTCGAAGACATTGCCTGATTTTCAGCAGCTCCTACATTCATTTTGTTAGACTCAATTCCTATCATTAATTTACAACTTACTTATTTAGTCAATTAGTCGCTTCGTCCTTCGCTTGTTTCCAAGCTTTTCGGTCCTTGGCTTGGGTGGACTACAAGGTGATAACGGCTCGTTCAGTGGTGATCTCCTTCCGAAGCGAGTCCGACCATCTCATGGGAGGCTTCCTCATTAATTTCTCAGAAATTCCCCTTCCTCAGAGTATAATTAATTTACAAAGCATTCATTATTAGGTTCCGTCTGTGTTAATTTTAGAAAAAATTCAAACTTCCTCCGAAATCGATATGAGAAAAAACTCGATCAATTCTAACTACTGCGCCAGTCTGCTATTTCAACTACGCTTTCAAGAGAAATGCTTAAAAAGCATTACATATATGAATTTGGAAGCAGTGGATTTACGGGCATTTTTAAATCGGGTCGGTATTACAGCGATCGGCCGATCGTACATAAAATAAACAAATTGTAGAAATTGAGATGATATTTGATGTGATCATGGGTTTGCCTATATGCGTTGCAATAATTATTTAAGATAATCCAATTCGATCCGAAATATTCCAAGTCTATTACATATATCCTATGATCGAACACGACTCTAAAAACCTTCCATTAAATTTTTTTTTTAATTTCGACGATTTTTTCAATATTTCAACGGAAAACTGGTTTTTCTCTCTCTTTTCAACAAATCGCCCTTGAAAATCAACGACTGTATTCGCTCTGTTTTGCGGTCATTTTTTCTCTGTATATGCAATGCAACTTTGAGATTTTTTTCAACAACTCAGGAAATTCATGCTTCAACCATTGGTCTGCAATTTTGCGTAAGAAATGTTGCGGATATATGATTTTCCTAGTAGTTGGAGATTTGGATTAAAATGCATTTAGGAAATTCCGAGAATCAGAAATCATCAAAATATGTGGAAACGCAAATATTCATTTTTTTAAATCGAAATTTAAAATTCCCCCATGATACATTTTTTTCATACCAATTCAACAAAACATCTCATTTGAGCCCTTATTTATAATTTCATATCACATTGTTGAAAAGATCAAATTCATTATTTATTTGTTTGTTTTTGAATAAAGAATTTACGCACGTGGAGATAACAGCTAAAAATATTTGGATTTTTTGTTTCGTTTTTTATTAATTAATTTATTTGTTTTTTTTTTATTATGGGGTCTGTTTTCTTTGAACATTTGCTCGATGTTCTAAAAGTACAAATTGGCTATTCAAAAATGATAAAACCTACTTATTTTTTGTTTTTTTTTTTTGAGGAAAACTATTCTGATTGAAAATTATTTCTTGTTTTTTACATTCTCTTTTCATTTAAAAATTACATCTATACTGATTTTCAATAATCACGGGGCCGATTTTCCCGAATTCAAACACTTCCATTGGATTGTGTTGGTCTGCTAGACGATTTTCGAATTCACACGTTTAATCTTTTTCTCAAGTCTTTGTTAAATATTTGAAATCCAATTGTCAATATTGTCATCCAAGTCAATCTCTTTAAAACATTCGAGAATCGTATTTGCCATAAATTTCTCTCAACCAAATTTCGATTGATATTTATTCAAGACTTTCAAAGTTTGAAAATCGAATCGAAAGAAAGAATGCGTTGAAAAAAAAATAAGTTTGATCCTCACATAAACGAGTGTCTCACCACTATTAAGTCGGTGTGCACACACTCTTCGCTAAATACACACCAATATTTTTTTATTTACTTCGAAGTTATGATAGTCAGTCGCTCATTCGTCATTTCAATTTCATCGTTTTTCTCGTTCGTTGCCATGGTGGCCAATATTCGACCGCCATATTTGTGGTCGAGCTCAAAAATTCGACAGGCGGCGAGATCAAAATTCGCCGCCTATCTAAATGTGTCAATGTTTGTTTGAGATAGAGCCGAAATGCGCTATTACTTGGTCGTAAAATGGTTTTTCTATTTTAAATAATCACAAAATTATCATCAAGTGTCAAAAGGTTGCCACAATTTTCAGAAAAAATGATGATATTGTTACTTCTGGTTTTGGCGATTTCTGGAATTGTCGCCTATTATATCTATTTCGAATCGCAAAGAAAACAGGTTCAAATGTTTTTTTTTCAGAATCTTTGTTCAAATTGTTTTCTTCATTTTCAGATCCGTGAAAAACTAAACGTTGTTGTCGAAAAACGGCGAGCGGAGGTTCGCGAAAGCATCGAATATGCGACGAAAGCTGCTGCTCGCCTGAATCCCGAAATTCGCGATAAAATCGCTAAATTGGATTTTCAAGAATTGCAGAGTTGACAGATTTGAGAGAGAGAAAAAAAAAGATAGTTTGAAATTACAGAAGCAATGCAAAATGGCGAATTCAGTTGTCATCAGGTCATTTTGACATACTACCACAAAGCGGTCATTGCGAATGAAAAAACAAACGCTATCACTCTGTTTATAAGGGTACATAGTTGTAATAAAACATGCATTCGATCAACGTTTTAGGAAGCCGAAGAATGGGCCAAAGAATGGGATGAAAAAGCGAAAGAGCCCGATTTTAAGAAGCCGCCTTTGTTCGGAATCCCGCTATCTCTCAAAGAATGTGTTATGATCAAAGGGTATGATCAGACACGTGGATTTGTTCAAGACGTTTTCCATCCAGCGACAAAGGATTCCATTCAAGTGGAGCATTTCAAAAAACTTGGTAGGCATTTTTCACTCATTGATTTTGTTTTCATTTATTTTCAAATTTCATAATAGGCTTGATTCCTTTCTGCCAAACGAATGTTCCACAATCTCTGCTTTCCTACAATTGCTGTAATCCGATCTATGGAACAACAAATCATCCAATGGATAGGAATCGCACAAGTGGTGGATCGTCGGGCGGAGAGGCCGCACTTCTGGCAGCCGATGGATCACTCATCGGAATGGGAGGAGATGTTGGCGGATCAGTGAGAATCCCATGCCATTTCACTGGAACAGCTGGAATCAAACCTTCAAAAATGAGGTTTGCACATCGCGGATCGGGATCGAGTGTTCCTGGAAAACCGATGATCGATGCAAATGACGGGCCGATGGCGAAGGATGTCAAAACGAATGTCGAATTCTTGAAACATGTTTTGAAAATAATTTCTGATAGTATCACTGACTGAATTATTTCAAGGTGTGGGGAGACAGCTTCCAATCAAATGCCGATCCATATTGTCCACCGGTCAAATGGGATCAAGAGCAGTATTCGAAGAAGAACCTCCGCATCGGGTATTATGTCGACGATGGTTGGTTCACACCGACACCTGCTCTTCAACGCGCAGTTCTCGAAGCCAAAGAGCATTTGGAGAAGGCTGGCCACACATTGATCCCATTCCATCCACCGAGAGTTCCCGAAGTCATGCACATGTATTATCGCGCAGTTTGTCTCGACGGAGGGCAATATATTTTGAGAAAACTTCTTAAAGTACTGTTAGAAGCTACTAAAACACTATTCTTTTAATATTTGAGGATCTGATTGAGCCAACAATCTACATGCAAGTGACGATTTGGATGGTACCATTGTGGGTTCAACGGGTTCTCAGTCTTCCCTTTTCGTTCTTTTTCCCTCGAATGGCTTTGCTGATGCGAGCACTCACAAGAGACACATTCAGTATGTTTCATGATGCATTATTGAAATTGTGAATTTCTATCCAAAATGTTTTAAGAGCTTCGCGAAGCATACGCCGATATTGAGGAGTATCGCGGCCAATTTGTAGAACTCATGATGAAAGATAATATCGACGCGATTCTCTGTCCGCCGCAGGTATTTTTTAAAACAATTATTATTAATTGTTGCATTTAATAGAATTGCTTTGATATTCTAGATTATGCCAGCTCCTGCCCATGATATTCCATCAAAATTGGTTTCTGGAATCAGTTACACTTGCATTTTCAATCTTCTCGATTTTGGAGCTGGCGTGGTTCCAGTGACTCATGTGACAAAACTTGATGAAGAAAAACTGAAAGATTATCCAGAAACTGATAAGTGGTACAGTTTAGCGAAAGAAGCCACCAAAGTAGGAATTCAAATTCGAACAGTTGAAATCCGAAATATTGTAGGGATCCGTTGGTCTTCCTGTTGGCGTACAAGTTGCTGCTCCACCATATAGAGAAGAGACAGTACTGCGAGTGATGAGAGATATCGAAATCGCAGTCACTGGCAAATAGACATACTTTTGCTTCATTTTTGCTATCAATTTTTTATTTCGAATAAATAAATGTCTAATGAAGTGGACGGATCTTGCATAAAAACGCTCGCTCGTCAATTTGGGCAATATTGTTCCAACGAGAATATTCCGAATTCTTCGACTCGTGTGGATCAGAGACAAGCTTAATTATACTAATTAAGTTGATCAAAACATTTTCTAATTTTACCACAGTCCACCATTCCTTATCCATATTGTTTGGCTCACCATCTCCCCAATTTACATAATTGACGGCGGTTCCATCAGTCCAAATCCATTTCTGATCTTGATAAATCAACCCAATCCAAACTTGATCATTCCATCGTTTATCTTTGTTTGTAATTCCAGCCTTACTAAACTCTATAATTTTTTTTCTCAAATAACCAATTTCAAATGGTCTATGTACCGACGAGCAAATCGTTTTCTGCTTGCGAATGAATTGACGCCAATTCGCCACCGTCAGCTTGGCAAGCGCTTCGAGCATCGTTGAAATTTGTGAATTTGACAGTATTCTGCAATGTCCAAATAAAATTCGAAAAATCCGCGACAAGAATGACACCTTGTAGCAGAAATCGGTTTCTCTAAACCAAGTGTATCCGTTCGGGCAGTGACTCGGAACTGAATTCAATAAATTTAAGTGCAATTATTGTCAGCGTCTAACGACTGAAGGGAAGGGGATCCTTCAAATTCACGAAATCAGTGTAATTTAAACTTATCGTTGACTGAATATTAAATGCGCGTACGCTATAATGCAATGTACGCAGTCTCGCGTACTTCTCGCTGCCTCGATACGCATTGGCACATAGCCAATTATCTTTTTTAAAATTTCTTCAAGTCGTTTGACTCCGACAATAATTAATACTCATTTTGATAATTGACTTACTAACTGGCGTCGGACAAGTTGGTGGCACGATTTGTGGATAAGCGCAAATGAACGGAAGCGTATGATTGCAAGCATTTGTTGACCACGAGGATGTTCCGATTTCAAGTTGAAGACACGAGGTTCTGCCTTGTGATTTTGGTTCTCCTTCAATTTTTCTGCTCACTTTCTTCTTTTATCTTTGATTTTTATCATACCGACTTTATAGTGAGTGTAGTCATATTTCGAGCCGTCAGTCCAATACCAATTCAACGGATTCGTGACGTCAGCGGCATTGGCTTTGGCACCCAGCCAAGCTTTGTTCGAGAAGAATCGGTTGGCATTGCTTGCAATGAAACTGTTGTCAATTGCATTATGAACCGACACCAAATGGCCGGATTGAGATGCACAGATTGTTTCGGCAGTATCGAAATTAACAGGAGAACGATAGAACTGAAGGCATCTGGAAAATGAATTATGAATGAATCAAACTTATTTTATGTTTCGACAATTATTTGGAATCAATATTCTAGTTACTCACGAGCTTGAAGTTGTGTCAAGAACAGCATTTGGTGGGCATTGCCCGACAATTGCAAGAGGTAGCAAAACGCAGACTACGAGTTTCAGCATTATCTCTCAAGTACACAGAACATTGGCCCAACCGATCAACTTTAAATATTCCAGGTTCTTATCGGAATATTATCAGTTCCGCGATTGATTCAATTTCGTTTCAATTTAATATTCGTCGCCATACTACACAACATTTTATGGCTACACTACTCTCAATAATTACTGTACGCATAAGCGACTGGTCGCTGACTAGCAAAAGTCGTAGCCCGTTTCACTTAATGCATCGGACAAAACGGTGCAAAGTAGCGAGTGTCTGGATATGACCGAATTGGGGATTTAATTGAAGAGGCGTTGGTGGGGCGGCGGCGGCGGTGGCGGCGGTGTTCACCGGCGCCGAATAACATCCTAATGAACACACGAGTAAATTGCGAGTCAATGGAATGTGAATTGAAGGTATTTTTCGTTTCTGTTTTCAAATTTTCGAGCATTTTTGTTAAGGTCAAAGCCTACCGATTCATTGCTTACTCTGCAATTTCTTTTAGCTTTGTTGCTATTTGCTCAGTATGTCTTTCATTACCGATAGTCTACTTTTATATTAATAATGTCAAAACAAGTATGCAAGAAGATATCGATTTCTGCCGAGTAAGTTTAATTTTTTACTTTCTTCAACGATAACCATATACACGTCAGCCAAAGACATTTGGACAGAAGTACAGCACGTTAAACAGCTTCCTCGAAACAGGACATCTCGTCAAGCCGGCTATACGAATTCCGGAAGCTCACAAGACGATGAATATGTCGGAGATGACGATCCGAACGGATTCGATGAATGTGAAGGGTGCTGTTTGCCAGGTCCGCCGGGCAGTCCTGGTGAACCTGGCAGGTCCGGTCGACCTGGAAAACCTGGAATTCCCGGGCTTCCCGGCAGTCCGGGAAAGCCACCACAGCAGCCTTGTCAGCCGATCACTCCTCCACCGTGTGCCCCGTGCCCAGCTGGACCTCCGGGAAAACCAGGACCTCAAGGCCCACCTGGTGATCCAGGTATTCCCGGTCCGCCGGGAGCTCGTGGAGAAGATGGAGAACCTGGAGAACCAGGACCGCCGGGACCACCTGGCGAGCCTGGATTCCCAGGGCCACAAGGACCCCCAGGACAGCCCGGCATTCCAGCGGAACCGGTCCCATTCAGAGCCGGTGTTCCTGGACCACCAGGAGATCCGGGACCGCCGGGACTTCCTGGCGAGATCGGAGAAGTAGGCGATGATGGTCCGCCAGGACCTCCTGGACCGAAAGGACCACCGGGAGCCTCCGGTATACCAGGAAACGATGGTCCGCCGGGAGCAAAAGGACCTCCGGGACCACCAGGAAATCCAGGAGAGCGTGGAATTTGTCCCAAATATTGTGCAATCGATGGTGGCGTTTTCTTCGAAGATGGAACACGACGATAACAAATAAAAATAATACAAGCGTTATTATATAGTTTATGTATATATCTAAAATATGTGTTTGCCTTTATTTTCCGAATAAATTAATAATAAAATATATACTTGTTGAACGTCCCTTTGTTAAAACGAATTCAACCGTTTTCATAATTATCATGTGTCCGATTCGCAGAAGAAAAAAAAAACAAAGATATGGGAATGCAGGGTGGAAAACGGTTACACGGGTGGAACGAGCGATGCGCAACAAGAAGTCGACGAGGCGACAAGATAACACCGCGTTTTTCGTTTCTCTTAAACTTGCCGAAAAGCCACAAAAAATTGCATTTCTCATAATTAATACACATTTTTGAATGAGTTGAAAAATGAGAATCAAACAAATAAGGAAGTAGAATATAAGAATAGGTTTTCTTCTCTCATATTTTTCACTTTTCTCATAAATCAAATTTCAAAAAGGGGGAAGAATAAATGAAACATTTCAGATATCCAACTATTTTTTTAATAGCTCACTATTTCACGTTTACAAGCCAACGAATTATTTTTTTCAATTTTTTTTTCAAATTCAAATAATTAGGGAAGAAGTCGAAAATTCATAGTTTATCAAAATCACGTTGTTTTCCGATTGAATATGGTGAAAGTATATTTAAATATCTGCAATAAAATACGGGTTTTTGGGGAATATCTTAAAAGCCGATAATTAGTTGCACGTTTTCAAGATAAACCAAAAAATTTTATTTTAATTTTACTATCGACTATACATAATTAAAATGTCCGTTCGTTGTTAATTAGTTTGCTAATATTCTCACAAATTCATCATCAGATCGAAAGCGAAAGTGTTAATCAACCAACAAGAGACGAATCCAAAAAATATTGTAATATTTTCGTCTGCTATCGCTTACATCCCACCCTTTCGAACATGCCTTCGATTGTGGGCGGAGCGATCTCTATAAAAGGCGATTGAAACGCGTATCTGTCTAATTGCGCATCGCAGCGTCGGTTTCTTGTCGATTTTTTGTATTGCAAGTTGAAATGATTCTTGTTTTTACAATGTTTGCATTTTCAGAATGTCAGCTCGTGTGGCTGGCTATGCGGCCATCGCGTTTTCGATCTCCTCGTTGATTCTTGTCGCCTTGTTTGTACCAACGCTTTATGATAAAGTCAACAACATTACCGGAGAGCTTTATGATGATATGAGCGAATTCCGGGATCTTCACAACGAGGTGTGGTCGAATATGCGGGGAGAGTCGTTTGGAGGCTCGATTGTTCCATTCGCCCGCAAGAAGAGACAGACAAGCAGACCTGGCGAATGCTGTAATACACCGGATTAACTTGAACTCATCATTGATTTGATTTGTTTCAGTGTGCAATTCAAATAACGAGTGCCCAGCTGGACCGGCTGGACCTCCAGGAACCCCAGGACAGGATGGAACTCCTGGACATCCAGGAGAGCCTGGCGCTCCTGGACTCCCAGGACATTATCCAGCTATCAATATGGACGCCCACCAACAATGCCGCATGTGCCCACCAGGTCCACCAGGATATCCGGGACCAGCTGGACCACCAGGAGCTCCAGGAGATAAGGGCAACGATGGTGTTCCAGGACTCAAGGGACCAGACGGTCATCCAGGTCATCCAGGAAATCCAGGATACGGTGGAGAACCGGGAGCACCAGGAAAGAACGGAGAACCAGGAGAGAAGGGACGCGACGGGCAGAAAGGATCGAAAGGTGCACCGGGACCTGCTGGACCACCTGGACCATCCGGACAGCCAGGATTCCCGGGACAAGCTGGAAACGACGGTAATCAAGGTGTTCCGGGAATCCAAGGACCACCAGGATCGCCAGGAGAAGACGGAGCTCCGGGAGCCCCTGGATTCGATGGCCAACAAGGACCAACTGGATCCCCAGGAGAGGATGCAAACTACTGCAAATGCCCACCAAGATCAAAACTTTCTCGTTAGATTTGAAATAAATCACATTCATATAAAAATGGCTTTATTAGAAGACTGCGATATCTTTTCTTTCAACAATGTACAAATTGTCATCGATTTTGCTAACAAAAATAAGCGTCCAGAAAGTTGCGATCGCGCTAAAGATATGCCAAAGATCATGAGATGCGAAGAAGTTTAATAGAATGCATGGTTTGTTGAGAGATCGGCTTTGAGCACTAGTTTTCTACAATCACAACATTAAATGACATTCATGAAAAATAACAATTCAAAGTCATACAGTCCAATCAGTTCCATCGTCGAGATAAAAGTAAAGTGCGACAAACCAGGAAATGATTGAGAATAATCCGTATAACGAGACAGATTTCGAAATTTTTTCTTTGTGAACAACTTTCATTATTGTATAAAACAATATATAGAAGAAACAATTAATAGCTAGAGTATACGGCAAAATCTGAAAAGAGAAATGAATCACTTAAAAAAAACGGAATCATACCTGTTGCAAATGAACAACGTTAGCCAAAAAAGTGTAAACTACGATGAGAACAAAATTCAGACCGAACAAATTTAAACACCACGCTTTCGAATATGATGAGTTCACTTTAAATATGAATATTCATTATATTAGAAAATTTCTACTTACGTTTTCTGATTTCTCTACAAAATCCTAGAGTGGCTAGTAAATGAATTCCCGCTATGATACCGCGAATATGCTGCTGTTTCGAAAACATTGTAATGAGCATGTTAGCGCCGAAGATGGCAACAAGAAGGGAGTTGGTGTATTGCGGTGATGGTGGTTCGCGGCGAACAAGATTTTGTCGTACGATTAAAAGTCCGCAAATCACTTGAATACATGGAGTATCTAGATACAAATGAGAAATTTAAGAAAAAAGTTAAACGTAATTGAGCAAACCAAATTGGAATGCAATATCGCTGGGACATATATGGTATGTTGAACTCGCAATTGCTTCAGTTATAAGGAAAGCAGCAATCATCATATCGATTAATGCGCACTCATAAACTCCATTTTGAGGATTCGTCTAAAAAAAGGACATTCAACTAATTTTAATAAATGAATATTACCGAGTGTCTCGATCTTCTTTTCAGCGTATAAAAGAAGAAAAAAGATCCGAACATCAGATATCCAGCATTACTAATGATGTTGTTGAATGCCCGAAAATCACCGAGAGGTTTTGCGCAAGCATGATTGAAGAAGCAAGTTTGATCAATATTGGAATATGAAGAATTTGTCCACTGAAAGAATTTACTTAAAATAGAACATCGAATACAAACATTACGTCGAGAAGGCCAAACGCGACTTGCATGAAAATTGGCAGAAATACGGCCAAGGGATACTTGAAAGCATCAAAGTGAGTTGAGAGGGAATCTTGAATAATTTCAGAAGATGTTATTTGTTCGCCAATTGGAACCACTAGGTGTTCCGAGGGTTCCGGGACCACAGAATCTTTAACAATTGGAATCGTCGGCTGCTCATGACTCAAATCAATTAAATTTGATTCATTTGTAGATACATGTAACGGATTTGAAACCACACCAATAGATTGTATTTTTCTCAGAATAAATAGTTGGCCATTGAGTCTAAAAGTTATTATTAAAATGCAATTAAAATTCTTGAATCTTACAACTTCGGTGACATCCCTAAAAACACTATGATAGTCAACGCAAAGACGATAAACATGGCGCTAATCGGAACTTTATAGCTATCTGTTTCCAACTTCTCAAACTTGAAAGTGACCTGCTTATTCTGCAGAACATGCTTTCCTGATTTAATACTTTAGATGATTTTAAGATATCATTTCATACTTGGTGGTGCATCCGGATTGCAAACAGAATCATTGGCGTTGACAAAAACATAAATTCGGAAACTTTTGTACATTTCGATCTAAAAATTTGATACAAAAAAAAAATGAAAAATTGACCACCTCAGAATGAGAAAAGTACAAATCTCCTCGTCTATCGAATGTGAACTTTCTGCTATTTTGGATTTCTGAATGTAAATTTGCATCGTAAATATTTTCCTGAAAAAATCAAATCATATTTAAAAAAAATGAAATAATCATACGGATTCAGGAGATGATACAAGCGTGGCACAAAAGCTATCCTTGCTTTCTACAGTAACTCGAAGCGATGTAATACCTCAAATTATTAAAAAAATTAGTTTTAGTCATAGTTCAAACCTTGGCTTTTGGCATCAATGAAATATCCCAATGGTTTAACAATTGTCAGGCGTTGATCTTTTAAAACAACAGTTTTGGAGTTTTGAGGAAACCTGAAGAACAAATTTTAAAAACTCAAAGAGTTGCAAAAAAACTTGATCGCATATTGTGATTGATCATAAACATTCCAATTAATGTTGTAATTTACGTCTACTGCAATTCGAGATTGAACCGTTATTGTAAACACTTGATTTTTAGAGTTTTTTCCATTTTTCTTAAATTCAAAATCTTTTTTCGATAACGGTTTAAGCATTTTCCCGTCAGAATATAATAGTTGATCACTTCTAAATCAGAATTTAAAAAACGAATGATTCCAGATAGTTTTCTACCCATAGTTAACAGGAAGTTTGATAGAAACTGCATCACGTCCATTTGAGCACACTATAATAAGGATTGGATCAGATCCAAAAATTGCATATTGTTCTGGATCTTCAATTGCAGCACTGATTCGAATCAAATCCAACTAAATTGAATTTTTACTGCATTACCCCTTATTATTTTAATCGATCAATAATCTTACAGCGAACGAGACATTGAGCGTTTTATAATAAACATTGATTTTTCCATGGCTGACAACTCCACTTATTTTCTTCGCGTTTATCGGATTTACATTGAGAGGCGATGAATTGTTTAGAAAAACTGCTGTGTAACTGAAAATTCGTACTTTCCCGATAAGAAAATCGTTTTGAATAACCATTTCAGCAAAAGGATAATTAAAAGTGAAACATTTCTCATAGCTCCAAGACAATCTGCAAAAAAATTGATTTATGAATATCGGCGTCATGCGAATTTTTATATGTATATTACTATCGCAAAAAAATAGCACTTTGATAAATTGTGGACCATCGCACTATTTCGAGACGGTAATTTAAATTCGAATTTAAACTGTGGGAATTTCGGGTACCGTACTCTGGATAACCTGCGAAGCTAACTCGCCGTAAATCGACGCATGATTCTCAGTGCTTGGTTATCTCGCAGTTTCGCGAGTGGTGCATTTTGCGGAAGGTGTATGCACAGTTTACTGCATATATCTATGCGTAGAGTACATAACGCGTAAGAGCGAAATAGTGAACTTTTTTGGAGAAATAATACACATTATCGTTCTTTCATACTTCGCATATGCATGTTCCTTGAATTTGTCAATTTTCAAAATAATAATAAGGATATATATACCATTAGCAGAGGAGAGCAGTTTATAAAAAAATAAAATCAGACTTTATAACCTTCTAAAATGTTAGAGGAATAAGCTAATTGGTTCTATTTTACCACTTTTTTTCTCCTAAAATTTGTCATTGTTTCGATTCCATTGTATGTCACTGAATCTCGGGTTTGTCCGCCGTTTCTACGACACAATTTGCTATGTAATGTGTGACGCATTCTCTCTCTAGGCAAAAATGTATATTGTCGAAGGCTAACGACCGAAAGAAGGTGGGGCCTTTAAATTCACGAAATCAGTGTAATTTAAATTTATCCTTGACTGAATATTAAATGCGCGTACGCTATAATGCAATGTACGCAGTCTCGCGAACTTCTGGCTTTCTCTAGACGCACATAGCCAATCAATTTAATAAATTTCGTCAAGTCGTTTGACTCTGACAATACATACAGCTCACCGCAACTCACGTGCGGTCTCGAAAAATTGGTCGACACTTTCACAAAACACAAATGCAAGTGCGGCACACTATCACAGGCTGAATTTTAAAATTATATTATTATGGGTAATGCATAGTCACGATTTTCTTTTATTTCCACGAAGATGTTGACTTTTTTGATATTTGGTTATTGAAGTCGTAAACACACTCAATATATTCATTTAGTTCTACGTATATATATAGTCGACTTCCGGCGACTGCTGTACGCGGGTAGATTTACGCGCATGCGCCTTGAAAAGGTCTCGCCACGCGTGAATGCATATTTTGCTGTTTTCACGTGAACTGCTTCGTTTTAATTGATGAGTTTGGCATTTCTTGGAATTTCCAACGTCATTCGATTAAAAAATTATCGAACCGACACATAAAATTTGAAATAACCTGTTAGTCCTTGCGAGACCATTGCGAAAGACGCATTCCCGTAAATCTACCCGCGTACAGCAGTCGCCGGACGCCGACTATACGCAATTATATTAATCAATCAAGATTTGGCCGTGGCCGAAACTATTTTTGCGGCCAATTTTTCTAGGCCGCACGTCAGTTGCGACGAGCCGTGACGCACGGCGTTCACACTAGTGGGATTTAGCTGGAAAAAAAGAAATGAAATTAACAAAAGAAAGACTGAAAATAATATGTAGAATGGAAATTTGAATATTTCTGCAGTTCAATAAAAAAAAATTACGGACCTCTGAATTCTCATCCGATTGAACTATTGTTAAGCTTTTTCAATAGAAAATGTCTTGCGAAAAACGTTGTCGCTGCACTTTTTTGTTAAATTTTGAGAAAAACTCAAAATACTTGAAAAAAGAGTCAAAATCAGGCGATTTAAAAAAAAGTCGCCTGCGCGACAAAAACGCCAACAACCGACAACAGACACAGAGTTTGCATTCCTGGTAAATATAACTAGTGTGAACGCCGTGTGACATTGCATTCCGTAATACATATTTAGCCGCGTATAAGTTTACAAATGAGTAACACTGATTTCACTGCACGTTGGAAAATAGATGAAACATGGATGAAAAGGGAATCTGTGGCAGATAATTTTTTTGATCCACTTTAGATACTTGTTTTTTTTTAATTGGACGAAAAAAAAACAAATGAAAAATAGATTTAAAAAAATGGATCAAAAGTTGATAAAAACTGATCTACCACAGATCCCCTTTTCATCTATTTTGTAACGAGTAGTGAAATTGATTTTCCCGCTACTGATCAGTCATTTGACACCGACAGTTGTTAATATCAAAATGTTTATAACTGATAAGAAAATGTTTAAGTACCTGCGTTTTCCTCCGGAAGTACGACAAAGTTTCAGAAAGTGCGATGCGAAAAAGTGTCAAAGTTTTAGCGGTGATTCAGAGCGCGGTGTGCGTACCAGGGCTGCGCATTTTTCGTTTCTCGATCGTTTCGAAATTTTCGAACCAAAAAAATTCCGGAAGAAAATTCGAAACACACTTAGAATGGCGGTTGGGGTCAGAGAAAAAACCCCCATAATCTGAGGATGTATGCACAAAGCAATTTCCGCGGAAAATCTTATCTCCGAGACCATAATTTCTTTGTTTGAGCATTTCCAATTTCAAATAATTTCACAGCAATCGCGCTCTAACGAACCCGCGTATCTTTACGTTTGAATTTAATTTTCCTTATTTTTGAAATTTAACCGTTTTTTTATAATTATAAGTTTTCTAGGAGTAAATGTCGAAGAAAACACAAAATGAACTTGCTCCTTGGGTGGAAAAATACAGGCCACAGACTCTTGCCGATATAGTTGGAAATGAAGCTATTGTCGATCGTCTTCGAGCTATTGCTAAAGATGGCAATGTACCAAATATTATTCTTTCGGTGAAATAAAAAATTTAATACAACATTTAAACAAAATTTTCGATTTAGGGGCCTCCTGGTTGCGGAAAAACTACTTCTGTGTGGGCTTTGGCACGAGAATTGCTCGGAGACAAAATTGACGTTGGAGTTCTTGAATTGAATGCTTCTGACGAAAGGTATTTTTAACAAATCAAATGCGGAGATATTTTTTATTTTCAGAGGAATAGATGTTGTAAGAAATCGAATAAAAACGTTTGCTCAAACTAAGGTTTCTCTTCCACCTGGACGACATAAAATCATCATTCTTGACGAAGCTGATTCGATGACTGAAGGAGCTCAACAAGCCCTTCGCAGAACTATGGAGATTTACAGCAAAACTACAAGATTTGCCCTCGCGTGTAATTTGTCCGAAAAAATAATTGGTAATAATTTACATGAAAATATTACATTCGTAAGAGAGCGCCCAACGCTTATTCACGGGGAGTTTGATTCGAGGGTTGTCTGTAGAAAGGTACCAATTCTTACTGTTCAAATTAAATTTTGAACAACCATCTCGAAAATTGCGATCCACAATTTTTAAAGGCGCTGGTTTTTATTTTATGCGATGATAATAACAAATAATAATAAATTTCAGAACCAATACAATCTCGTTGTGCGATTTTGCGATATTCTAAGCTGTCTGATGCAGAATTGTTGTGTCGAATTAAAGAAGTTTGCGAATTCGAAAATGTTAACACGGATGATCAAGGTCTTCAAATGATCATGTTTACAGCTCAAGGAGATATGCGACAGGTATATATTTTTGTAAAAGTAGTTATTTTTGGCGTAGACGAGCTATTTTGACAAATATAAATTATGAAGAGCGGTTAAAAGTTTTGATTTTGTGCACAAGTAGGCTATAAAAAAATACAAATAGAAGAAGCAATGACTCACCGCAGTGAGCCACAATATTAATAATGATTGATCACAGTTTTATCAATCGCAAATATTACATCTGTGAACGTGTTTGAACAGTGCTAGCAAGCAAAAACTGTTGTGAATGTGAATGAAAATAGATGTTTCAATGTACGGTCTTAACCATTATTTCATCAACGTTTAATCTATAATTTTTTTCCATTTTCCCAGTTGTAGTGTTAGCATAAGCGTCGCCAATATAAATACAACATTTTAGGAAATACATTTTATTTTCAGGCGCTAAATAATTTGCAAGCCACCGTAAATGCATATAACAGAGTAAACATGGAAAATGTTCTGAAAGTTTGCGACGAGCCGCATCCTGAGCTCATGGTCAAAATGATATCGTTGTGCACGGAAAACAAATTCTTTGAAGCGTCGAAGATCATTCACGAATTCTACAGACTTGGATATTCGCCAGAAGACATTGTTTCGACTTTGTTCCGTGTTGTGAAAACAGTTGAACTGCCTAAGGAAATTGGTGAACAAATGCGAATGGAGTACATAAAGGTTAAAGAAATGAAAACCCCTAGCAAGCACATTTTTTAAGGTCATTGCATTATGTCATATTCGAATCATTCAAGGTCTCGCCACGAAGTTGCAATTGTCGCGAATGATTGCTGATCTGTGTCGGGTTAAAATCTAATACCGGTTTGAATTGTAAAATATTTTCATAAAAGCTACTAATTTGTATGTATAATCAATCAAATCTCGTTGAGGAATGTCGAGTTGATTGAGCTTCTCCATATATGGTGACCACTGATTTTTTCAACATTGGCATCACTTGGTAATGACAAAACGTTTTTCGGAAAGCAGTGTTATAGGGTTTAATATAGATGATTGATATCATAGGAGATGTAATAGGCAGAAAGCTAGAGATAAGCTATAAAATAGGAAATTTGTTTTTTAACGATTTTTACCTGAAAATTGTGTAAACTAAATACTCGGATGCTTGAAAATTGACAATTTCCAAATGATATAAACCATAAAGCGTAATTGGCGGAAATATGAAAAGAAGAGGAAGAGATGCTTGAATGCTGAGCACTTCAATCAACTTCTTATGCCCTCTTAGTGTTTCTTCGCTTAATTGCTATAAAAATATCAACATTCGAGTTCGAAGGCTTATTTAAATCTTACCGCGATGTTAGACATAAGATAGAAATTCACTTTTTTGTAGAAATATATAATCAGCACATATATTGGAAACATTGGAAGAACTATTGTTGCTAGCACAATGCATGTCATAGGAGAATTGATCATAAAATTTCCAGAAACAAAAAATTGATCTAAGTCGTATTGGGGTTGGTTTGCCTTCAGATACTTTCGAATTTCAACGGAATCTGCTCTGGATAATGTGAACAGTACCTGAAAATTAACAGAAATGCTTGTGTTGAATTTAAATCAACGCTGACATGTTGGGTTAGAGCTAGTAACCATAGACTGAAGCAGAATAGAATGCACGAGGACTTGTTCGGCATCTGACGAACGAGAATCCAGTAGCGGAATCCGAACGAGATTGGAAAGCAGAGGAACATGTAGAATAATGAGTGAAGCATAAGACAGTAGAAGAAATAACCACCCTGAAAGGGTTTATTTTTCAATAATCACATTTTTATCGTTTGAATATTTTTTTAACATTTCGTTTTCTATTGAGAAGTTAAAAGGTTCGCTTTTAGAGTCTCGTCGAAATGACAGAAAATTTTGAAGTGCGATTATTTTTTATTTGAATTGCCGCATTTTGTCTCATATGGAAAGTCTATTGGAAGATTTTTGTTCAGTTCAACTAAGGTGGTCTCGACGGCGACCCGGGACATCTGGCCAACGTCTCAGGCTGACAGACCGTACCTAAGAATTATTTTCAAATGAATTTTGAGCATCTTGATTGTTGTGGGCTCCCTAGCGGAAATTTCCCTTTCCCGAAAAGAAGAGTTTGAAAATATTCATCTCAACAAAATTCGCAAAATTTTTCCGCTAAAAACCTGCTCGGAAAATCACGCGTATAATAAAATCTTGCGTTCTTCGCAGAATTGTCAAACCCAAAAATTTGTTGAGATTAAATATTTCGACTACTTTGCATGAAGTTGAATAAGTTTATAAGAGAAGTGCCAAATTACAGGATGTCAGTCATTTTTTTTAGGGCGGGACCAATTTTATGGCAGCCCGCGCAATTCAAAATTATCTCATTCGTCCGTCCGCGACGGTATTTATTGAAACCTCAGAACCAGCAATCCATCCGCCGGGTCCTAACGATACGTAGGCAAACGCCCATTTGTTGGGAATAATTCTGAAAAAAAAACAGTTTTGCAAACGATTATTTTCGATTTTCGTGCATATAGTATGTGATGAATTACGATGTTTGAGATTTGCGAATCAATGCATCCGCTTGAACAGACATTGTGATTTGCCGATTCAATTCACCTAATTTGTGCCATTGCCGTCGAAAAAGCGAACACAAGGTCACCCAATGTCGAATTAATAAGGAAAATGCTATAAATGCGTAAAGTTTGTGGAGATTTAAAAATGATGAGCATCAAGAGTAGAAGACTCATAAATATTCCACAAGTGCCTGTGACCCAGTACACGCCGGTGGCCGCATAATCATAAACGGAAAATGTTTGATTCTGCAAAATTGATGCGTTTGATTGAATAAAAATGCGAATTTGGAACCTTGTAAATGCTCCAATATGACATAATAATCAGGTTATCCTGCAAATATTAAAATAAAATTTGCGAAATATTACATCATCGGTAGATTAGTTATTATTAGTATTGTGAGAACATAGAAATATTTTCAAAGGAGTTCCTCGCGACCAAATAAAAAATAAAAATATTAGGCTTGTAAAGAACTGTTTAGAGTAAATAATATTTATAATAATAGAGACTAATTAAACGGGAAAACCCTGATACAATATGAATAATATTATTGATGATGAGTCGAGAAATTCTGCTGATCATTTAAAAAGAATTGAGTATATTCGCCAATTTCTATGTTTTGCAAAATAATTCGAAAGGAGGTATCCTTGCGCCTTCAAGCCCTCCTCAACCGTAAAACTACACCTTTGGTTTTGCGACAAGACCACGCGCATTTTAAAATATTAGGTTACTCTATGTAGTAACGTCTAGGTTTGAAAGATCTTGTTATTGTCTGAGTTTTCTAAATTCTCTTTTTTAGTATCTCAAACACTACTCAGCAATTCGATCGGAATGAACAGCGAACACTTATTGGTTTGGGATGCCCCGTAAATGATTTTGGGACATACTGAGCAGGATTCAATTAGCCGAAACAAAAGTTAGTCAGACACTCAAAATTGAGAGCAGTGTCGAGCTTGCAACGAAAGTTTTGGTGGGGAACTTGGGGGCCAGTTCGCCTTTGACCCGTGCCGTTGATTCGTCATTTTCAAGCGCGTTATAATGATACGCCACCCCCCCCCCCTATTTTCTCTTTTTTTTTCAGGTCGTATTCCTCATGATTAATAGGAGTGATTGAATTTTTCAAGGAAGTCACAGCTACGTTAGAAAAAATTCAAAATTTGTTTAATTTTCTTCAAATTACTTGAAATTGCTTGATTTCTGGGAATATCTTCGGTCTTTGTAATATCACGCCGATTTGTTATAATTCAATTCTGTTGTGAATGCGATATCGGCGAAATATGGCAGATAGCAGATTAATCAGACGTAATTCTATTGAATGAAACATGATCGATGGCTTGTTTCAATACGCCTGCACACGCAAGAAATTCGTATGATTTATTGGCGGCGTCCGGCGGCTGCTGTATGCGGGTAGATTTACGCGCATGCTCGTTTATCTTGGTCTCGCGCGGACTTACTGGTTATTTCGCATTTTATGGGTCGGTTCGATAATTTTAAAATTGAACGACGTTAGAAATTCAAAGAAATGCCAAACTCATCCAGAAAAAATTAAAAACAGCAAAATAAGCTTTTACACGTGGCGAGACCTGGGAAATCATTTTATTAATTTTGAAACTTATATTTATGTATAATCGATACATAAGAACTGAATGCTTGAAACAATTGTTAAGATCAAATACCAAGACTACGGCTTTTGGTCTATTATTATACAATCACAAAAAAAAAAACGAGCAACCTGTGTAGCTTTACGTGAATTTAATTCGCAAAATTTCTATAGAATACGGGATTTGAATTTTACTGTTTAAATCGAAATTTGAACGTAAAACAACCCCAAAATTTTAATACATTTAGGATTCTCTTGGCTGCAAGAATTGGCTGCCACGAGACCTGCACAAGGAATTATTTTAATGATTTTTTTCTGATGTTTGTTGAATACTATAATAAAAAGGATCTCGACATTTCCGCACTGAATCTGATTCTTGCATATCTGATCGCCGGTTTTTTTTGAAACAGGAAAATGTCGATAACGAAAAAAAAGAAATAATCGAAAAAATTTGAACAGGTCTTAGAGTTTACTGAAAAATTGCCATCATTTGCCGAGTGGTGCCAATAATCGAATAAAAAAAAAGCGAAAGAGGCAGTTTAGACAGCTTTATTCAATATTTTGGAGCTCAACGATCACTAAATAAAACATAATGGACTAATCTATTAGGTTCACGGCGAAACGTTTTGAAGTGAGACCTTTAAAAAGCATTATAATGCTTCAAATAGATTCTGGTGCATGAATGAATGAGCAAGCATTTTCCAAATATTCGAAAATCTTCAATTTGTTGCTCTAGACAAATGAGAAAAAAATCAAGAAACGAGTTTTTTTATCAAATGATTTTCGGTTTCTTTTTTTTTAAATGAAACTGTTGGTTGTGGCAAAAATAAAATCGAATGTGTCCACAAATAGGCTGTTTTTGCCCAGAGCGTTTTCCTAGAACCAAAAACCAAAAATGTACATTGCAACGAAAAAATAAATTTTGCTGACGAAAGATTAGTCGAAAATCCTAGCGGAATGTGAAGAAGAAGAAGAATGTCAGAATCATAGATTTTTCTTTTAGCCGGAAAAAAAAACATTCAAAGAAATAAATTCACAAAATAATTCTTTATTTTGCCAATAATAAGGTTTCTGATTGAGTGGTGAGGTAATTCAATGAATTTTCTTTCAAGCTGTCGACTTCTCGTATGGTTTGATGAAGTCCTTGTCGGCTTTCGCAGTTTCTTTATTCGGATCGCACGCAATCGCAGGAGCGGCTTTTGCGTTGGTGATGTTTGGTGGCAATGGTGGCGGCAGCATTTGTTGGAACGAAATCTCGAGATTCCCGTTGAGACACACAACAGCGGCAGCATTCGTGAATTGGTTGCAGTAGTTCGGAACCGAGAAGACCGTGATCAAACGTCTTCCGGTCATCATTTCATATCCATCCTGAACGACTTGATGCGCTCGAATAATTAGATCGATGCCCAAGTTCTTGCAAGCCTGCTCGACAACGGCTTTGCCGAACATATAACTGATACCTGAGAACTTGTAATTCACAAAAATCGCATTCCAAATAAAAGGTGTTACCGCGAATCGAATGGAACCATCCGTCTCCTTTGTTTGTCGGGTCCGACCAGAGAAGATCAATCAAGAGACCGCGATCGAGTGGCTCACAAGGACGAGGAATTCCTCGAATCACATCGAGAGATGTTAGTTCTGGCGAGAGCCCTCCGTGCATGCAGAGCACCTTTTTCGAAATGAGACCCGCCATTGGCATTCGATTGAAAACCGTCTGGAAATCCCACCACAATCCAACACCATATTTGTATTGACATTCCAGATAGAAGCCGTAAATCTGAAAATATCGTCGATGCCACATTTCATAAATTTTCAGGTGTAGCCAGTATTCCCAAACTAACTCAATTTTTAAATTGTGCTCAAAAAACGGTTGGCCGACACACAACAACCGGGTGTCTTCAATTATTCTTCGAAGCTTCGAGAAATTTAAAATGAGCTCGTAAACAAAACAACGCAAAAAAGGTTGAAGCGCGGTGAAGATTGAATTTCGAAAACCACCAACTATTCTTTAAACTTTTTTAAATCTAAAAATAATTTTTCGGGAAGTAGAAAAACTTTGGAGAGTTCAAATTGGTTGATTAGCTCAATTTTTTTGCAATCTAACATTTTAAAATGTTATGTGTACAACTTGTTGTTTTCGGCATTTTCGAGAGCGCATTTCGTTTTCGAGATTTTCGCGCTGATTGAATTTCAATTATATTCACCTTGTTAACCGACGGTGTTTCATGGTTTCCGCGCAACAAAAATATGCGATCACGATAGCGAATCTTGAGACAATACAATAGCATGAGCACTTCAATTCCTTGTGGTCCGCGATCGACATAATCTCCGAGGAACATCATTCGTTCTTCTGGAATGCGTCCAATCAAATCAAAAAGTCGATTGAGATCCTGAAAATCGCATATTCGTCGTCAACTCGGCGGATAAGCCGGCTTAGGGCTACTTGAAACTGCGCATGAATATCTCCGACGACTTTGATCGGCGCCTCGGCCTCGCACAAATTGCTCTCTTCCATAAAAATCGCTTCGCACTAAATATCAACCCTCATTATTATGATTCTTCAAAATTAAACGAAAAACCATTCTGATGATTGCTATTATTTCCTGGCCAGTCATTATATTGCAAATATTTCGATTCAAGTCATTATACAAAGCTGAAAATAATTATTTTATAGTTTGATCAATGCCGACGAGAATTCATGTTTTGACCAGATGTTGACATTAATTCATTTCTTCAAAAAAAAACACTATGGTGTCTTGAGAGATTCGAAGCAGTCGCGAAATTCACACGCATAGAGGAATCTCACATTTCTCAACTTTTATATTTAATACCGATTTTGGAAAAACGCTTTTTACGTTTATTTTCAAAAATATTCATAGTGCTATATAGTCGGCGTCCGACAATTGATGTACGCGGGTAGATTTACGCGCATGCGCCTTGAAAAGGTCTCGTCACATGTGAACTCTTATTTTACTGTTTTCACGTGAACGATTCATTTTTTTTAATGAGTTTTGCATTTCCTCGAACTTCCAAGGACATTCGATTAGAAAATTATGCGAAATAACCTGTTATTCCATGCGAGACCAAGAAAAAGACGCATCCGCGTAAATCTACCCGCGTACAGCAGTCGCCGGACGCCGACTATACTTCATTTTATTCATGTGCGATGTACTATTTCGAAACATCCGAAATTGTTCGTAGTACAGCTTTATTGTCAGAGTCAAACGACTTGTCGAAATTTTAAAAAAAGGTCCTTGGCTATGTGCCAATGCGTCTCGAGGCAGCGAGAAGTACGCAAAACTGCGTACATTGCATTATAGCGTACGCGCATTTAATATTCAGACAACGATAAGTTTAAATCTAAGCTGATTTCCTGAATTTGAAGGCCCCACTTCACTTCTATATTATTCACTTCATAAAACAACTTCTCTTATGTTAGGGTGAGTTTGATTCGCAGGTTATCCCTAGTACGGTACAAAAATTCAAACTTGAATTCCCGCCTCGAAACAATTTTTTCAAATTACCGCCTGCGATGGTCCACAATTACGCAAGGCGCTCGGTTTTTTCTTGTGATGGCATTATTAATGTTATTTTGTTCAAGAAATATAGCATTACACGCGCGACGAATTCATAGACACAAAACTAGAAAACACCATTTTAAAATGTAAAACGACTACATTATTTTTGTAGCCGCTAAAATTTCTACCCATTTTTCCTACTTGTTGGCACTATTAAATTGAAGATCGTCAAAATGATAACGCACAATTGAGTCTTTTGATACAATCGTCCATCCATTCAGCAATTTTCGGGTCGAGAGCTGGTGGTCCGTGCTTATCGGTCGATATCTGCGCAGACTTTTCGGCAGACTTCTTCTCAGCGTTTTTCGACTCATCCGAGACTGGCTTGTCATCTGAAATCACGTACTAGTTGTTGTGATGTCCAGAGTGCAGCGGGTCAAAGACGAGACTTGTCCCAACTTCTTATCTTTCCTCATCAATGTTGTTCATTGCCAGCCTCCCATGAATACCAGGAGGTCTCAATCATTCTATTTTCCACCATCTTACCACTTTTCTGATTGTTGTTGGCATCAGACATATTCAAAAGTAGCTTCCTGCACCACTAAGGAAGATTTAAGACAAAATGGCGGAAATCGCTCGGCGTGAGCTCTTTTCTTTTTTATTCCATTGATAATCATCTGTTCAATTATTTTTCAGAGATTTCAAATAAAAACATGAAATGAAAACTGAAAGGAAGTTTTTTCCTATTATGGTTTTATTTTAATAATGATCTACCGAAATCGGCCGCTGCAAGACTAACGCACGACGTAGGTCTTGCAACGACCGTTTTCGTTTTTGGTATTTTATTTTCGCATTTGAAATACTACACTAATTCCGTGAAAGAGAACGCTACGCCTTCTGAAGTTGTTTGACACCTCACTAGGTTGAAAGAAAAGATAATGGAATCTGTTAATATGATTCGAATCTTATATTCTAGCATTTCAATGTGCTTCTCACAGCGATCAACTCTTCAATTTCAAAACACCTTATTCTCATATTTATTACATTTAAATTTCTTTCATAACACAAAGTGCATTTCGCACATTTTTAAAAAGAAAATTTTTTGTTCGCATCATCAATGCCGTACATAGTGCATCTAGAAATGGATTCAATGATTTTGTGCAGTGCAAAAGTTAGCCGAATAATGCAAAATATATCATTTTTGATGACCATTTCAACTAATATATTGCATTTTCTCATACTTTGGAGAAAATTTACTTGAACGCTTAAATTCAATTTTGAAAACAGAATTTAAAAATGTTTACAATTGACAATGTTACACCCAAATATAAATGATAAATGTGAAACGCACAATGATAAATGTGAAATCTCATACTTTGGAGAAAATTTACTTGAACGCTTAAAAAAATAAATTGATAGCTGAAAGAATTTTCTTTGAAATTTCGAACCCCTTTTGAGCAATATTAGTATTCAGCTTCGTTTGAATTCGTTTTCCAATAAAATTACTACCAAAATTTAAGCAGAAATTTGAAATTCTCATAGAAAACTCTTATTGTTCGAGTTTATTTTGAAATTCGATATGAATAATGGCTAATTTCAAGTAGTATTATTTCGAAACAAATTTTGTTTTTCTTTTGTTTTAATGAAGCCAACGAAATTGAGGATAATTACTCTGTTTGAAATTTGATTTCTCGATTATCTCAATACTTAGGAAAGATGAATGATGTCAACATTAAGCCTTGTATTATCTAGGAAATTCATATTTCCCTACCCGAATTTCAAATTTATATTTAGCTGATCGCAGTATTCCTTTTTTCGAATCTAATTTCACGCGATTCGCTTCTCCAAAACGAAATCAGTTTTCTTTTGAATTGAAATGTTCGATTCATTGTACTCTGATCTGATCTTCTCGCTTCTCGAATGTTTTTCCTTGTTTACACACACACACACACACCCCGAAAATGGCGAAAAAGAGGAGGAGAAAGGGGTTCTCACAATCATCAAAAAACCACAACAAAAAATTTTGAATGTGAATGTAGCCAATCTTTTTCTCATGATTTTTGATGTTGACGTTTATTTTACAATTTTTTTGTAGTCCATGAAAAATAATAATTCAATTTTTGATATTGAAAATCTTAAATCATAATCCGTCATAACAAAATTCTAAATATGGATGAAGACATCATCTAATTTTTCAGTCGTGTTTTCATTTAAAAAAACTCACTTTATTTTCTAACACTATACTATTTTTCTTCTTCATGTTTAATGATCCTTGACCGTTTTTATGATCTAGTTTTTCTTTATGATATCTGATATTTGCAGATGCCATTTGATTCCGAATATTATCTACCAGTGCCCAAACTGAGTATCTCGCAGCGAAGGTTGAAAATTTTAGAATTCGTGTTGAATGACGTTCAATAATTTCAGAAGCAGCGATGGCTATTTGAACACCAAGGACTTTCTTTCGAATAATGAGGATGTCAAAACAGCCGAATACGAAATGACAAGAAGAAGAGGTACGAACCAATAATGAGTTGATCAAATTTATTTGTAACAACCGTTAATTGAAAGTGTCAAATGGTGGTTTCACTGACATCAAATAGGGATTCCGATTTTACAATACAACATATAAAACTTCGTAAAGAACATGTTCGCTTCTACTCATTGTTCCACTATTTTTCTATTCGAATATTCTTTTTTATGAATCTGACTTTTTATTTTGAAAGTGTGTGCATGCATGATGATAATCTGAAAACAACACAAAATTATTTCCTGTTTCGAGCTCAACTAGGCAATTCCTGCGAAACCCCTTAATGCCATTCGGATTTCCGCCGCGGCCGAACAATTTGACTCGCTCTTCGCTCCGCCCGACGTCGGACACTGTCGTCGACTTCTGTAGTGAAAAAAATGTTCACTGACATGTATTTTTTTGTATTTTTTTACGTTGCCCGACGTGTCACAAATGGGCGAAATGACAAATGAAGCCAAATTCCCAAAAAATAATGACCACAAAAATAATGGTAAATATGGATGAAAGAAAGATATTTGATATAGATTTGAATTAAATTAAAAAAAAAACAATATTCACCTAATCATTCATAATTCACTCATACGATTCCTTCGACTTTCGCTTGCTTGCGCATAGCTAATCACGACTAAGCGGTCGGCAAGTTTCTACATAATTCGATTGCAAGTGTCACCCGCCGTCGGTTTTTTTTCTCAAGTGCTCTTTGAAAGTATTTACGTGTGTCCATCGATTCAAAATAACCACACATCTTAAATTATTGATTCGACAGTCAGCGTTTGTTCTGGCCATTCTCAAATGCATTTCGAACATTCTTGCCCCCACCCTTTTCAGTTTTTGATTCACACTATATGAAATATAATTCCTGAATAATTCATCTACAAATTATATTTTTTTTCTAAAAAGTTTTGCATTCTTGAGTTTCGATTTTACCTCATAGCGTTATAATTATACGCCACCCCCCCCCCCCAAATTTCGCAGTTTCAAGAAAACCATACAAATTGGTAACAAGGCAATTGCATTTTCGAATTCAGGACCATTGAAAACATAAATGTGCGCATTTTTATTAGGGTATATATGGCAAAAAGAATCTAAATGTTCGAGCTTCATTTTCCATTTTTTTTGTAGTATGAATATTTCCATTATCTCTTCATATTCTTGAGTTTTTGCATTATCCGAAACCTTATTCTTCGAATTTTCTTGAATTCAGTGCGATATTCTTAATTTCATCCGACTACAATCTAGTCAGTTCAGTTTCAAATCTAACATTTGAAAACTGACCACCAACCCCGATGACCTTTCAATTTTTGTTTTCGTCGTGTGAAACCTTGAAACGGTTATTTGTCAACAAGACAAAAAGAAAACACTCATTTTTTTTTGCTGCCTCCGTCCTCATATCAAATATCTTTGCTATCATTCCCTGGCTTTTTCCTTTTTTCTCTTATTGCATAACAGCCGGTTTTCGCAATCAAATCCATTTTCGCTTTTCATCATTCTTTCATTAATTGTTTTGTGTCGCTGCTCCGTCAGCTTCCGAGTTTCCGGCGTGTCGCCATTTTGTAGCCAAACACACTGATGACGGGCGTGTTCTGTCTGCGGGTCAAACCGACGCAGATCTTATCGAAGACTGACGAAAATCGTCTGTACAAAAAAGAGTGTTTCTCATTTCTCGAATACTATTATTATTTAGTTGCTCAATTCCATCAATTCGCATTTTTTTCTCTTTTCTATTTATTCATCAATCTCACAATTTTTATATACATTTATTTTGTTAATATTTTTGGCCTTGTTTTGAATTTCCCGCAATAGTTCTTAACAGCCTTCTATTAGAAACCACCACCGACTATTTCACCTCCAAATATTTACAATTTTAATTTGTTTCAAGTGTTGAATGGGTTCCAAATTTGAAATTTTTGATTCCTAGTGGTTTGGTATGATATTTAAATAATACTTAAACATGTTTGCTCTGATTTCTGTGAAAAATGTGTCTGAATTTAATTTCTGCAAATAACTTAAAAATAAATTTTCTTCTTAAATCCATATTCTGAAAATATACAAGTTTCCAAATATTTATACCATCGAGTTTGCGCATTTCTAAAATCTTAAGCTCATTTCTTTTACCTGTTACACGCTGCAAATTTCATTGGAAAATCTATCTAGTTTCCATACACCAAATATGAAAAGAAAAAATCGAATTCGCTGGGGACCATCTTCCTCATAAATCTGGACAAGCCCATCAGTCGATTGGCTGAAATCGAATCAATCATCTCGATATTATCATTCCATCGATTACGCAATGATTCCAGTCCAACCAGTTACCCGAAGCTTCTTATCATTCATGAAAAATAACATCGAATTGACGGGCAGCTCCTCCTTCTCCTCATTTCGCTCTTCCTCGCTTTTCGCCATTGCAGACATGCTGATATTTTTGACTTTGAAAAGCAAAAGTTCACGAGATCAAAAATAAAAATTAGGAAGATGATTTTTATTGTTGCAGTGTCCGTTCTTGCCGATATCGAAATCGAAGATCATTATCATCACCAACAGCAGCAGCAGCAGCAGCAGCAGCAGCAACGGAATCCCGAACGACGCAGAAGCCGATCGTGAGTAGTATCGAACCGAAAATAACAAATTAGCCTGTAGTCATGGCGATGAATCTTTCTCGAAAACAAGAAAACACATTTTCAGATACAATTATCCGACATTCCCCTATTTTTCTATTTCAAACAACAACAAAAAAAACCACAGAATTCGAAATATTTTAGTGATTATAAATATTTTCGATGACAACATTTTTGAAAAATAAATTTGAAAGGTCGTTAAAATTTTTAAAAAAAGTGAACACTTTTACGAGCAAATATGCGAATGAATATATATTGTCGGCGTCAAACGACTGAAGGAAGGTGGGACCTTCAAATTCGCGAAATCAGTTTAGATTTAAATTTATCTTTGACTGAATATTAAATGCGCGTACGTTATAATGCAATGTACGCAGTTTCGCGTACTTCTCGCTGCCTCAAGACGCATTGGCACATAGCCAATCATTTTTTCAATTTTCGTCAAGTCGTTTGACTCCGATAATAGAACGATATATAGAAAAAACACGAATGGCCGTGTCTTAAAGTTTGAATATTTTCCGAGCTCAAAAAAAAAACTGTTGGAAAAGTCTTGTCGCAAAGCGAATTGTTTACGGTAAAAAAAATAAGGATAGGTTAAAGACGCATCGCGAAAAGACCTCTCGTTCAATGTTTTTTTCTTTGAAGATGGAATACTATTTCGAATTGAATTGAATTTTCCCACAGTTACCACCAAAAATCATAAAAAAAGACCCGCGTGGAACTAATCAACAGTTTTGATCTGAACACGTGCGAGAGAAAACCTGATCATAAGTTCGTAGATCAAAAACAGATTCTTCTCTGGGTCATTGTGACCTTCAATTGTGAGAAAAACCCCTATAGAGAAGATGAGTCAGAAGTTTGAAACGACGAAAAAAGCGGCGTCGTCGTTTAGGGGGTCTTCTAAATACATTAAAATTTGAAAAAAAAAATGAGGAGTAACATCTGACGAGACCAAATCGAACGAGACATGCTCGTAAATCTACACATAAAAACGAACAGATTACTGTAACATAAATAATTTAAAGCACGTCTAAAAAGGAAAAATATTTCCAGTTGAGGGGATTTTTCTGAAATTACCTATCTGCTCACGCGTGATATAAAAAACAATACGCTTGAACTGCTTAGTAGCTGAAATTGAAAGCAAAATTCATTTCTTCAAATAGCATAATCACCTCAGAACACTCAGTATATTCTCTTTCAAATATCGAAACTATATGAAATTGAAAAATCCAAACAAAACCTGTAAAGTAATTGAAAAGTTGATCAAAATCGTTTTTTTTCTTTCAATTCTAAACATTTATTTTTTCTAATTTTTAGAAATTGTCGTAATTAAGATCTAATTAACTTCTCGAACTCATAATTAAATGAATACATAAATTGTGATTATTTCCTTACTCTTCAATTTATTTTCTTAATTTTACAAATATGCATTTGGTTTTGTTCAAACACACACACACACATGCAAACCATATAAGTAAGTTAGTTGCAATCGCAAATTTTAATCTTTCTATTGTTCTGCACCAAATGTTCACCATTGTGTTCATTCGACAACACACCCGAATGCCCTTGTTTGCAAATATTCTCATCACGAGCCACTTGATTATTTTCATGACCTTTTTATCACCATGTTTTTCATTTGAATGCCAAAAATGTGTTTAAATAAGAACAGTTTGGCTCATTTTGAAGAATTTGAACGGAAAAACAACTGGTTGTTTGATCTTCAATTTTTTGAAATTATATTTCTTATTTACAATTAGACGCTTCTAATATTTTGTTAAAAACTCGAAAGAAACCAATTCCATTGCTTTTGCTCGAATTGATGTCGTCGTAAAATGGATAATTGGTATCGCTTGCACAATTCAACATATCTCACGAATTCCAATTTTTCATTCTCGCATGTTTAGGATGGTCCGCGGCGGAAAACCGCTGAAACGTGCTTCCAGTCCACGACCGATCGTCTTTCAGCATCATCCGCTATCGAAATGGCGAAATGACGAAAGCACTTCGATATCTTCTGCGGAATCCGCTTTAGGTTCAGCCAAATTATCAGCATTATTCAAAATGCTAAAAAAAATTTTAGAAGAAATTCACGAACCGAAAAAGAAAGGAGCAAAGTTCGAATGGCTTCGAAGAGAGCTCAAGCATTTTATTGATGACGTCATCGATGCCTTCGAATCAGGAGCTCCGTCGATTCAGGAGTGCGAGCAAGACAACGACAAATTGTCGGCGATGCAGCTTCGAAAGGACATCAAGAGATTCTGTAAGATCTGTGTCGATTTTCGAGAATCTCCTCCTCAACTTTGAATTATTTCCAGTTTCCGCTGTCACACCTTATTTGGAAGTTTTCGCGGCGCTTTATGATTTGATCATGTGGAAGAATCCGTTGTCGACGTTGCTCTTTGTTCTCGTCTTCGTGTATTCGTTGTTCCGCGGATGGACTGCAAGCTTGTTCTTCCTTCTACTCCTGTGCCAACTCTCCATCAACTATCTCTCATATGTCAAGTAAGTTTCAAACGAATATCACTTTTTGGGTTTCTCCAGAATATCCATACCTACACGGAAATTCGGATAATCAAAATGGTGTGCTTCCCTATTTTTTCTTTTTTTCAGAAATATCGATATTGGATTGATGTTCCTGCCTCGCAAGCAGGTCGTTCTCCCAAAATTCGACATAAGCGGAGCCCAACTCATTTTTGACATCGCGAAACTCGCGCAGAAGCTTCTCCGATTTGCGACAAATATTCTCGAAAAGCTTGAAAGTCTGCTCACCTGGAAAAGCATTCGCGTCTCTCGCGTATTCTATTGTCTCGTCGTCTACTGGCTCGCCTGGACTGTTTTGTTCACATTTGGCACCTGTGCCGGATATACCGTACTCGCTCTGGGGGTCCGCATTTTCATCACCACATATCTGTTCGATCGATTCCCGAGACTACGAAAACGATTCGACACATATGGCTATTTCTATCGTAATCTTCCATTACGCTCGCCAAATCTTCGAGTTGCATCTCATTCAAACAGCTCGCGATCCGAGCCGCGAGATGCCGACAATGGAGATCGTTGTGTGAGTTATAATTCGAGTTCACCCAAATGGTCTCAACGTTCAGTCTTCTCCGCCAAGCAATAGCCGACGTTCAACATTCCATGGCGAGAAATTCTCGTCGCGTCTCGGAAGCAATTTCAATTTGGATCAAAGTGCAGCTGTTAGTCTTCTTCTCGGAAACCAACACAAGGTTTCATTTTTTTTCTGTTGAAATTTTTTATATATTTTTCATGAATGGTTTAGGCGATCCATTCGCCTTCGAATTCTATTGCTATCGACGCTTCAAAAAATATTGAAGAGCAACTGAATTCGTCGGAAATCACCGAACCATCGAGCACCGATCGGTCTTCTCAACATACGGCGACTTCATTGAACGGAGACGTGATCACGATACATTCGGAGCCGAGCAGCTCACGATACCGATCACACAGCTCCTCAATAAGCGATGATGAAGATGATGATGAGCAGAGTTTCTCGAGCCATGCGGACCCTATAATTGACAATGTTATCGCATGTATGATTGAGCAGATCATTTGAAAATAGCCAATTTCTTTTACAGTTAGAAGTTGTGTGATGAACGAGAGGGAGAAGATGTTCCCAATGGGAATTACGTCTGGAATCCTCTACCTCACTGATGCGTAAGTTCATTTAACATTATATCTCCTAGAATTCGTACATTTTTAGGGCTCTCGTGTTTCGTTCTCGACACACCGCCGACAATAAGGACCAGATAATGATGCTATTTCATGACATCAAGTATATCAAAAAAGCGCAATCGCTTCGCTCGATGTCACTGATCACCGGAACGCGGAAAAGCCTCGAAATCGGCATTGAAGGACGAAGAAAGCCTCTCTCATTTATCGGTCTTGCGAAGCGCGACGACTTCGTCACCAGGATTCAGCTGATGTGTCGAAACGCTGGAGCAACCGTCGAATTCACCGAGTGATCTTTGCAATCTTACACAAACAATTGTGTAAATAATCAAATCGTGTAGTAGCAAACGCCATTCTACGCCAATCTTCGCTATTTTCCTATTTATATATATTTTTTTTTCTTGTTGATTCCACTTCTAATCATGTTTTCCTTGATTTTTGTACATTTGCCATGTTTTGTCTAGCGGGTCATCCCCTTTTCGTTGTTGTCTTCAATCAATCAAAATTAATTTTTCGGAAATAAACTATTCACCAATAAAAAAAATCACTGAATTCAACAGGAAAAGCTCTGCGAAATACGACAATCAATTTCAGAAAAATCTTCTATTCGTATTGTCTGAAATTATCACAACATTAATGAATAAAAACTTCTAATTAAAAGCTAACCTCAAATTATTTTGTGCAGTTATATCCAATTTTTTTTCTTTCTCTTCAAATATATCTTTTAGAGCGACGAGATCTCCTGAAAAAAAATTGATTATAAATGAATTTGAATTCTGAACAATATTTACTATTTTGTTGTTGAAACACTAAGCCGAAAATTTTTCCAGTATATCCGAAAATGGTGACGGTTTTTGTTTCGTTTTCTTCAATTGGATCTGATAGTCTAAAACAAAGCCATTCTCTTGTTCCCATTTTTTCTATAAAATTTCTATTTTTTTTTATTTCAACTACATATTAATAAAAAAACTCACCAAATTCTTTAATTTGTTGCTTTATTTTGAGTAAATGCTCATATTCAACATCAAACAATGCAACCACTGGGAAGTTTGACAGATTTCTCACAATCACTTGGCGGGGTTCGTCGGTTCCGTAGACGATCCCACTCACATCCTCCCAAACCTTACCCTGTGGGGTGTACTTTATCTGTAGAATATTTCATTAGAATCCAATGCGAACTCCCTAATTAATATCAATTACATTCAAGTATTTGTCAATAATTATATTATTTTTTTCAGCAGCAGCAAACGGATTCATTATTTTCACCAAACCTCCTGCAAAACGAAATGGTTGCTTTAAAACCATCAAATCTTTGAAAGCTTACCAAATTTTCTTTTCTCATAGTATAGCGCTAATTGATATGGCTCATTAAAGCAATTAGCAGTGAAATCGAGGAATTCGTTGATGCCGATTCTGACGAATCCGCAATCTCGGACTGTGAATGTAACAATTTGTATTAATTTCGAAACAACTAATATGAGCAACCTGTATCAATGCTTAAGTTTTGACATTTCTCCAACAAACGATTCTTATCAGACTCGACTTGTGCCCATACTGGGAATCCCGATGCATTCGCAATATGAATTGGTGACGCTGCAATTATTCGACGGTTTCGAAAATTTCAATTTGCGTCGTTTTAAATTATAAAATAAAAATTTGATATTTTCAGATGATTCCGAATGACCTGCTCCATTTCATAGGGGGAGCAGTTTATTAGATTGAGGCTAGCTTCGAATACAACGGATCGATATGCGCGAGCTTCTATCGAATTCGTCGTTTCAAATACATCTCGAGTATTCAACACTATTCTGATGCGTACTGTGAAAGCACACAAAAAATTACAACATTTCTTAAAACGCGTAAGAATTATAGAAACTGAAGAGAAAAAATTTCCTGATTGGGCCAATAGTTCTTCGCTACCAATTTTTCGCTCCGCTACCGGTTTTTCACTACCACATTTTCGCTACCGAAAACATAGTTTTTTCACTACCGATTTTTAAATTTCTCAATTTCAAAAAAAAAGAGCAATTTACACAAATAAAAGGGTAGTCACTGAAAAGAGAGGTGGAGAGGAAATATAATATATGTGACGCATCCTCTCCCGCTATCAAGCGGAAGGGGACCGTCACCCTGTCGATGCTCGATTGGCCAGCCAAGTACTCACAACGTTCATCGTATTATCGGGAACTTTAAAAAATTGTAGAGGCTGCAAGGCTTTCAAACTATTAATCTACTTGTCACGAACCCACTTCTAACGTTATTAAAGAAATTATTTCTTTTCAGTTTTATCTAATTGCTAAGAGCTGATAGAAAATGATAAAGTTTTTCAGGCAACTAAGGATTTATTAACATAAAGTTTATCAATTTATTCTTTTTGCGATGACTACCTTTTTATTTGTGTAAATTGTTCTTCTTTCTTTGAAATTGAGAAATTTAAAAATCGGTAGTGAAAAAACTATGTTTTCGGTAGCGAAAATGTGGTAGTGAAAAACCGGTAGCGGAGCGAAAAATTGGTAGCGAAGAATTGGCCTCTGATGGTACTATTCACAGGAAAACGATGAAAACATACGCTGATAAGCATAATAGCCATGATCGACGAAAATTTTTTGATTTTGGTTTAATTCAATACGAATCTGCAAATAATTTTATTAATCAATCATTTCGTTATCGTTTTTACCTTATTCCATCTGGTGATTTCCACTTTGTGGGCATTTATCTCGAAAGCGGCAGCCAACAAATTTAGTTCACCTTTAAAAAACATGTCTTATTATGAATAAAGATAAGAAAATACCGTTTCTTTCTTGAAAAACTGATCCATAACATGGACCATTAAACCCATACGAACGAAGATTTCTTCGATCTCCTGGCACTATTTTAGTATATCCATATATTTTTACAAAATCCATTTGATTTGGATATTCTTCAATTCATTTTCAATTGTTTCGCAATAAAAATATTAGGTCTAGAAATTAATTTCCGCGATTTTTTTTGTTGTTGTTGATAGTTTGTCAAAATACAATTATTTTTTTATAACAATATGCGTTATGCGTTAAAAAAAAACGGGGAAATTAATTTCTAAGCCTAATATTAAATGAGAATATACCGATCAGAAGGCTTTCTTCGGCCAATTTTGCCAAAAATTGTTGATTAACATCGGTTAGAGCCCAAATTGGGTAATTGCTAATATTTCTGAACAAGGTTCTGCGATAATTATAGTTTCGGTGGCATCTATTATCTTCATCGTGAAGTAATTGATTACTATTTCCATTTTTTCCCCATAATATCTGAAATGCAACCAACTAAAAAGCGAAGCGATGTTATAAATCACCTGTTTATGAGCCGAAATAATAATATTTTGTTTTATTGGGCAAGGATAAGCAGAAGAAATAGGCAAAAATGGGCCTCAAATTAAATAATTGAAAAACGAAAAAATATGGAGGAACAATTGCATTCTGAAAAGAAGCCTTCAAAACAAACCGTTTGTTCGTTCTTGATAGAATAGAGAAATGTAAACGACACCATCGGAAGAATGGATTTTCGATTCAAATGACTCGTTCAAACCGATTCCTTGAAATCCGTGTTCCAATATAATTTGAATAGTTTCATATTTATCTGATTCTTCAAAATATATTCTAGCGTAGAAATCACATACATTTCAAGCCGAATTCGATACTGGTTTTCATATCGTGATGCATTTTTTCTCTCGTCGTTGACTGCCGTGACATAAATTCTTCGTCCATATATCGAACGCAATTCAATGGAATCGTCGCTTCCTGATTATTCATGTCTCTGTTCCTCTCGCTGCACATTTTCATCGACAATGCCACCGATTTCGTTTTTTCGATCAAATCTTTTTTATTCGTATCGACTTTTACAAACACGAAATAACCACTACCATTTGATATCGTTGGAGACATTCTGAAACGATTTCAGCTTTCATACATACATACATGCACCATTGTTATAGAATTAAAGTATAAAATAAGTACAAAATACTTTTTGAGAAACTTTCAAATGAATTGCTCTAAATAGATGTAAAATGTTTTATTGTAACTGTTTGAATCCAAATTAATTATTCTGCAAATCGTTTCTGTCTTTGTGATGATTTAGAAATCTGAAAATATGAATTGGTTGTAGTTTTAATAAAGAAGACAAGGAAGAGGGTTAGTGTTGTCAAAAAATAGGACCTCCGGCCTGGGCCTATCCGGCCGTGTTTGAATTGCCGCCACCGTTAATAACCAACATGTGCCCCCATTTTGACAACCCTAAAGAAGGTACTGTGGGGAAAAAGCCCCCTTAATGATATTTCATGGCATAGAAATGTGAAGGAAGCAAATTTTTAACCAATGCTTGTTAAAATAATTACGAACACAACTGCATTTTTAAAATTTGCAAACGCTTCTTAAAGAATCTTCCGCCCCGGAAAACGGATCGAAATGTTCGGGAGTGATCAGTCAAAAAGAATTTATTCCATGTCGTCAGGAGCTGACTTGCGTTAAAATTCTCAAATTCATCATTGAGATAGATTTCGGATCTTTAATTGAAATGGAAAGACAGTGATGTCATTACCATAAAGAGCAATCACTTCGAATTTTTACGAAGTGTATCCAGACCTACATGACATACACAGATAAAAGCAAAAATCACGCAAAAAGAAACAGTGAAAAAGTTGATATTCTGCCAAACTTATCCACGCAAATTTTTGCCGGTTACATGCGGAATAATGCTAAAGTAACATGCGAAAAACTTACTCGATTTTTTCATTTTCAATTCTGACATTATCTTCTTTTGCCACGAGCCATTCTACTTCCATACGGTCTTTGCCTAAATGTGCAACTTCATTTTAATCGGATTTTTTTTTCAATACCAGTTAGATCTCGAATTATTGTGTAAAAAACTAATCCGCCATGTCCCCAAATTTGTCGTTTATCATTCGAATTCCTTTCAATTCTGATAAATCCGTATTCATTGATGGTCTTGATTTGTTGCTCGCGAGTTAAATCTACAACACTTTTTATCTGTTTCAGAGTCTTTTTAATGTTTCGTTTTCTATGATTTTTTTTTTGATAACGCATTTCGACACATTTTCTTTTTTCTTCTTGAATCAGGACATACCTTGCTCTATTAGTTTCTTAGTCACATTTTTCGAATATTCACAATCGCGCTCATAGAGCAAAAATATAACATGACGTGATTGATTATTGAAATAAAGTGTTCGAATCGACTCATTTTCATGATTGATTCCTTTCAAATCTTCCCAAATCTTGTCTTTTTTGGTTAATTTGATCTGTAAATCATTATTGTTTTGTCAAATATTTCGTCATAATAACTACATCAAAGTGTTTGTCGATAATAATTGATTGTTCTTCCGTTCCCACATACGGCGATGCAATTGAATACCAATTTCCTATAAAATCACATGTGATCATCAAGACTTTGAACACGCGTTTACCACGCTCCGTTTTTTGATATTTGAATGTGAACTTAATTGGTTTGTTCACGAAGTTTGGCGTAAATTTGTGAAAGCAATTTACTCCGATTTTTATGAAATCTCCTGCAATTCTTTTCCTAACCGTCTTATGATTCATATCGAACACACCGTCTTCAGTTTCCGGTAAATCGTCAATGTTTCTTTCATCGTCAATGTTTCGCATATATATCGGAAATCCAGTACCGTTTGCAATATGAATTGGTTTTGCTTTAAAAAAACTATATGCATATATTTATAATCATTTGAGTCCTATAAGAAATACGTTGAAACGTCGAATAATCGGCTTCGATATATTCATCGATGTCATTCGGCAGGTTCATTCGAATCTAAATAATTTAACTTGAAATGCATTTTTTTTTCATTATGTTTTTAAAGATACCACCCAAACTCGAAAATGTCTAAGAAATACGTTTGAATAGCCGCCAAACCAAATGCCACAGAAATCCAAAAGTCGCCAATCTCATTTCAATTTATTTTTCAATCGGCTTTTTCGCGAAAAATTAAAAATTTTTGACTTCATTTCTAGCCTCATTATTGGATTCTTGATTAATTCGGCATAAGCTGTTTCAACGGCAAATCGAGTTTGGGTGAGAGGGGGGGGGACTTCTTAAAACTTTTGACTCGGCAGTAATAAAGAGCCTCAATGATTTGAGTTGAAATGGAGAGAACATTGCGAATAATTTCCCTGAAATTGATTGAAATGGGAATTGATTGCCAAAGAATTTAAAAAACCTTTTCTTTCTTGCAAAATTAACATATACAATGGATCATTACGTCCGGGCGAGCCAATTGTCTTATTAAGAGACTGCTTGAGTCTTATGAAATTCGATTTTTCAGCAAAAAGAATCTGTTCGAGACCCGCTAAACACATCAATTTTTAGATATCTGAATGCAATCAACAACTTACTTTTCTTATTTAAAACTTCAATTGCAAGTGCTGACAAATACTCAAAATTGACATCAAGGAGAATCCAAACAGGAAATTTGCTATCATTTTGGACAAACATTCGTTTTTCTAGTATTTCTCTTTTATAGTTGTGCTTGTTTGAGTATTTCGATACAACAACTGCAACCTAAATTCCGATAGATTAGAAGCATGCAAAACTCCCAAATATCCCACTACCTGTTTGCTTTCGGTTATCACTACGATATCATTTTCGTTGCATTTGAAGCACGGTGAAAGAACAGTAAGAGGTGCTTCAATGTATTTAAAAATCATAATAATAATAATCAAACATTCAAAACAGTCAAACCATTTTTTCTCTCCTGATAGCACACACGAATTTCAGCTTTTCCATCGGAACGGTCATTGAAGAATTTAAGATTGCTGTTCACCGCGATTCTTGTATATCCATCGCTTGCATCAATAAACACACCACTATATTTATCTAAATTTTTAAGTTTTCCGGATTGTTTCTCTTGAAAAAAGCAGACTTAATCTGGAAAATGCATCATCTCCTTCGTTTTCTTTTTGTATGACCGACGCATCTAATTTTTTTTATCGTAATTATTTCGCCACAATAACCGTTTACTTTCATTATTTTGTTCATTTACTTCAGGGGAGCTTTTTAATCCTTCACTACTGAATGAGGAATCTTCAGATGAGAAATTGAGTTTTACAAAGATAACATAGCCGCATTGATTGACAACATTGATTGGCATTTTGCTGAAAAATTGATAATGATTAACAAAATAGAAATATGATATAAAAAGAAGTGATTGGTCAGGTTGGATAAAATTTTCGAATTTGTCACATTGAAAACGAAAAATCGGAAAACCAACGTTTTCTTCACAACAACAAAGTGATTACAAAGAAAGATGTTTGAATTTGCTCAGTTCGAAATTGTTGACTTCTTATTGCGACTAACGATTAAAACTATCGATATTTATCATATAAACTGAACTGACTTAAAGTGTAAAATGTTTTGAGAAAGCAATTTTTTTCGATGATATTTTAATCGTTAAGCATTAGCAATGATATCGGAAACTCGTTTAAAAGATAAACAATCATTTTCAATACGTTTTATCATTTTTATTGATTGTTCAGAGTAATTCATTCCGATTTTTCAGTGTTCTTTGATACATTTGAAATGTTTTTGTAATTCTCTGACCCAGCCTAAGCCTTCCAACAGATAAGCTTACATCCTCAAAAAGCACTCGCTGGAAGAAAATCAACTGACCCACCCAGAACATCAGAATAACCAGACAAAACCACTCGAAGTGGCTCTCACAAGGCCGTATTTTGAAGTTTTTCTCGAAATTCCTTTCGCTGAAATTTCTAGACGTCCGACAATTAGAAGTTTCGACGATCGAAAATGTTTTTATTCACATGAAGCAACATTTGTTAAACAACGATTTTCTATATTATCTTTTTTATACGCTCCAGGCAACACGAATTAAAAAAAAAAGAAAATATCGAATAAAACTCTCAGATAACAGAAATTTGTAAGGCTCGAATTAAAAACAAAAATAAAACGGAAGTTTAATTTCTGTAATCATAATATAGTTAGGATAATAAATAAACAGTATGATTCCGGAATACATTAAGACATGCTGCCAAACAAAAAAACAAACGAGATAGAGAGAAAAGCTCAGAAAAAAAAATAATAGAAATATTGTCTTGGCACACCTCCAAGTACGCGTAAATTAAGGGTTACATACTGTAACCCACAGAACATGCGAATTGCACGAAAAAAGAAAGGAAAAGGAATTGAATGAAGCGCGCCAAAACCGAAAAACATAAAAAAAATTAAAGAGAAATTTGATAATGCAATGGGAAGAGCACTTTGAAGCAGTAGCAACTGGGTTTGGGTGTAGGGCCGATTATACATTAAAATCCCGAATAACTTGATTAAAGTGATCAAATAAATGTGCTTATATCAACAGAATTACCTATAAACGAGTTGGATGAGAAAGAAAAGAAAAACAATAAAATGTGATAAATAATTTAGTTATATTTTTCTGCCTCCTCGTTTGATTCCTTCATGTCCGAAAGCACTCTAAATTTTCAAAATTAACATGTTTAGCAGTATACTAGTGTTTTCGACAATTATTTACCTAGCAAATCGATTCCATTCTTCGCTCTTGAGAACATACATGCTTTCCCTTACATCATACATCAAAACGCGACCATCGTCGTCTCCAACACACACTCTCTTGCCTGAAAGAAAGTATATAAGGTCGAATATTAGGAAAAAACCTAACCATCTGGCGACCAAACAAGTTTATTCATATACGCAGATTCCCCTTCTCCAGGCCGAAGTCTCGCAACCGGGCCTTCGACGTCTTCGTTCAAATTCCAAACGAACAACTACAAAGTTTTCAACTTATTGCATCAAAAATACGAAAAGTCGACTCACGTTTCCATCAGCATCAATTGATGCGAAGACCGCAGGATGGACTGGGGACCAGGCGACATCAAGGACAAGGTCGGGATGCGATTCAAATGAGAACTTCAATGACGGATCCTTGGTGCTCCAGAGTTTAATAGTCCAATCATTCGAAGAGGAAATGAAAAGATGCGAAAAATCGACAACACCAGACGCACGATGAAATTCGATTCCAGTTAATGGAGCACTGTGTCCTGAATTCGAAATTTTGCATACAAAATATTTCTAATTTGGGACGTGGTTATTTCTTAGCCAAAAACTTCAGATTCTGTATTATCACGAATTCTCATTAATGAAACTATGGTAGATTTCACAATAAAATCATCAAACCCATTAAAAAAAAAACTTTAAAAACCGCAAATGCGGAATATTCAAAAATTTTCCAAGAAATCACCTTTATACGCATCATCAGCTTTAATGACATTCGGATCGGCGCCATTTCTCGAGGCCAGCAAGATTTCTCCGCTATCCGTTCCAACAACAAAAGTTTGCATTTCATTAACCGGAAATGACATTTTCGTGGCGAAAGCCTACAAATAGATAGTTTTTTTTTTAATTTCGCAATCCAAAAAAAGATCAGCGTACCACTTTTCCCTCTTTTGTAAGCAATTCTTTTCCGTCGACAGGCTGTGTTAGATTATCAACATTCCAGCTGCAGATCTTTCCGTCGCGACTAATCGACACAAAGTTATGGGCGTTTCTCGTTCCAACGACGGCGAGACACGACACCGGTTGTGTGTGCGCTTGTGTCGATAATGGACTCTATAAAAAATGCGGAACAGAAAATGAAAAAATAAATTCATGCAAAGTACCCGATTAATTGGAAGCTTTCGGCTAGTTAATCTATTGTCCCAAACACAAATTTGTCCTGATTCACATCCAGCGAGCAATAAGTGAGCATGGAATCTGGCGAAGGCAACTGAGCGAATCTCGGACTGGCAGTAGACGATGAATCTAAAACCAGTAATTGAAATGTAAAAAGAAAAATCACATAACTAATAAGAACAATGTAAAGAATTATTTCGAACAAAATTTGTGAACAATTTTTCTAAACAAAATAATTATGCTTATTTTTGGATTTTGATTGTCGATGTCAAACGACCGAAAGGAGGCGAAGCCTTCAATTTTGAATAAATATCAGTGTAAATTTAAATTTAATTTTGACTGAATATTAAATGCACGTACACTATAATGCAATGTACGCAGTTTAGAGAAAAAAAGATGATGATTCTGGATGATTTAACATTATGCGAGAAAAAACGCTTACGTCAAGGCCAATTTCGGAAATCGAAAAAAAGTGCTCATCAAGAACTTACTCAGCGGTAACCCGTTTCGATTTAGTATTCCAGACAACGACAACACCTGGTGGTTTGTTGGGAGTATCGCACTCCTAAATCATATCTATTTTATAAAAATTCAAATTTAATTATATTTACCCCGTAAGAAACGGCCATAAGATCGGGATAATTCTCGGAGAATGTCATGTCAGTGACCAAACGTTTGGCAGTCCAGGTCTCGTCGTAGTAGACTTTTGCCAAATGAAGGAGATCATCCGAAGCGACATCCTTCATATAAGGATCTTTTGTATAATTTATTGTCACATCAATTTCCTCATTCAGAGCGCGCTCAATTACTTTGGCGGATCGTTGGAAACTATCCTGAAATGCAATTATTATTTTCATCACACCTTTTTTCAGACAAACCAAAAAATCAGGATCAAGTGTAAGTCGAACTCTTTCTTCTTCGCTCAAAATAGTGACTTGAGGAGGTTTCTCTTCAGTCACACTTTGCTGTTTCTCACTAAGCTTTGGAGCCTGATATCCAGGAAGAAGTTTAGCGATTTCCTCACTGATAGGTAGAGGAGATTCTTGATCATGAGAATGCGTTCGACCTAAAAATTCATTTTAAAGTTAAACATTATGAATTGCTGAAGATTTCAAAAATGTCTTTTTAAACTTCTTATCAATAATAAATACTGAAAACTGTTTAATTATTGCAATTGTCGAGAAATACGTTAAATGAGCCAGATTGACTTTACATCTTTCTAAAGATATTACGGCAATGCTTACCTCTGAACTGATGATCCATTGGCATAATCATATCATCATCATAATCGAATTCTTGGCTTCCCAAGCTGAATTCACCAACGGAAATCCGCTCATCATCCGTCTGAGTTCCCTTTGAGTAAATTGTCTTAAAAATAAGAATTTTAAAAGAATTTGTTGTTATTTATTAAAACCTGTTCTTTGTTGTCGGTGGTGAAGGTCTGAACAGGCGAGAACTCCAGATCAACCATCAATGAAGAAATTCGAGGATGATGTGCTGCGGGGGCTTGTGGCTGCGCAAAATTATCCTGATGATTTTCTTTTGCTTCTTCTTGTTTTAAATTCGGTTCTGATTGGATTCCGACTTCTCGTAACAGTTCTTCCACCTAATTCACATGGTTCATCATTGAATCATTAAAATAACAAACTTGATCCGATGATAAAGTTTGCCGTTGTGCAGCATTTCCGTTTTCCAGTGGTGCTTTTAGAAGCTCTTGAGTGCGATGCTCATGCGCCTTCTGACGCTGTGAACGCATCTCAGCCAGCTTCTGCTTTTTACGCTCAAGTTCGAAGCGTCTTTGTTCGGCCGACATCCTAAAAACTTCACTTTTTGAATTTTACAAAGTGAATGGTAAATAAATATACGAGTTGAAATTTCGCAACAAGAAAACTTAAAAAAAAAGAGTAATTTAAATACATCGGGAAGTGTGTCGTAGCCAGTTGTACTAAAACGTTTTTATCATTGGCTCAGAGGAAAACGTTGTATTTACAATATGAGAACAGAGGACTCGCGGTACGGATCAGTAGGCGCAGGCACACAGAGTTGCGATGACTAGCCTCTCGGGTCGGTCATCGAGCCACCGGCGAGGCGACCACGGCAGAGCGCAATTGCCTCTCGTCGCATTTATTTCATCTTTATTGAAATCCGCGCCAAATGTATTACTATTATTATAAAAACGATTCGTGCAATAAACAACGTAAAATTTAACATATTGCAATGCAGGGTTGTAAAAAATCCCATTGCATAATTTTTTTTAAACATTAAAAAAAAAGTCTCATTAATAGGTTATAGGAATGAAAATTTTATTTACTAGAGAAATCGGTTTTTATTGAAACTGAAACAATGTTGATATGAATAATAATCGATAATACAGTTTAAATTCAAATAATTTGAGCGAAATTCTTTGCCAGTGTGTTTACGTACGATAGATGCACCGTACTTTTTCAATGCAGTTATTCACATTATGAACTCTGTATCATGTGTTTTTTCCGACTAATTTTGAATTTCTATATTAATATTTATTTAAAATTCGCCTCGCTAAAGTATATTTGGAAAAAAAACATGTTTCGACAGAAGAACTTGAATCTTTCCCTAAACATTTAAATAATAATTGTGAATTAAAATTCTGCAAATTTAAGTTGGTGTGCTCACAGACAAAATTAGCTACATTTGGTAATGAAAAAATTGTTTTAATCTTAAATGTTCTTTCTTTCTGTGTTTTTTCAATTTAAAAATATTGATTAGTTCTATAAACATAAAACATCTATTTGGAAAATAATATGAACTCAAAAAAAAAGATAAACAGATTTTCGTTACCCATTGTTCGTTACTTATTTTGAAAGATTCTTTTGAAAGTTAATTAAATACAGTGAATATATTTTTTTATTCACAATTACTTCCCCCAAAGCATAACCGTATACAATTATTTAATAAGTTATATATATGGACACAAAAAGCAAAAGGCTACAATTAAAACTCAGTATGGTAGGGTCATACACGTATAAATTATACCGCAAAACGAACATTAAATATGTACATTATAAATCAAAGAGGGTACTGTTAGAACGCCGAAAAATTATTAAACAATAATTTGAATTACTGATTCAAAATCAATGTTGCCGCCAATAGCTATAACGATTTCTTAAATATGGATTGTAGGGTGTCATGTCGCCTTTACGCCATTCACTCCAAAATATTTTTGCCAAAAAAAGATGAAAAGCGATAAGAATTATCACCAAGAAAACCCAGAAAGACGTTGGCATTCCACTTGAAGCGCCACCAGAGCGATGAAGCTCAATGACGTCATCCTCGTGCGCTGGGGCTGATCCAACCTCAGAAACATGAATGGCGGATCTAGAATAAAACGTATTATATTACCAATTCAAAACGTGGAGTACTTGAGGATTTCCAAATGTTTTCGGTTTGTCGCAATATACAACAAGCTTGTCACTGGCTTTGTCACCTTGACCGGAATTTTTGTTGGTATCTTTCCAAGGCTAACTGGACTATCTAAGCAACCGCCATCACAAGCGTAAAGCTGGTTGGTTGAAGTAACCTGTAATTAGCGAACACCATAAGTTATAACGTATAAAATTACAAGATTATATCGAATAGGTCTATAAATAATATTAATTAGATAGAACATTCCAAACTCATGCATGGAAGATAAACATTTTCAACATTGAACCGAAAAACTCACAATAAAATATGGCCTATTTTCATCATCGATTTTTATATCAACGTTGATTGCACCAACTGTTCCAATTGCACTGTGCACCGGAATCCCACCGAATGAAATTTCCCTGTGAAGATCGTGTGCATCTAACGCAACTTCAAGATGGGAATCATGATAGGATGAAGCTGATAGCGATTGAACAAATGCCTAAATCAGGACACCGATGATTCGTTTCAAACGATTCTCACCTGGGTTACACCAACGGCTCCAGTTTTGATAAGATTGTGACATCCGCGCTTTTCGAACGTTAACATCCATGATTTAGCAAGCATGGAGATATTATTTGGAGTGTCCCATTCTTGCCAAAGTCTTGAAGGATAAAAAAGATTTGAATGCCCAGTATAGCATAGTTCACTTTTTCGAGCTAGAACTTCCAAATTCTAAAATAAATTCGAAATTATTTGGCGATGTTTAACAAATTGCCTTCATTATCTCCGGATTACTTCCTTTTTCAATTGTGAGAGCACGAATATTACTTTGTAAAATGTAACGAGTCGCATTAATACGATCTCCATTCAAAGTATTCGGCGCTTTTGAAGTTGCTACCCTGAAGAATGCCCTGTTGAGATGTTCCCATCCATTCATATGCTCCAGATCCAAATCTTTTATTGTGCGAGCAGTAGAGAATATTTTCAAGGTTTCAGTCTTCAACTCTCCAATATTTCGACTATCTTGTGAATTTACTGCGCATACAAACCGCAACGTCTCTTCCCTTCAACAAGGTTAAAAAGTTGTACATATCGCTGAACTAGTAAATACCGTTTTTGTGGGACTGAAATTTTTCCAGGAACGTCGGAGCATACCACAATGTGTGAATCGTTTCCAATTTTCCTTTCAAACGTGCTCACTTCACCACTATAAAATGGCACTTTTAATTTTAAAAATGACAAAATTATTTACATTTTTGACGAAATCCAGTTCGGAGAATTAGATCGTTCCAATGTAATTCGAACAGTTGATCTCTGCAAACAACATTCATATTAAGAAAATAAAAGATTTACTAGATTTTTTTAAAGGTTTCTTTTTAACTATATTAAATTATATCAATTATTCATGCGAAAATGTGGGCGATCGAAAACTCATTGAAAATAAAATAGGAAAACTAAGACCATCTTTTTTGAAGGGAACTGACCGTTGGGTTTGATACTTCAATCGTTTGTACGAACAGGTTTGGTCGTGTTCGATGAGTATAAATTGTTGAAATTGTGCAGGCACATTCACCATCAATTGTGAAGCATTTTATCGTTTTTAGAGAACCGCTTTTGAAGTCGGTTAACACGGTAGTATCAATCAATGGAGTCGATTCGACTCCAATCATTATTGTTGGATAAAATCCGGTTTCGAAGTCCAAAAGAGTTGTATTTGGATCTTTCATTCTGAAAATAAGATTATATAATTATTTATAGCAGTAATATTATTTTACTTAAGTTGTCCATTTGCGTCTACTCCAATGAAACCATTTCCGACAAATTTAACAGCATTTGATCCAGACCCAGCATCAAATTCCTTCAATACCAAATACAATTTGTTTTCAATTTTTTTTAAGATACCGTCAATGCTTGGCTCCAATACTTCAATCGCTCGATGCTACACTTTCTTTCAAGTGTATCGGAGCTTGAAGGTTGCGAAGACCTCGTTATAACATACACGAAAAAGAATACCAATGTGACTATGGCGAGAAGTTTTCTTCTGGGATATCTGCGTATCATTCGAATTTTGCTATCTATGTCAATGTTTTCCAATCGACGAACTATTGTTCGCCATTGAAAATTTGTGTCCATCTGCAATCGGAAATAGATGATGAAATCATAAATATATTTAAACAAAACATAGAAGCATATAAACAAATGCATACAAATGCAAGTGATATTTCGCAAAAGGAAACGAGAAATCTGACTTTTTGTTTTATGGCTTTGTTTGCATCGGAATTACATTTTGATTTCTTTCGTAGAATTAAATATTTTTCTTGTTGGATAACAATTTCAAGTTTGAAAAAATATTCGAACTGAAAATACCAATGAAATGCTGAATTTTTTGTTCTGCTTTCAATATTTTTTCTAAAATCATGTTTCAAATATTTCTTAAGCAAGTTTCAGACTATATAAAGTGGAAAACATTCTGCCTTAAACAATTTCATTAAAAACGAAACTTAAACGGCAATGAAACTAAAAAAAATTGAATTAACTGAGAATATGTTTTACTCTGAAATTTCCACGTTTCACGTCCAAATGCTTCTTCGTGCATTTTTCAATTATTTTTTAATGGAATTTAGGTTTCCGTTACTATTAAAACATCGCGAACATCGACGCGCAATATATTTTAACGATTTTCGCCGATTGCAATGTTAATTAACAAACAAACAATTCCTTTTACCCGACTTTCCACGCTTAATGGCGTTGTCGTCGATGTCGATGGCATTGCAATTGCGCTCTATCGCCAATGTGGTCTCGATGCGTCGACGACTGGCCTCCATTGAAGGAGGCCGAGCCGTGATTATTGGCCTCTGCCGCGTAAACCCTGTCGACATAAAACTCCGACGTATATGACGATTTATTGTATTCAAACTTGTCAAAACGCGCTCAATTCCATTGTTTTGTCCATCCGAAATGCACCAACTATTATTTTCATTTATTTTTCCGGAGTATGCAAAATTGTAAAATTGGAGTTTTTTTTTATTACAAGTTTGATTCGAACAACGTTTTACACCTTACATGCTGTCTTGCATCCTTGATAAACCTCATCGAATGGTAGGGATTGCCGGAACAAAAATCCAATAATTGATCTTTGGTTTTTAGTCGTTTGAAATATTATAACGCTTCGATATTTTTTCTATTTCGCCCTGGTTTTTTGCGGATTTATTGAAAAGGATTGCAGGGAAAACCGTCAATCGTTCAACCATGGGAATCAGCGACAACGACGTTCAAAAGCAGCTCCGCCACATGATGGCATTCATCGAGCAGGAAGCTAACGAGAAGGCTGAAGAGATCGATGCCAAAGCAGAGGAAGAATTCAATATTGAGAAGGGACGTCTCGTTCAGCAACAACGCCAAAAGATCATGGAGTTTTACGAGAAGAAGGAGAAGCAAGTCGAATTGCAACGCAAAATTCAGGCGTCGAACTCGCTTAACGCGGGACGTCTTCGTTGCTTGAAGGCTCGCGAGGATCATATCCGCACGGTTCTCGATGAGGCTCGAGGAAATCTTTCGAGAATCTCTGGCGACACCGCCAGATACCCAGCTATCCTTAAAGGACTCATTATGCAGGTTCGATTATTCGGTTTTTTCTATGTCAACGATGTGATATTCAGGGACTTCTCCAATTGCTTGAGAAGGAAATTTCCCTTCGTTGTCGTGAGAAGGACGTTCGCCTCGTCGAGCAACTTCTTCCTGAGTGCCTTGACGCGCTCACTAAGGAGTGGGGAGAGAAATCGAAGGTTGTCATCGACAAACACAACTATCTTCCATCGGAATCTGCTGGTGGAGTTGAAATGATCGCTAAGGGTGGAAAGATCAAAGTTTCGTCGACTCTTGAGAGTCGTCTCGATCTTATTGCGAGCCAGGTAATCCAGAAATTTTGAATTTCTTCAGTTATATTTGAAATTTAAGATTATTCCACAAATCAGAACAGCATTGTTCGGACCAAACCCTAACCGCGCTTTCTTCGACTAAAGAAAATAAATATACAAATTAACCACAACACCGGCCGTTCACCCCCATTTTTCAGCTCTAGAACCCTATCTAGACGACTAGCAAATGTTTCTACTCAATAAATTGTAGCTGTGATTTTATATGTATGATTTGTATTTTTTTTTTTCAAACTAAAATTCTAAACGTCTCGCTTTTTATCTTTTTCAATGTTTTTTCGCCCTCGTTCCTTGTTCAGTATCTTTATCCTATATATATATCTCTCTCTTTCTCTCTCTCTCTCTAATTTTTCCGCCAACAACATTCCATGATTTATTCAAGAACATTGTGATAGATCAAATAGACAATATATGAAATGTATAAGTCCTGCTTCCCGAGTTTAGTTATACACACAAATAGAATTGTAGATAATTCTCCACCGAAATTCACTTTACCCTTACGAGAGATGCAAAAATTTTTCAATGTTAATTTTTCATAAACGAATATTGGAGAAAACTGTGTGCTATTAATACGGTGTGTTTGCACGCCATGCGTAGAAATTGACGACAGAATTTTATTTTAATTTTTTTAAATTAATCGTTAACGACAAATTTTTCTTTTAAATAGAAATCTCAGCCTATACGTTTTAGAAAATGTTTCAATATTCTCGATATATGAGTCAATCTCACCATGACATCGATGAAGACAAAGAAGAGAAAGAAAATTCACAGAACACTGAATACGTTGGGGAATCGTATTGTGAAGAACTTGCTGATAGAGTTACTGGCAAAGTAGACAAAGATCAAGATATTATTCGGATTCTCGTTGCTACGGATATTCACTGTGGATATGGAGAAAACAAGCCAGTTATGTAAGATTCGCATTTTTATTCAACAAGAGTAAAACATTTAGCAACGCTGATTCAACAAATACGTTTGAAGAAATCCTTCAAATCGCAAAAAGAGAGCATGCAGATATGGTTCTTTTGGGTTTATTTTATAATTGAAATTCACGAAGCATTCGTATGAACGTAATTGATTTAGGTGGTGATCTATTTCATGAAAATCATCCATCACGCGAAGTTCTTCATAGAGTTACCCAATTGCTTCGAGAATATTGCTTAAATTCCGCGCCCGTAACGACTTGATCATGACCATTTTTGAAATATTCTTTACTTTTAGGTTCAATTGGAATTTCTGTCTGATCCAACTGTCAATTTCTCACAAAGTGTTTTCGATCGTGTTAATTATTACGTAATCAACATTAGTTTTATATTAATTATTCAATAATTTAAGGATGAAAATTTGAACGTTGGCCTTCCGGTTTTTACAATTCACGGAAATCACGATGATCTCTCTGGAAAAGGTCTCACTGCTCTTGATTTGCTTCATGAAGCTGGTCTTATTAATTTATTTGGAAAACATGAAGATATTAGTAAATTTGACGTTGCCCCATTATTGCTCAAAAAAGGAGAAACTCGACTTGCTCTATATGGAATAGGAAGTCAACGGGACGATCGATTAGTACGTGCATTCAAAGATGATTCGATTCGATTCCTGAGACCACAAACTGGCGCCGAAGATTGGTTCAATCTTCTGACACTTCATCAAAATCGCCCAAGACGGTTTGATATTTCATTGTATCGTTGTAGAATAAGCATATAATTAAGATCGGTACACCGTACTACAGGTTCATACATGCCTGAAAGCCTAATTCCGACATTCTTCGATCTTGTCGTATGGGGACATGAACATGAATGCAAACCACGTAACTATTATATTTGTTAAATTATTTGTATTATCGCTAATGTGAAAATTAAAGTTACGAATAGAAATTCTTCTTAATAACTGAAGGAGGGTTTCGACTTCAGAGTTCAAACGACCATGTTCTTAATATTTTTAGAAACAATGTCTTATTACACGTTGTTGTAAATTTAGCATATTCGAATTTCAGAACCGCAATACGTTGCTTCGTCTGAAGCAGTTGGAGACGGATTTTTCATTCTGCAGCCTGGATCCAGTGTTGCCACATCACTAACAGAAGACGAAGCAGTTCAGAAGCAAGTTTTCCTTATAAAAGTATTATTGTTTTACGTTTTGATTACCAACAGATGCACCTTTTCAGATTAAAGGCCGAAAATTCATTTCGACACCTATTCCTTTGGAAACAACTCGACAGATAGTCGTCGACGAGTTGGAGCTCGGAACTCTGCCACCTGGTACAAAAGTATCAGATAAAAACAAACGTCCAATCACGAAAGAAGGAGAATATATTGTGAGTTCTTAAAATAAAAACATAAACCTGTAAATTAATGTGACGACGAATATCTGAATTGAATGAATCCCATTTGTCAACCTTCATCAATCGACTGGAAATTTTTCAGGACGAGCTTGCAATCGAAAGCAAAGTGAATGAAATGCTCGCAAAAGCGAAAATGAGCCGTCGACCTCGTCAACCATTGCCACCGCTGCTCCGGCTTAAAGTGGTTTATGTCGACGATTGGGTAAATGTTCCAATGGCGAATGGAAAACGCATCGGAGTTCGATATGAAGGAGTTGTGGCCAACTGTACTGATATGATTATTGTTAAAAAGGTTGCCGTAATAAAATTATATTTTAATTAAATGAAAACAAGAATTTAGAAAATCGAGCGCGAACGCAAGAAGAAGAGCACCGAATTCAAAAGAGTTCAAGACGAAAAACTTGGAAATGTTAGCGCGTCAAATTTGCAATATATCGTAATTATAGTATATTATGTATAATACATAATATGTATATTTCAGATTAACGATTATTTTGCAAAACAACCAATGAGTGAGAAGTTGACAGTTTTGAAGCCGAGCGATATTGGAAACGCGATTGAGGCGTTTGCTGGAAGTGAAGAAGGAGCGCCAAAGGCTAAATTGGTTAATGACTTTGAAAAGTCATTGCAGCGATCTGTTGACTTGGTGAAGACGAAACTTCAGCTCATGGCGATTCCCGAAATCAGTTTTAACGTAAGATATTTTATCCTGATTTTTTATTGATTTTTTTTTCAGAAGAAAGGCGAAATCGATTTTGAGAGCTTTGAAAATACGATTGCAAGTGATATAAAAACGCTCAAAGAGGAATATTATAAAAAATTGTGCGAGGGAATAATTGAAGAAGAGGAAGAAATGATTCCGACGAGATCGAATTACGAAGAATCAATGACACTAGGTGATTAAATTTGTTTGAATGATCAATTAAAAATAGAATTTGTAGGAAGTGACGATGATGATGATGATGATATCGAAGAAATTCCACCTCCACCATCAGCCCGCGGAAGGGGGCGAGGTCGTGGAAGAGCTGCCACAAGATCAGCGAGAGGAACTCGTAGTAAGCAAACTACGCTCTTTTAAGGATTGATAAGTTTTCAAATTTTCATTTTATCGCATTGAACTCGCTTTTTTATCCCAAACTCGACATTCGTTGCTTTTCTGATTATTGTGTTGTTCAAATATGTTCATTTTTTTTGTCGAATAGCGTAAAATATCATATCTGTTTTATTCTCCATTTTTGGCGGAGAGTTAACTGATAGGGTTTTAGTATTAGCAATTTTTATATACAAACTGTCTTCAGTCATCCAAAGGGAAACCTTTGGGACTGCCAACAACATTTTTGCAATTAATATCAATATTTTTTCATTTTCATCGTAATTCCTATTTTATTACTTCTGGCTTATGTTTAAAAATATTCAATTTGCCCTTTTTTGTTTATAAAGTGTTAGAATGTTATTTCTTCCACCAATTTTTATCAATATGTTGTGAAGATTGTGGAAAGAATTCGCAAAAGAATTTGTTGTCATTAAAATAAATAATTTTACTAAAAAAAAGTATAACTTTTGGATGAAAAACTTTTCTACTAAACGGAAAATTTTATAGGAATTAAACGAAATTCTTCCGGAAATTGCGCATTGTTAGCGATGAGTCATCGAAATTTCTGACCGAAAACGCCTCTATCTTCTCAACGTCTTTTCACTTTTTTTCGTGTTTTCCAATTGATTCGAATCGCTCTCGATTCACTAGTTTCCCACGAGTTACATGAAATTTTTACGATGATTTCCATCTTGAATTCTTAATTTTTTTTTCTCGTCGATATGCGTAGACTGCTGCTTCAACATTTTCAGATGATCGTTAGACTATTCACAATTCTTCTTCTTCTGATAGTTCCATTTAATTTAACGCTTGAAATGCGTTGTTATTCGGGCCTTAAATACGTTGTCGGACAAGATGTTTATCAAGATGCAGGTTTAAAAATACCCGATTGATCCAGAACGATTCGACATTTTTATTTAGAAAATTGTGACAATATTCTTGGGTTTGGTGAAGCCTACTGTTATAAATTTATGGAAGAATCTTCTCTGAATGAAGTCGTCAAGATGGGTTGCTCCAGTTTTTGGTGCAACGTAAGTGTTATGAAAATGACATTCCTGGAATTTGCTTTTGAAGTTAGTAAACTCTGTAAATTTTCCGCAATTTTTGCCTATTTAAAATCGCCAAAATCTCACAAGAAACAGACTTTGCACCACTTGAAATCCAATTTGTTCAAAAATTACTCAATATCTGGGCAAAAGTTGCGAGGTTTTGCCGAGATCAAACAACAACAACAAAAAGGCCTCATTACAACATTATCTTTGAGAACATCAAAGGTCATTTGAAATGAAATATTACACCGCTAGTCATTTTTTTATAAATAAATATATCGAAGAACTGGTTCTGCGATAATTTCACAAGATAATTATTTTTTATTTCACAAAATTCTGTTGAGAAAAGAATAAACGATTTCCCCATTTTGTCAGCATACATGTGTGATAATCTACGTATTGTTTCCTGAAGCGATGTTTGCCATAATGATTATGCCAAAGTGTGCCATATATGGCAAATAGATCATTTACGATATATTGTATTTGGGATTATTCATCTATCGATGAGTTCCTCCAAAAATAACTCGGCGGTTTTCAGGGAATTCGCAATCGTTGTATGGAAACTGAATTGATCGGAATGAAGGGCGTATTGTGCTGCTGTAACGACAGACACTACTGCAATTCAGCACCTGTCTTCAGTACTGTCTTAACAATAGTCACTTCCGCTCTAATATTGTTGTTTTACTCAAATTAATTCCAATTTATTATTGAACTTAATATTATTATTGTTATTAATTGATACGGGTACAATTGAGCATAAATTAGAGAGAATTATTAGAGGAAAGAGAGGTCATGACAGTGGCACTGTGGTGATCAGAAAACATAAAATCCGTTCGTTGAACGGCTCTCATATGCTATTTAAGGAATAAGATAAACGAAAGTCATAAAACCGGAAGACAACCAATGGGAATTTGTACATTTATATGAATTTATATATCTAGACGACCTCGCTGCGGCTCGGTCGAACTGGAACGTCGCTGGTAAAGCTTGAGTCGTCACCACCAACAGGTGAATAGTTTGGTTTGCGCATCGCTGATTCTGAAATGGTTGAATATTCACAATGCGCGAATTGATTCTGTCGTTTATCATGCAACCCAGGACATCACAACCAAAGAAAAATAAAGACGAAAACACACACTTGCTGGGTCCTTACCGTGATAAACGACAGATCAGACAGAGGTGAAGAAGGATTCATCTAAACTAGGTAGAAGCTAATCGACGGGACCTTCTCAACTTACTCTTTGGTTGTTGGTCCATTGGAGGTGGAAGCATCGCCGTACGCGGAGGAGTTTGCGGTGGCTCTTGTCGATATGAGGCCTGATGAAGCGGTTGGCGATCTTCGGATTTTCGGAATGTCGACATTTCTCGATCGACTTGTTGCTTCCGGCTTCTGAAAATGGCGTGATTATGATTTCGACTTTTCCATCAACGTCATCTCCTATTTCTATTCAATCAATTCTTTTGTAACATGGAAATTCTGTTGAAAGTATTGTCAAATTTTTTGCATATTGTCAAAATATTCTACTGTTGTTCACTATTTTTGTACAGGATGACACACTAGACAAACATTTCTTTGGTCACTTTACAATTTTTTGTGACAATGCATCAACGGAAATGAGTGTTTTAAAATAAACTGAAGAATACCAGTAATATGTTCCTTTTTGTGAGAAAAAAACACTGACTTGAAACAAACGAAGATAATAACCGCACAGAGCCAAAGAAGGAGCAGGATTGCAATAACGGCGAGAATAATAGTGGCCGTTTGCCAGCCTGAGCCCACAAGGCCCGCTTCTTTCGGATCAAGAACATCTCCATGCTCGTCTTGGCAATAAGTTCCTTCTCGAATTCCCCACGGACAATTCTTGCAGTGATCTACTTGGCCACCGGAAATGTAACTGCAAATTGAGTAGAAGCCGGTCGTATTCGATTTGCATGCAGCCGTGTTCGTGTTGATTTTTGAAGGTTCGCATGTCAAATCGCAAGCTGGTCCGATCAGTTTTCCTGAGCACGAAATCGAGAATGACAACGACAGAGAGCTGCCGAGAAGTTTTCCTTGATAGGTTCTCTGCTGATTCATATTCTGAACACCATCAACAGCGGGAATCGTGTCTTAAAATTTTGTTTAGATTCAATCGTTTAGTGGAATGCTCCTTACCAAGAAGTGGGACTACAAAAGTGTCAACATGTGTCAAAGTATCATCCTGCACTAATTGGCCAGATTGTGTGATAACTGCACCCAAATGGTGGGCGAAAACATCGATGGCGGCTGGTTTCGAAGCAAGCTGCATCACATAGCTCTGACCCCACGAATTTTGCGAACTTTGCGGAAGAATTCCATTTTGATCTAGATAGTAGAAGTCCGTCATATGATAGCGCACCGATTCGCTGAATATTAAATTTCAAGTCTTGTCAATTCATTTGTTAATGGGAAATATTAATAAGAGTTTTCAAATAGTTGCAGATTCTCGAACGTACTCTGGAGATGAGATGATGAATGTGAAACTGAAGTAGCATCTTGGACTCGTTTTGAGAAAAGAGCATGTTTGTCCAGGTGGACATGTGCATGTGTTGCCACTGGGAAGCGACGAAGACGGATTCGAGAATCCGCGAAGTTGAAATTGAATTGTCACTCCTTTATTACTATCGGTTTGCTGAAATGAAATTGTTTTAGAATTCGCACCAAAAATGGAATTTTTGATGGAAACATTTTTCATTCAATTTTGGCAATCAATGACACATTATGCACACAAACATCTTTTGAGCAAACTTTCAATGTATACGATGAATTTTTGAAATAGTAAATTGAAAAATTTTGAACAAATTTGGATGACTCATTTTTTTTTTGAAAAAGTTTAAAAATTGTATTTTTGAAAATCAAACATTGAAAAGATTACCGTTGTTGTAGTAGTATTGTATGGAGTGAGAGCTTGATTATTGAATAATCCCCTATTCTGATTTTGAGTCTGTCCGGACCCAGCTGCTGAGTTTTGAAACGAATTTTGCGAGCCCCAGGAATTCGAACTTCCATAATTATTGCGGTTATTATTGCTATTGCTGTTCAAACCCTGAAAATATTTATAAATTTTTTTTGATAAATTCGACTGACCCCATATGAATTTTGTCCGCTGGATCCATATTGATTGTATTGTTGATTATTGTATTGACATTTCGCGAATCCGACAATAAACGCTAATAATAAAAGAAACCGGGGAATCATCTGCAAAATGACCTTAAATGGCAATCTTTATGCAAATCTTGACAAATTTCGACATGAGGCCGCCAAAAGGAAAGCAAATAAAAAATGGGACGCTGCGATATTATTGGAATTGATGGTTTCTTGACAAAAAATCGGCCAATAATATAGGGCACATGGATATCTTTTTTGAATAATGAAAATGATAGGAATTTGTATGTAAATGTCGGCGAAACACTCAAGCCACTCGAGTTTTCATTGTGTGACATGTGTGAGATGCGAATAATCGGCCGGCCAGAGGCACGATTTTCTTTTGGCTAATTGGCTTCATGTCTGTGCGTCGGCAACCGACCATTTCATGGATTTCTCTACACCATTTTGGTGTGAGTACACCAAACGAAAACGAAATTTAATTTCGGAACAATGCAAAGAAATCGAATGTTGTCCACGTTTGTAGTGCTTCACAAATATACAATAGAAAATCTCGATGAAATTTAGTAATGTGGGTTGAAATATATGGGTAGTCAACTAATCATATTGACAGATTTACACAACTGATGTGATGTGAATCCGGATTGAATCAAGAGTGAGCACGAAGGGTTTTCAAACGAGAAGTTATTAGTCTAAAAATAATTCGGGAAAATAAGAGAAAAATCGAAAAAAAATAAAACTTAAAATTTAAATAGACGTGAAATGTTTCTATTCTTCGTCGGCTCAAATTAGAAGTGTGTTGTTGGCCGTCGAAGTTAGAATGATGATGAGAAAAAGAGCAAATACAAGGTAGTCGCGAAAATTGAGTCGCTTTCTATCAACGAAAAAAAAATCAACAGTTTTTGTTTGGTTAAAAGAAAATAAGTACACAGTGACAAGAAAAAATGGCGCTGAAGAAAAATGGTCGGAGCAAGATCAAGCGAACAAAAAAAACGACGGATTATTGAAAATATTTATGGATGATAGCGGTGAATTTGAAAAGCTGATAACTTAATCACCCTTTTAGGGAGCGTTAGAAATACTTTATTTATAAAAAAAGTGTTAAATGTCGAAAAAAAAAAACGCCATAAAACGATAATACGATAAAAAATTTATGGGAAAAATGGAAAAATGAGGAAAAAATTGAAGAATAATGATTTTTCATATTCAATATTCATCGATTTACCGCACTGAAGTTGAATGTCTCGAATTTCAACACGCGCTCAATTTTTAGGTAAATATTGCAAAACGATACGTCTATGTATGCATGAATGAGTCATGCGGAGGACGATATGTTGCTTTCTTATTATAGTCATGTTTTTTTTCCTGGGAAGACCACAGGAAATCGATTGCTGATAATCAAAAGCGTACACACACACACACACACACACACACATACATATTGGGGAAGAGGGCGGCCCGTCCGGCCACAAACGGCCGTAAAACTGTACAAGAGCAAACAAACAAAACTGAAGAAAAAGAAGGCACCGGAATTGATGCGAAACAACACACCCATACATGGATATCGTCCGCAATAAATCTCCTCTTAATTAGGATTCGGAGGGAAGTATTTACAAGTAGGCAAACTCATTATTATCGCATTTCCTACAAGGTCGAGGAGACCGAAACCGCGAACGAGGAAACGGTCCGAAGATGATTCGCGAGCAATCATAACATCAAATATTTGGTGAGAAATCGATGGCCGTTGTAGTACATAGCATATTGATGTATGCTAAACGAAAAGATTTGCTTGGCTACGCCCAACTCGCTCGGTTTCGCGGATTTTGGGTGCGGTCTGCGAAAGCAGATCGCTCTTTTGCTTCTTTTTTTTTAATTTGACCGTTTTCACTTTTTTGAAGACAAATAACCTATATTAAAACAAAATGATTAACCGGAATAGTATTTTATGCTGTAAAATTTTTTTTCTGAAAAAAAAATGTCACTTAAAATAGTAAAATATTCAAAATATCTTGAATACGTTTTCTGGCCGTCATGTAATTTTAAAATTACACTTTTGGGAACAAAAAAATGAAAAGTTCAATTGACAAAACCCTTAATATTCATTTTTCTCTTGAAAACCTATCCCACCTATCGGTGTGTGTCTGTTGCTTTCATTAATCAAATATTAAAACGATCAACAAAAATTTAACCATTCAAATATTGGACACAAATGGAAATTTCTTATCGTCGAAAACTATCTTTTTTTCAAAAATGCATAAATACACGCATTTTTTCGTCGTCTCAAACTATACAATATTTCTTGTGTGCGGTAAAAGACGAGAAAAAAATGGTATTAAAATTGACATGAACGACCAAAAAAGACACGATGAGGAGGCGAAAATCGTATTGATGAAGTGTGGAGCGATGATGATTCAGCAAAAAACCAAGGCAAAAGCAAATAAAGCGATGCGAAATATTATTGAACAAAACTGCCTTGTTGCCAACCAACCAATATGATGAGCTTCTTTCTCATGATGAGATGCTCAAGGTCGAAAACTCTTCTTGAGTGTCTCTTTGCTCAGAATAACCAAATATTCTTTGACGAATACTGTGGTTTTGCATATATCTAATTGGCAGGCAAATTGAAAATCATTGCTAGACCAAGTTGTGCAGTTCACATTTCTACTCTCCTCGGAAAGCATGTGTCTTCGACAATACTGTTGCTTAAAATCATGCTCCTAATAGAATCTGAATGGATTCCGAAAAAACTGTGAATCTGAAAAGATCGACCATCTTGCTAGCATCGAATCAGACATTCTTTCCCATTTTAACAAAATTCCTTGTTTTTGTATACATTTGGAGCCATGCTTCATCTATGAGATAAAAAAATGCACCAAATTATATGTAATATCCACAAATATTCTTTGACGAATACTGTGGTTTTGCATATACATAAATACTATTTAATACGCAGCCAAAGTGAAAATTTGCATTTTTTTTTCGATATTCACAAGATAGACTATTATTCTTTGTGTGCATTTTTGTATTAAATGAAAATTATTTATTTACTAGGTATTGAATTAAATTTGTGGTGGAACACATTGATTCAATGTTTTGGCGATTGAGGAAAATGCGCCCTTCAATCCTTCCCATTGGTCTTTTCCGCAAATGTCGGTGATTTCATTCTTCAAACAGTTATCCTTTCCATAGAAATCTTGGCAAACTGGCAACGGCTTCTTTGGGTCCACATTCTTTTCATCATTATTGTCATCATCATCCTGAAATGTTCTAATTGATTTAGGAACCAATGGTCGATTCTTACAAAATTTGGGAATGGATTCCAATCGTCGAAGCATTTTGATTCTTTTTGTTCCACCTTAAATCATCAATCACGCTACTAAAATTATGCGAATTCGATAAAACCTTGTCAGCACATTGCTTGAACTCAGCTCCGCCAATGAAACGAACAGCGTCGCAGTATCCTTTGATCATGTCTGAGGATACCGAAAATTTCGGATCGCACTTCAACGCTTCGACACATTTCTGAATATGTTGCTCATTATTAAGAGCATGAGCACATTTGGCATACTTGAAGAGAATCGCATGACTTCTGGAATTCGTTGAGATCCTTTTTATCCTCGAAATCGAGCTTATCGACTTTGTTGGAGAAGTCTTCGAATTTCTGAATCAAAATTAGATGTGTAGGGCAAAAAATTCGAAATTTCATACGAAGACACATGACATGGCAATTAATGCATCGGCAATCGTACAGTTATTTTCCGATTTGCTCGGCACACTGGCTGCCTGACAAACTGCGACCGCGACGAGGAGAAATGCGATGTTCCGCAACATGACTGAAGCAAATTCGCATTTCTTCATTTATTTATGTGCATTTTTCTCGATCGCACGCCTGTTCAAAATTTTTTTTGGCAACAGTTGGCCTCGAAAAAAAAAACGCGGAAGTTGAAATGGACTTCACCGCGATTATAGGAACAAATTAAAAAGTTTTACTATTGATAGTAATTATCGGAGGATCCAAACAATCCAACTACTTTCTACTGAATTTCTGTCATCATCTATTGATTCCATAGACTATCCATTGATCCAGGGTTTTTTTCGGAGCATGATGAGGGAATGTTTGTTAGGAAACAGTTGGTGTTAACCGGGAAGTTCATCTCATCTCTTCCAACAATTTTTTCGGCAAGCGAAACATTGGTGTAAAGGTGAATATCACGTATCAGAAGCTGCGATTGTTCGAAACATCGCAGACGAGACAAATTCCACAGGATTTTGGTTAATTAAAAATTGAAAATTTTGAAAAGCGTCGCGCTATTGTCGAAATCTGAAAAACAAACCAGCAATATGAAGAAAATAACTATTCAAAAACAATTCGCGTATTTTTTATGGTTCGAAAAAATTGGAATATGCTTTTCAGGAGTCTATTTTTTTCAAAATCAATTATTTAATTTAAATTCGGTTTTTGATTTGTTATCCATAAGATCGGAAAATTGTCGAAATGTCGACGAAACATTATTTATATATCATAAACCGCGAGAGAATTGGATGAATATTCAAATTATGAGAATTAAATGTTAGAATATAAAAGCAGCGATATCGACAAATCCTCACTATTCTTTACAAAATGTTGAGCTATTTGTACTGTATTCTCTCGCTTGTTATCCTTACTGGATCTTGTCCATGCCATAGGCGAGCAACGACCACAGAGCAGCCCTGCATTGAAGGACCCCAATGTCCAGAAGGATACGTTCAGTACAATAGTACGAATAACGAAACTCTTCCAATTTGTTTCAAGGTACCCAAATTGATACTATTTTTTCTAGTTAGGGAATAATTCAGATAATATGGGAAAATTTGGCAAGGTGGGATGATGGTCGAAGCCTTTGTCAGAATAGCACTCCAGGAGCCGATATCGGATTTGTGAATACACAAGACCAACGTGACCAACTCTATAGTTTGAAATTAAAAAGAAACGACACTAGACGTTTTGCAAGAATTTTTCAGATGCCGTTGTCGAAAAATTGGGCGATAAGGATGGTGTTCTCCCAATTTGGATTGGTGCCAAAAAAACTGAAAATTGCACGGCTGTGATTATGAAAAAGGCGAAATCGGATGATCCATGTTTTATGTCAAAGGTTGACCATTTTGCGATAGTTTTTCGAAAGAATGGCTCGTTTAGGCTCTTGAATGGGTTGGCGATTTGGCGCCTTCAAACGCCACCGAATTTTTCGACACCTATGAGTAGGTCACTCTATCAATCGAATGTCCTATCAATTTGACATTCAGAGTCCATTTAGGACCACTTAATAAACGTGGAGATGGATGTGGTCGATTCTTGACAAACACCGCTGAGCTTACTGATTTGGACGAAGATACGGTCATCGATATCGTTCCATGCAACAATCCGAAAATCAATGAGAACAACGAATTCGATGGACAAGCGGGAGTATTGTGTACCGTCGAGGCAAAGTAGATTGATTTCTGCAAAATAAACATTACTAGCTTTTTTTGCTGATTTAAGTTATGAATTCATTAATTGGCGTGAAAATATACATATAGTTCTAGGTGACGGATTAATGTGTTTATTCATTTTGAGTTTATTCAAAATCAGAAAAAAATTGCAATTCGACGAAAAATTTGCGTTTTTGAAATAAAACGGGCTATTCAAATGATAAGTAGAAGGTTCAATTAAGAAAAATTAAAATATTTTTCTCTTTGATAGCCGGTTTCGAAAAAAAGGAAAAGTAGGCCGAGAATTTAATGAATCTATTCATGCAATGAAGAAATATAAAAAAAATCAATGTTTATATTATGTATAGTCGGGGGGAGGGGGGGGGGGTAGATTTACGGGAATGCGTCTTTCGAAACTGTCTCAAGAAAAATGAAGTAGTTCACGTGAAAACAGCAAAATAAGCATTCACGCGTGGCGAGACCTTTTCAAGGCACATGCGCGTAAATCTACCCGCGTACAGCAGTCGCCGGACGCCGACTATACAAAAATTGGCGCGATATATCGTAATTCTCCGTTATTTATTTTTAAAGGCACATGCGAAAAGTTGCGCGGGTCACGCCACGAAATCGGTACTGTAATTTTTTATTTTTCTTTCTGTGGGTTATTTTTCCGTATTTTTCGAAAACTGTGAAGAGGAAATCAGTAACGGATTGAAGAACGTGGAAAATAAACAATTATTGGGATAAGTACTCTTAATTCAACAATATATGTCGATTTTTCGTCATTTAGATACCAAATATGATGAGAAATTGTGATATTTGTGTTGATTTGATGCAGACTTCGCTCGATGCCGCTTTTGATAAACCTTTAGCGTTGATTAAACAAAATACTTTTTTTTCATAAAAAAAAACGTTTTAAACTATCAATAAATACAAAATTCAAAAAAAAAACAGCCATAAAAAAATACAGTACCGCCTTCGCGACGTGACCCGCGCAACTTTTCGCGTGCGCCTTTGAAAATAAATAGCGGAGAATTACGATATATCGCGTCAATTTTTTGTAGATTTCGACGTGCGTGCATAGGAAAAGAATTCAGTCGTCGATGGCAGATATTTTTGTATTCAGATCTCTTTCACTTGAAATATTGTCGCTGGCCGACCGCGGGCGGCGCGTAAAAAATACCCTAACAAGCAGGTCTCGCACGCAATATCGTTTTTTCTGCGAAGAAAATTACATAATTATGCATATTGTAAAAAAAAAATAAAGAGTTCCAACTGGATTTTGCCTATATTATTAATAAATTTATAAAATTCCCACAATTGTCTGTATTATTTAAACTTGCCACAATGCTCCTCGGTTGGAAGTAGCAGATGAACAAATTCAAAAATTGCTGAACCCATGCACATTTGCTAATTAAAGTGTGCAGATATACGAAATAAAGTTGCGATTCGAATTATCTAGATGATGTCATTCGAATTTTCTCATGAATCACGTGAAGAGTGTTTGCATTCCTTAGCGGTATCCTTCATTTTTCGATTGCAGGACCACACGTTATCAGTGCGATCGAAATGCGATTAACCGGGCGAACTACCGCTACAGGAGCCGCCTTAATTGATAACGAATGAGCACAAGAGAGCGTTATCGACAGCTTCCGAAAATTTATGGGCTCTTTATTTGATTTATTGCCCTGCACTATTTCGATCAGTAACATTTTTTCGCAATTTTCAGAATTATGCGCCTGTGGATAAACTTGGCGATTCTATTCAGCTTATCTGTTGTGATTGCGACTGATGTTGGTTCTACTGGTATGTTATTGTGTTTGTTAAGTACGAAATGTTAAATAGAATGAAGATACCAGTATAGTCATGAAAAAAAAAACGGCTAAAAAACAGTCGCTGGGATATTTAGCGCAAAAACATTGTGCGCCTTTAATTACTGTATCCAAAAAATTATTTTGAAGTTAAAAGACATCTCATGCGCTTTTTTAAAAACCGACGAGTTTGGCTTTTGTGTCCAAAGTTTGAATTATTTCGATTTTTAAGTATTGCAAACTTCAAAATTTATGAAAAAAAAAATAGAAATTTTAAGACTTGTGATGAGTGAATTTGTTAGCCGCTTTTTTTTCAGAAAACCAAAAATCTCCGATAAATTTTTCGTTTTTTGAAAGCCAATAAAAACTAAATGTTGAATCACTGTCCAATTGACTCAAAAACAAACAGTTTTGTCGCAACATTCGAAAATTCGAAAATTTGTTTTTCGAATGTATCTATTAGAATGGACCCCTTCGATTCGGGTCCCATGCCTATTTTTGAAGATGAGCAGTTCACGCCAACGTCCCAGACAGTATGAATTTATAGTCGGCGTCCGGCGACTGCTGTACGCGGGTAGATTTACAGGAATGCGTCATTCTCTTGGTCTCGCACGGACTAACAGGTTATTTCAAATTTTATGGACCAGTTCACGTGAAAACAGCAAAATAAGCGTTCACGCGTGGCGAGACCTTTTCAAGGCGCATGCGCGTAAATCTACCCGCGTACAGAAGTCGCCGGATGCTGACTATATATATATATATATATATATATATATATATATATATATATATATATATATATATATATATATATATATCAGAATTTAGTATTTTTTTCCATTTGTTGGAAGTTTCAAATTAATATATGTATTTCTTTATAATCAAAAAAAGATTTTTTTTGAAATTGAATTTGAATAAATCCTTTTATAATTAAATTCCGAAATTGGAAGTCAATTTTTAATGATCAATCATTTTATTCAAATTGTTTGTGTTTCTAAAAGAAAACCGATTCTTACCTTCCAATTTACGTCATTTTTCTACAGTATCCACGTTCGCGTATCAAGCATTTATCACTGTCATCATTTTATCACTGAATAGCGCAGTATTGGAATTTTTGGGTGGGGTACTACCATGAATTCAACATTATATTTTTATAATCGTCAACTATCTTTCAATGATTCGCTTCTAGTACTCCAAAACACCAGGTATGACAATTGAAGTGTTCGGAGAAATATGATAGGAGAAACATTCGAGCGGCCATAGTTTTCAATTTTATTGACAGCATATTTCATATAAGTAAAAAATCGAATAATTGTTTAAGAGGCTCCAAATGGAAGCAATACTACAATTGCCCCTCCTGAACAGTCTACTACAAGTGAATCTGTGATCTCGGCCAACACCACATTGAGCACGGGAAGCACCGCAGGTGACACGACGACCCCGGCTACCACCGAGGAGCCTACAACAACTACTGAAGCGCCGATTGATTACACAACAATGATAATCAGTAACTCATTTGAACCGATGAATGCGAAATTGATTCTACAACATGCGGTAGTGCTCAATCAACAAATTGTCGAGTACGTGTTGCTCTTTTTATTTCCTTGCACAATTCGATTACTCTATGATTGTCGAAGACAGACAGATAGACAATTGTACGAAATTCAAGTAAATGCAGTCACAATTTTTTGCAGAGCAGACTGTGTATCTCAAATTTGTTTCGCGTGTTCCTCAAAACTTTTCGGAATGATATAATTTTGCAGTCTGACAAATGAAATCAATAATGCAAAAAACGGGGTCAATCCTGACAATTCGCCTCTTTTTGCTCAACTCAATGATATTCTCGCCAACTTAACCATTCAGCAGACTACTCTCAATAATTATCGAACTCAATTAACCGTAATTGAACAATTTTATATCGGCACGTAGAATTATTCAATTACTTTGAAGGAACTCAGCGATACTCAAAATAGCATTGACAACGATGTTGACTATTATAATTCGGTTTACACATGCTTCGCCCAATCTTCTTGTGTTACGGTAACTGAAATATACTCGAATTAAAAATATATCGAATTAAAGGACACAACAACCAGTGCGGAGCCGACTTCGCCGCTGCCTACTAATCGTACGTTTCCAAAATAATCGAAATAAATCATTATTCTTTTTTGCAGCAACTGGCACATGTGATGCAAAGAACCTTACAGCAACCAGCGACAAAAATTCGTATTCCTCTGAAAACGTTACTGTAAGTATTTTACAGAGCACATGCAGTGTTTTTCAAAATTGTTTTTTGGTGTTGAACATTGAACACTTTATTCTTCTATCGATATCGTATTGATCATTTTAATTCGGATATTCATCGATTCATTTAAAAACCAATTTGCAATCAATATTGATCGGTTTCAGCATGTTGATGGATGTGATGTCACCATTATTGGCGACCAACAAAACACTATTTTTGCAAATATCAATGTGAGTATTTCGGGTGCGAATGCCTTTGTTGAGTTTGTTGAAACGCGAACTGGAAGATCAGAAAGGTTTCGTAGACATCGATTAAGTTGTGATATTCGCATATCGCAGATTCAACTCGACTACCACTTCAACGAATCTTACTGCTATAACAGAAGCTAAAATTATCTCGTTTGCTGATTCGAGATCATATGTTCAATTCAATATTGATTTCTATCAAGGTATAGTCGGCGTCCGGCGACAGCTGTACGCGGGTAGATTTACGGGGGTGCGTCTTTCTCTTGGTCTCACACGGACTAACAGGTTATTTCAAATTTAATGGACCGATTCGATAAATTTTTAATCAAATGACATTGGAAATTCGAGGAAATGCGAAACTCATCAAGAAAAAATAAGTGAAAACAACAAATAAAGCGTTAAAACGTGGCGAGACCTTTTCAAGGCGCATGCGCGTAAATCTACCCGCGTACAGCAGTCGCCGGACGCCCGACTATATGAAAATTTAAAAGAAATAAAAAGTGAAAAATGATGATTTTCAGAATTAATTTGTAACCTTAATTGCAAACACAATCAGACATGCAAAATTTCGCCATCTGGAGTTCAGTACTGCGATTGCGAGAAATGCATGTATTCTGGAGACTATTGTGAAGGTATCAAATGCAAAATTTCAGTTTTTTTTTTTTGGAATTTTTAATCCTGAAAATGTATGCGGATGATCCGTACGATTTTCGCATTTTCAACGAAACAAGCATTTGACATCAAATTTCCAAAATACAGTATTTTTCTTTCAGTAGAGCTGGATTCTCCGTGCAAAGCTAGACAACAAAAATTATGCGGCGAGAAAGACAAAAAACCATACGGAAAATGCTTCCCGTTCGTTTTTTTCTCGAATCCCTCTGAAATTTCGCAATTTTAAGAAGCTCGTGCACAGACACTTGCTATCAGTGCGATTGCGTGCAACCAGATACCGAAAATCCTCTACGCTGCATTAAGCCCGATGGGGTTTATGATAGTAACAATCAACATTCTTAATTTTACTGATTGGACTGTTTTAGCTTACACTGCTACAACGCAGCCATCAACGACATGTGCTCCAATGACAACAACCGCCTTACTTAGTACTTCAACGATTGCGGCGTCAACTGACTCGACTATTTCAACCATTACTACTAATGAATCCACTTCAACCAGCGTTGCGACTTCGACGAATACTTCGCCAGCAAAATTGGATACTTCAACATCAGGTGATTTCAGGAATCATTCAAATTTTCTACTAACTACGATAATACTAGAACAAAAACTCGGATATTCCGCATAACTTCTTACGTTTGTGAATTTTTAGTTTAAAGGACAAAGTTTCGACAAGTGGCAATTATTCGTGAAATTTCGAAAAAGAATTGAGCCTTGCTGAGTTTGTTCTTCATCGAATTTTTTTTCAACCTTTTTGTGCCCAGCAAAATTTTTCTAAAACGTGTTGATTTGATCCATAGATAACCATGTCGTTGTCATCCATTTCTTACGCTACTATTTTTTCCATTTCTTTAATATTAGAAATTCAAGTAAATATTAACATTTTCAGAGCCACCTGCACCTGCACCAAGTGCCGCTTTATCGTGAAAATGTGTTGTGATAAACCATTATTGATTAGAAATTGAATTTTCGGTATACATTTTGTGGGCGTCCGCCCACGGCTGATTTCGCTAACTTTTTTCCTTTTTATAATCTTAGAAATCCAAAGTATTTAAAAATTGACCAAGAAAAAATGTACAGTTATGTGAAAATGACAAAATTCACACGTTGCGAGACCATGACGAAAGGCAATTACCCCCATACATTAGTCGCTCGACTATTTACATATATATATGTATATCATAATATATTGTGTGTATTCGAAGTCCGTGTAAATTGACAACAAAAAACTGCGAAGACGAGCAAATTGACTTTTCAATGCTATTCGATGTCTAGTATAAGTTTTGTCTGACGCAGATTTCTGCGCTGAAAACATTCGAGACAACAATAATTGTAAAAAAACGGCAAATACTTATTGCAAAATTAATTAAAATTCTGTTGGGAGCTTTTTGAAATCAACCGTTTTCTTTAAAATTATTTGACGTCATTTTTAACAATTCAAATATCTCAAAATTTTTCCCAAATTAGATTTTTTTTTAAAGTTAAAATCCGATATTCGATTGACGATGTATTGAAAGCTTTTTTGAACTCTCGTTTCTTCTCATAACACATCGTCATCTGACAAATGAGTCTACGTGAACTATTCGAGATGCGATTCGAACCCGATACTACAACAGTGACCTGCTCCAACCACCTGGTCCATCAAAAAATCGGGTGACCTATTGTCTCTTTATTTGCGGACCCAGTTTGTGTGTGTCTGCGCCGTATTTTCTTTATACGTGTTTGGGAGGTTGTGTGTGTGTGTTTTGAGGAATCGATGGAGACCCGTGCTGGATCACATGGCTTGCGAAGAGACATTTCGCACTACTCATCCACAATGGAGACAGACAGACGATCAGCCGGTGTTCGTATAATAATACGCAAACACACTCACGCACATACAAAGCAGCACCAGAGACAGCGGCAGCGGCATCGAGCGTATAACAGCTGGCTGGTTTCAAGAGGCAACGCACGCCCCAACGACCACGCCCATTATCGGTTGGCAACGCGCCAACCAAGAAAAAACAACATAAAATGGGCGGGGCGTGGCCGTGACGGCCGTGTTGCAGGCCGGCCGACCAGTTTAAGCGTATTCAAGTCTTCCGAAATGGCCGCCGCTTCAGCTGCCAAGAAAACTGCGTCGAAGAAAAGTAAGATCGCCACCAAGCCCAAAGCTCCGAAGGTCAAGAAGGCCTCGATGGTGAGATTCAAATTTGAAGCTCGAGTTTATACAATGCCAATTCAGCCAGTTGCCAAGAAGGCTTCTCCAAAGAAGACCGCAAAACCTGTAGCCAAAAAAGCAGCGAAACCAGCCGCGAAAAAAGCAACACCGAAAAAGAAAAGTGCTGCCAAAAAGGCGTCCACAAAGAAGGTAATTATTTTAAACCAAAATGCTGTCTGCGAACATCCCGGAGTATATTGCAGAAGTAGGCCGATTCGTCAAAATCTGCATACTTTATACAAAATGCCTTGATCTTCGCGACCTCATTGCCACTTCTCTCAGCGACACATTTTTGATTGGTTTTATTAAAATTAAACCTAACCAATTAATCAAACCATTTTTGTAATTAAGCTTTATCTTGTACATAGTTTCATTTGGCAATAAATATTGAAAAACAAATCAAATTTCGAAAAATAAACAAAAGTTTCAACGAATGGGAAATGAAATGAAAAACATTTCTGAAATATTTATGCTAGATCTGATGATTTAAAATATTGAATCAAGAAGTTGTCGAATTCACGTAAACTTGGATTTTTATCGAAAAAAAAAAACAAAAACAATCGACTTTTCTAATTTTTATGCCATGTATTGTTATTGTTGTTGGTGTTCTATTTTTCTTCTTCTTCTTCTTCTTCTTGTTTGCTTCTCAAAATATGTCCCAACTCAACGTCTCTAACTCGTTCTCCATGGACCCATTTAAAAAGCCGAAAGAGGGAGAGAGAGAGAGCTTTTAACAATCGAAATGTTATTTTCTCTCAACTAGTTGCGAGTCGAACAATGATCCGACCTGTACATGCATCAGCGACCTGCATAATTGCCTTAATTGTCTTTCTTTTGCCGTAAAAACGGCCGAGTGTTTTTCACGTCGCTGCGCTCGCACACACTCAGGCAAATGAAAAAAAATATTTTGAGACAATTCTAAAATCTTATGAGGTTCGTTGAGAGGCTAACGTGTCTCTATAATATTTTAGATTTGTCTCAATAAACTTTAGGAAATCTCATAAGATTTTAGAATTTATCAATAAGTTTCAATGAATATTGTGAGACTTTAAAGTTTATCAATAAGTTTTAGATTTGTCTCAATAAACTTTAAAGTTTATCAATAAGTTTTAGATTTGTCTCAATAAACTTTAAAGTTTATCAATAAGTTTTAGATTTGTCACAATAAACTTTAAAGTTTATCAATATGTTTTAGATTTGTCTCAATAAACTTTAGAATATATCAATAAATTCAATAAACTCTGTCCAATATTATGTAATATCATACGTTATCGAGCAATTTTCACACAAATAGAATGTAATAACAGCCATAATAATTGAATATGTATGAACATTTCATTTATTACAATATTAATGCGAAATGAATATATTAATAATAAAAATCAGAAAAAAAAAATAAATGAATCAATTTATTCTTTTCGCATTTTCTCCTTTTTCTGCGAATGACGCACAACGTTGCTATAAGGAATTCGTTGCATATACTGAAAGAAAATGTTGAACTTACAAATTTTGATGATTGAATTTGTCGTTTTTCGATTAATTTCATGAGTTCTTTGCGATAAAATGACTTCTTAATTAAATCCGGATTCGCGTTGAAACGAATTTTCAATGAAGTCACAATCTCGTGATATAGTTTATAGCTGAAAATTGCCAGTTTTAAAAAATAACTGAATGAGTCTAACTTTCTCAAAATACTATATCCAATCCCGTTTGTCTGTTCCGAGCACATGTTTCTCTTGATAACGTGATAAATGTGCTCATGCGCTTGCGTGCTTATTGCCGACAGCTGACCATGACATTACTGTACAAATGGTATATAAGTTGCTGAAACAATAAATACAGTAATCATTAGTATTATTTCTTATATCAACGACAATAGCATGATGCTACAACGTTCAATAACTCTTAAAATTGCAAAAAAACGACTTACCTGCACTTTTGAACCAGAAAACAATTGAGGCGCCCCATCTCAAATTAGAATTTCTAATAATTTGCAAATACCTGCGATCTGAAATAAAAATTTTCTATTATGTACATAGCTAACGATCCCATATTACTTTGTTATATTACTAGCGAGTCGGTGACACCATCCATCGGTAGCAGGCATGTATAAGCAACACAACAGCTGAACCTAACGGAGGGATGGTTCCGATCATGGCGTTAGAAACAATTTTCACTTCAAAAATCTTCAAAGGATGATAATTGCAAGTGGTAAATTAACTTACGCTAGCTTTTTCGGACCTATTAATGTCATTGAATTTTCCTGATAGCGACTTTACCGAAGATGGCAGTCTCGCTTTCACATCAATAGCTTCGCATCGAAAAATATTTATTTCGTTTTTAACGAAGACTTCTAAAAGACAATCTTCAATTTTTAAATGCTGAAAAAGGAGAGACATAATTGAAGTACCTTTTATTATACGTGTTCCCTCGTGAAAAAGGTGGAAAATATCCATGGCCGTGATCCACATGGGCACCTGCTCATTGAATTTGCTGTATTTATCTCGTTCCTTAAATCTATCGGCCAATGTTTCTGGAATGTTTGTTCCACACTTTTCCCGATCTTCTAAAATATCGAAATCATTAGAAACTGAAGTATAATTGTAATTAATTGTAATAATTGTGCGTATTTTTAAAATTCATGAACCTGTTCATGCAATGACATGTTTAGACACAACTGTTTCAAATTCAGCATGTAAAACAATGCAGATTTAAGGTAGTGTTAAACATTTATTATAAAAATTTGCATTTCATGAATACGTCCATCACTGAAGTGAAGAAACTATTACAAAAAGCTAAAAAAAAAACGGAAGAAACATCAAAAACATAAATTATTGATTGGAATTTAGAAGATCTTAAAAAGAGACGCCGCAAATTGCGTCAGTGGAAGTCATAAGGGCCCTATTCAAATTTTAAAGTCTCACAATATATTGAGATACTTTACACTTTCTCAAAAGATTTAACTTTCTCAAAAGATTTAATTTACAAATTCCAAATTTTTAAAATTTATTGATTCTCAATAAGTTTTAGAAAGTATCAATAGACTTTAGAATTTCTCAAAATATTTTAGAGTTTATCACTGAATATTTGATTCTCAAAATATTTTATTTGATTTGCCTGAGCAGTCCCGGAGAGGCGTGACCGCGTGACTTTGCTGCCGTCGTCGCCGCCGCCGCCACCGCAGTCGCCGGCGTGCATATTCAATGTCGCAAATGTATACAATGGAGCAGCGCGTTGCGCGTTGCCGTTTTCGCTTCGAGACCCTCAGCGATTTGCGCGCTCTCTCTCTCAGCGCACCGCCATCAACGACGAAAAGCCCGCGGATTTGCAAATTGTGCACACTGCGCAAAATAGTGTGATGGTTGGGGAAAACAGATCGGCCCCACCGGGGGTCACACTAGAGAGCATTCACAAATTGATGGGATGATGATGATGATGATGCTCAAATTCTGGCAACTAAGATAACGAATATGTCAATCGATTGTATTTTAAAAGAACAACCAACTAATAACCGATACAGAATTTTTTTTTTTTTTTTGATGTTTGGCATAAATAGAAAAAAATTTTCCATTCTCTTAAAATGTTTTTCTCTAAATATTTCACTTTTTACACTAAAAAACGGTTAACTCAAAAATCAATTGGAATTAAAAATTTGTGTTTGTTTCGTATGACCTGACGGCTGAAGATTGCAATTTTAATTCGATGAACTGAATTATCAATTCTCTGCGCTCTCGTTAAACATTGAAAGTTGTAGGATAATTTAGTCATCATAAAAATCGGAAAATGAAGAAAAATTACCTGGGACTGGAATGTGAAGTTGACAAAAGAGGCGAAACTAATTTTTTATAACAATTTAATGCTCTGAGAGTGAACCCTTCAAATGGCATCATCTTAAAACCCCCTTTTAAGATGATGCCATTTGAAGGGTTCACTCTCAGAGCATTAAATTGTTATAAAAAATTAGTTTCGCCTCTTTTGTCAACTTCACATTCCAGTCCCAGGTAATTTTTCTTCATTTTCCGATTTTTATGATGACTAAATTATCCTACAACTTTCAATGTTTAACGAGAGCGCAGAGAATTGATAATTCAGTTCATCGAATTAAAATTGCAATCTTCAGCCGTCAGGTCATACGAAACAAACACAAATTTTTAATTCCAATTGATTTTTGAGTTAACCGTTTTTTAGTGTAAAAAGTGAAATATTTAGAGAAAAACATTTTAAGAGAATGGAAAATTTTTTTCTATTTATGCCAAACATCAAAAAAAAAAAAAAATTCTGTATCGGTTATTAGTTGGTTGTTCTTTTAAAATACAATCGATTGACATATTCGTTATCTTAGTTGCCAGAATTTGAGCATCATCATCATCATCATCCCATCAATTTGCGAATGCTCTCTAGTGTGACCCCCCGGTGGGGCCGATCTGTTTTCCCCAACCATCACACTATTTTGCGCAGTGTGCACAATTTGCAAATCCGCGGGCTTTTCGTCGTTGATGGCGGTGCGCTGAGAGAGAGAGCGCGCAAATCGCTGAGGGTCTCGAAGCGAAAACGGCAACGCGCAACGCGCTGCTCCATTGTATACATTTGCGACATTGAATATGCACGCCGGCGACTGCGGTGGCGGCGGCGGCGACGACGGCAGCAAAGTCACGCGGTCACGCCTCTCCGGGACTGCTCAGGCAAATCAAATAAAATATTTTGAGAATCAAATATTCAGTGATAAACTCTAAAATATTTTGAGAAATTCTAAAGTCTATTGATACTTTCTAAAACTTATTGAGAATCAATAAATTTTAAAAATTTGGAATTTGTAAATTAAATCTTTTGAGAAAGTTAAATCTTTTGAGAAAGTGTAAAGTATCTCAATATATTGTGAGACTTTAAAATTTGAATAGGGCCCTTATGACTTCCACTGACGCAATTTGCGGCGTCTCTTTTTAAGATCTTCTAAATTCCAATCAATAATTTATGTTTTTGATGTTTCTTCCGTTTTTTTTTAGCTTTTTGTAATAGTTTCTTCACTTCAGTGATGGACGTATTCATGAAATGCAAATTTTTATAATAAATGTTTAACACTACCTTAAATCTGCATTGTTTTACATGCTGAATTTGAAACAGTTGTGTCTAAACATGTCATTGCATGAACAGGTTCATGAATTTTAAAAATACGCACAATTATTACAATTAATTACAATTATACTTCAGT